GTGCCATTCAGCCAGTGAAGCTGCCTGTAATTAAAGCTGTGCAGTCTGTATGAATAATGGGGGAAAAAAGTCCCATTCTATTTCAAGAGGAACCACTGTAACATTTGTTTCTAAGAATTTTCTTTCAGACAAATCATGCATGCTTAACGAATTGAACCTTATTGTAAAGTGTTACCATACTTTTCTCAGATAAGCTTTTTAAAAACACACAGGCTAAACTAATACTAGGCACTGGCAAACAGACTTTGCACTGCTGAACACAAACTCTCATCTAAGATTAACAAAATCTTTTACTGCAAAAAAATGTGAAACAATAAAACCCACTTCTGTAGAAATGCTGACTGTTTTTACATGCGATTAGAAATTCTGTAGAGAAAAATCTCACCACTTCTGCACTCATTTATGAAATATTTTTGTCATTTAATAAATATTTGAGATCCTCTTTTACATATAAATCTATTCTGCAGATTCTCCCTTATAATAAAATGTTTCCAGAATCTCTCTAGGCTTAGTTAACACACATGTAGACCATTGTACTAACATTACGTCTATTCAATACTGAGATATCACTCTCAACATATGTAAACAAATGGAACCAGAAAGACTTGTGAATTAGCTTTAAGTTAACAGAGCAACTGTGTTGACTACTGTACACTGACAGGTCACAGACAGAGCCTCATCCTACTGTCCCCAGCTACTCTAAACATGCTGAGCTTACGGCTGTGCCCTCTGTGGCTTTATCAACAGCATTGTCTGCAGGGTCCCAGCTGCCCCGTGAGCTGAGAGAACAGTGACAAACTTCCTGTCTAATCTCCCATTCTGAACCAGAGCTGTAACATTACCGCACACTCAACGAACCATGAAATCTTCCCTCGTTGCCACTAACCCGATAGAGTCACGGCAGAGAACAGAGGAGGAGCATCATTGTCCTGAAGACACCTGAGTGATGAGTAGTAGTGAACTAAGCAACAGGAGGAAATAAAAACAAGGCTCTTTGTTACACAACAGGAACTTTGGGCATTCCACATTTTTTCGATAAATACAATGCTAACTTTGTTTAACGACATCTAAACAATATACGCACAATATTATGTAATAACGTACAAGCATTTCCTTATATGGATTCCAGTCTAACTCAGATTTGCCATTTGAACCTTAATCATCATTACATAATACAGACATACAACATACCTCCACCAAATAGAGAAAACTGATGGTAGCAAGTCAGAGACTGTTATCTTTAAGTATTACCGATACTTAAAGTGTAAAACTGTGAATAAATAAATAAAAATCAGTGTAGAGAGGGCCCACTGGTTACTGTTTATATGAAAACATAAGCCCTTATGTTATGCTTTACACACTTTGAAAAGATAAAACAAATGTAACAATGTTCACAGAAGTTGGAGATTACAGTTTGTAAAGTTTTAAAGATGGCCATTTTTCTTACACAAACGCATCGCTTTGCTTCAGAAGGCTTTTGTTAACACACCAGAGCCGTGAAGAGCACTTTTATGATGGACAGATGCACTTTTATGGCCATTCACTGCCATTAGGCGTAAAAAAAAAAATAGTTTGTTTCCGGTTTCCGACCGACCCTGTCAATTTACGTGCGACCCAAAATTATTTTATGAGCTTGGGGAAGAAATAATAAAGATTAAATAAATACACAAATAAAAAACTCTGAGGCGAACTATTAATTTACGTTTTACAGCTCCGTCTTTTTATAGCACGCGATGTAAGATGCATCTTGTCCTAAGATGCATCTTGTCATCTATTAACAAACGAGGCAGATATCGTTCGTCAAACTGAACTATAATACATATTATACAAGTCTTTTTTTGTAATTTAGGATATTTTTATTCATATTCGCACACATACAAATACATGCATTCATAGGCATGCACACACCACATACTAATACCTCCATCCGCCTAGTTTTATTAAAAAATCATCCTATCATGATCCAATCATGATCCCAATCCCATCTTCTGCTGTCTAGCACTTCTTTCGCCATGTATTTGTTCGTTTCTTTCATTATTTTATGCAATCCAAAACACTCTAACCTGCCGCGGTTCGTATCTCTAGAGCCCGTCTAACTTGTCCGCTTTTCCGGGACAAATGGAAAGTAAAAAGAGAATTTTACTCGCCCCAACGGACAAGTAGCCTGATTAGAACATCAATAACAAACAAAAAAAATAACTAGGGAATCACTAAACCGAGAGAATGATTCTTATTTTATTACATTTATTGCAAGTTGCGATCGATAATAATGTGGATAATAAATGTAGCAGGCCTACTGTATTACTGATGGTAAGGTTGCGCTGTTGACGCTCGCGCAGAGAAATCTACACACATGAGCGGAGCACACACACACAGTTAACAACATATTCTGCCTATACAAAATCTAAATGTGGAGTTTTTATATTTTAACATTTGTTAAGCACTAAGCAGCCTCAATTATTTTTCCTGAATACCATCACGATTGAAAAAGTGACATTGATTTCCTACAACAGTTCAATAAACAGTTAAGATTAAGTCACTTACTGTTTATAAGCAATATTGGGTGTTTTTGTTCCATTTCAGCAGCGAAAATAGTTCCAAAGAAAAGTCACAGCAGAACCACGACGCATCTCACAGGAACTCATCCTGTTTTCATTACTGAATGATTCAGCATTTTGAACGAATCGGTTGAGTCAAGGATTCAATGACCCATTCATAAACATCAACATCCGTCTCATTCTTGAATGAATCAACCGTTTGAACGAATCGTTTGAATTAATGAATCAATAACTCACTCATTTATACGGCCGCCTGCCGCCACCTATTGGCAGTTTAGTGTTATGTTTATAAGTAGCCTAGTATAATTCTTTCCAATATTTCTTATTTGCACATTTAAATCAATTTCATAACATTATTTTATGAAATTGTAATTTTTCAGTGTAAATGATTTAATTTCATCAGCCCTACCTAGGGTAACAGTATGCTTCATCTTTCATTTTAAATTCCTAAATTTGATCAATAAATTCAATTATTTAGAATAATAAGACACTATAGGGCATTTAATAATATTGGTGGAGGGGATGCCCTTAAAGGTGCAGATATTACAATTTGCCTTTTAAAATATCAAAGCTGATTGAACACTGATGAGAATATTGCTTCAGAATAAAAAATAAATAAATTTTAAAAATCCGGACAAGCAACTTTTTTACTCGGACAAGCGGACAAGTGATTGACAGATTTACTTACTTGTCCGGAGGACAAGCACGTGAAAAGGCTTAAGGGGATAGTTCACTTTGAAATTAATTTTTGATATGTTTTAGCTTAACTCAAGATGTAGGTGTCTTTGTTTCCACAGTAGTTTCAATTTTAATATTTTTAGGTTTGACTATCCCTTTAATGTCGAGCCCTGAATAATTTCCTACCCATTCCTTGCTGCCACTGAAAAAAAAAAAAAAAAAAAAAAAAAAAAAAATCCCTACCGACCCATGACCTCAACTGACAACCAACCGGAACCAAACTTTTTTTTTTTTTAGGCCTTATAGAGCTTGGAAGAGCCAGGACATTTTTTAATATAACTCCTATTGCATTCGTCTGAATCTGAAAGAAGAATGTCATTTACACCTAGGATGACTTGAGGGTGAGTAAATCATGGCCTAATTTAAATTTTTAGGTATAGTTTCCCTTTAACTATATTAAGTGAGCAATATTCATTTTGTTTCTTTACTTAATAGGCCTAGTTGTTTCTGTTACTTTAAATATGTGATGTAGTACTGTCCTTATTTAAATAGCCTATATACATGAATTGAAAGTGCAACTAGGCTGTTAGTATCTTATCTATTGATGGCGAATAATTTGTGACGTGAAGGAAATATACTAAAGTCTTTATGACTACATGGAAATTAAGCTTTTGCGGAATTGGGAATTGTTCTATTTATTTACTTTTAATGTATGTGTATTTGTATACAAGTATGTCTTATGCGTGTTCTAGATTCACTACAAACATTAGAAATGCTTTGGCAATACATTGTAACAATTGTCGTGTCAATATACAGCGCATTTTGACAATTTGAGAGAGAGAGGGGGGTACTTACTCATACAAGTGAGTAAGTGCACTTACTCATACATGTAAAGGAGAGAGAGAGAATTATCAATTGTTTACTATAAAATTCATGCTAACTGGGTTGACATTATATAAGAGTCCAATCTGGACAAACATAACAGATGATAAAAATGAGTGGACTTCAATCTTAAGTGTTCATTCATATTCTGATAGAATTATGCGAGTATGAATTTTTCTAGAATAGTACATCCCTATAAAAGGGAAATGTGACAGTGACATAAAACCAAAGGAAATTTTCTGTTTTCTCTTTTAAACAGCAGATCATCTCAGTTAAAAAACTAAATGTACTGTAAATAGAGAGAGAATAAACACTCATATTGCTTGTATATTGCTGTACATTATTTTCAAAATGTGGAACATAAAGAGGACATTATTTTGAAGGAAGAAAATAAAAACACAACAAAAACTATAACGTGTATGTTTATAAATACTTCAAATGAATTTTATCTTAGAGAGAGAGAGAGAGAGAGAGAGAGAGAGAGAGAGAGAGAGAGAGAGAGAGAGAGAGAGAGAGAGAGAGAGAGAGAGAGAGAGAGAGAGAGCTTCGTAGTCTGATGCGCTAGTCTTTCACCGTTATTGTGACGCAATGAACTGAACGACACTTCCTGGCAGCAGCGTGATCACCCCAAAACAATGAAAGTACATTTTCACAGCAATACAACCTCAAAACAAACACCTTTTACGTCCACTAAGACAATGTGGATGATCCTGGGTCGTTAACAACCAAAAGAAAGTGATGCTTTAACCCAATCCCACCATCCATTAACGTTACCCTCATCCACGACCCTTTTCTTTCTTTGAAATAAACGCGCGCAGAAAACGCTCTAGACACCCAAACTCTCAACTCTAAAGAGACAACAACAAATAACTTTATCCTTACTGTGGTTAAGAGTGGTTTCATCTGTTCATTGCTATCTTCCTCCATTTGTTCAAACTGTTCACTTCTTCCGTCCCTCGCCGGAGACTGATTTGAATATGATACTTCGAAATGCCCCTTCTCTCGTGTCACAGCCACTGAGAGTGTGTGAATGGTACTTTTACATATATTGGGGCTTGGCAAATCCCGCCCTTGTTGAGATTGACAGGTTAGTTCATCCGTTCACTCTCACGCGACCGGCTTTTTTCCTAGCCAATAACAGCTTCGGAACGACGCTGGAACATGAATATTAATGAGAAGGGGAGGGGTTCATTGGCTATTGGGTGGTCTACAAATAAATCCATTATATTAGGGAAGAGAAATAACTCGCGGTAAGGATGATGAGCATGATGATATGAAAGAAGTATCATGGTGTTATTATTAAGCCCTAATGGGAAAACAAAGAGGAATGCCTAACCTCTCAAAAGCCTGAGTAGGGATTGGTTGTACCGCCTTTACAAGACCCTTGACCCCTACTCTGACTCCCAGCCGCCAGCATAGTAAGTTTATAATCAATTAAAAAATAACATTATTGCATAATGCTAATTAAATCATAATTTAAATTTCAGTTGTCCCCCTGCTTGACTTGGTTGTTTTTACAACAATAGATTGGATGACAATTAATGTGTAGCCTATTGTAAGAAACATTTATATCTACATTTAAATACATTTATATTTTAGGGGTTCTAACTCAGGATTTCACAAACTTTTTTTGAAGCCAATGACCCATCTGTTATAGAAACTGTTTCAAGACCCATTCATTGTAGTTTTTACAGTACTTAGCCTATAGTCAATATTTTTTCCTGTTTTATCATCCTTCAGTTTTGTTTAGATCCTTCATCTGAAGACATTTGTAATGGCTACTGGAGGTCCATCATATTGCACATCGCAGCTGTAACTGCAACTTTTTTTGTTGTTGTCAAAATGATTCATTTAAACTGTGCTGTGGCCAATGAGGACTGAAACAATACAAAACATTTGCATTAAAAAATGAAATTTGATTTTTTTTTTTTATTATTATTGATGTAATACAGTTAAGGTGGACAAAGATTAAATAAATGTGTTTTATTTAAAAATTAACAAGAAGGCAACTATGAACGACAATGAATACTAATACCATTAATGATGGAAAATACTTATTATTATAATTATTATTGCAATAACAATAGGGCAAGAGTCATACAAAACACTTGAATCTATAAAAAATTAACATCACAATTCTTGTATCAAAAATCAAGTATCCTTTTTAACAAATGAGATGTATTACCAGCTATATGATTGTTCTGTATGGAAGTCAGAGAGTCTTAAAAGATAAAAAACTTCATTTATGTCACTTTGGCATTAGTGACAATCAGTAACAAGACATTTTTACATTTTATATATAACAGGATTTTTTTTCACATTGTGACCGATATTGTCTGGATGAATTTTATTATTATTATTATTATTATTATTATTAACTTACTTTAGGTAATTGAGATCAATCTGAGATTGCGATTGCTCGAAAATGTCTATCTTTGTACAAGGATGCCCTCTTGTGGTTAATAACTTCTCTGCATGTATTATCTTTTAATGGGCTACAATAGATTGATAGAATAGGTCTAAAAAAGGTCTAAAATAGACTGATTAGAGTCTCTAAATATAATGTCACATGACTTTATTTTGTGTTTCTATTCCAGCATTTAACTATTTAAATATAATGATTAACATAATACAAATAAAGGCAAGTTTCCAATACTGTGATATATTTTAACAAATCAAAAACTATCATGGTGATCAGTTATTGCATTGCTCTTACACATCTTGATCTTAGGAAACTCTTATTTACATTCTGTCATTAAAGCTGGGTCCTCTAGTCCGGTCAATCCAAAATCCTTGTGTCAGAAGTGGGATTTGAACCCACGACTCCACCCGGAGAACAGAATGCTCAACATTAGATGATAACCTGTTGAGTCTGACGCCTTAGACCGCTCGGCCATTCTGACACCATGGTGAAGCAGCGATAAACTCAAACTTGATGATAGTTACTTCCTGGACTGCAAAATGTGCCATGCTAATTTCTCTTTTGATTCTAAATGGCTCAAGATCAACTTCCCTGATTTAGGATATTTGTTCTTATGTTATAACATCTACAGTTTATAACCTGAATTCACCCAATGTTTACATTTTGAAACAGTGTGAGGTTTAAGAACCATTCTCTTCATATTTTGTGGAGGTGGAGTCTTCTTACTGAGAAAAACAAAATCAAAAACCAAATGAAAACGGCTCGAGACAAACACACCGTCGACATCAATAATGACTCATTTTCTATAAGTATTAAGTACAATTTCTTCATATACTACTAATGTGAGTGGATTCTAAGTTGGGGGCTGAAATATTGTTGCTTAGTGTGAGTATTCTGCACTTCTTTTGTCTGTCTCTAGTTAAAGTAGAAAACTATCACATATCAATCCTCTTTATTTGCTTATTGTGTCCTTACTTTGGTTTTTGCACGGGCATATCATGTACAGATTGTACATGATATGCCCGTACAGACCTGTTTTCAATTCAGTTTGTAATCTTAAATTTGTACTTTTAAGTCACATTAATTGGGGAAAAACAAAGCTAAACCTAAGCCAACTTTCTTCACCAGATTAGCTTCTCATGTGTCATCTGAGCAACTCTTCCAGTTAATCCAGATTTTCCGCGATTGGAGAATGTTCACAGTGGCATTTGGTTCCTCTTCACTTTGATTTCACTTTGACTGACAGTAAAGAGAAAAACATGCCTTTAACTTCTGTATAGGCTTAATAAACCGGAACCAATTTTAGTATGTTTTTTAGAGTACATTAGCTTGTTACAGTGCATCAAATTCTAAACTTTCATACAACTCCCCTTCCCAACACATATCTCTCTCTCAGTGTGTTTAAAGATGCCTAGACGTGATGATGTGACCAGCTTTTTGCAGCAGCCAGCGTCACTATTTGACCAGCATGTGGTGTCTAAATTCATGACGATCAGGCCAAAGGTCCTGGGGGTAAAAGACTTTCATTTAAAAAAAAAAAAAAAAAATCTGATACATGCTAATTTTGATTCGGGGGAAATGAGGAAGCAGAAGCTGTCTTTATATCTTCAAGGTTTTGGAAATATCAATAGGTAGAATGATTGTCTTAACAATCTGGACAGGATTTTTGTATCTCCTCTGGTCATGTCTAATTGTAAGTATTTGATTTTAACTCCATGACAACATTGTGCAATGAACAAATACTCAATAATGTTCATTTTCTTCACTAGTCAGTTTTAACTGGATCTGTGACAGTATGAGCTGCATGCAAATGTAACGCATTTAAGGGTTAGTCTGAACATCTAATATAAAATATTTTACATTTCACTGTGCCTACATTATGTTTGAAATATTTTTGATTTTTTTCATATTTCAGGTCAGAATCTCACAATTTCTAAACTGTTTCAATGCCATAGCATGTGGTATCTCCATCCCATTTGACTTTCTTGACAGTGATGTAAGTGTCTGTATTAGACGTCTTGCTTCGAATCTCACAAAATTAAAATATATCTGCCAAACTTATATAAAGTGCTCATATTAGTGTGATCAACTATAAAAGTGGTTTCAACTTTAACCCATTTCAAGGTACATTGTGTAGGTAGGACATCTAGCGGTAAAAATGTTTGCATTCAAACGAACTGTGCTCTCCAGCGCCTTGCGCGTTTTATCTACGGTAGCAAACCATTATTACCAAAAAGCTATGACAGGATTAGCACTTAGTCGAGTGTTCGTTCAGGTGAACAGGTTTTTTGTTTCAAACAAACAGCAACTTGACACAACGAATAAATGAATGTTACAGTATGAATTACGGACTGTGAAATACAATAACTATTGTATTAAGCCTTCTTTATTCGTTATATTTTCTGAAGTAGCCTACGCGCATTAGATATCATCATCAACTTTTAGCCTAACTTTAAATGTTCATCTGTGTCTATATAATAAAGTACACAACCAAACAAGGAAAAAAGGCTTGTAATTAAGACTGTAACATTGCCTTACCTTTCGAGAAGAAAGCAGGACTTCAGCGTCTCTGTTGAACTCTTTGTCTTGCATTAGCTCTATCCACCTGGAAAAAGCTAAGTTAAATTAAAAGAGTAGCTAGTTCACTTAAAAAAAAAAAACAACTTTTGCTGATAATTTACTCACCCCCCATGTCATCCAAGATGTCCATGTCTTTCTTTCTTCATTCGAAAAGAAATTAAGGTTTTTGATGAAAATATTCCAGGATTTTTCTCCATATAGCCTAATGCACTTTACTGGTAACCAAACGGTTCAAGGTCCAAAAGACAGTTTTTCAGCGCAAACTGCAAACTGTTCAAAGGGCTTTAAACGATTCCAGACGATGAATAAGGGTCTTGTCAAGCGAAACGATCGCTCAATTAAAAAAAAAAAAAAAACGTTTACGTTTTATAAGTTCAAATGGTCGCCTTGCTCTGTTCTGTGATGCGCGTTCGTGACTCTCCTGTTCGAACTCGTTCATCAAAATGAACAAATCTTTTCCCGAGTCAATTCGTTCATTTCGTTCGTTGAATGAATCAAATGACATGAAAAAAGATTCGTTCATTTTGATAAACGAGTTCGAACAGGAGAGTGACGAACGGCCATCACAGAACAGAGCAAGACGACCATTTGAGCTTATAAAACTTAAACTTTGTTTTTTTTTTTTTTAATGAGAGATCGTTTCGTTTGATAAGACCCTTATTTACATTTACAAGTAGGCTACTTACATCTACGAGTCATTAAATCATATTTAATTTGGACTTCATATGCTCTTTGAGGTGGGATCCATAAACCTGCATTATTATGTCTAACAGACAAGAACGGTTTGATCGAAAAATATCAAAATTGAAAATACTGCGGAAACAAAGACACCTACATCTTGGATGCCCTTGAGGTAAGCTAAAACATACCAAAAATGTATTTCAAAGTGAATTATCCCTTTAGCTCAAATGAAGATCTAAAATAGGAAACTGTGTTACGAACAGCAGCCACATCAGGCCTCTATCTTCTATCCCAGACATGAGGACTGAAGGACAGAAGATGATTGAGATCTCAGGCAAAAGATGAAATTATAATAATTGCTTTTTTGCATTTAATTATCAGATTGTTTAACTAAAAATGCTGTTTTTCCTCCTCAAAGTAAATTTTCATGAACTGTCATTTGCAATACTGCTAAATCTAGTTTATTACAGCAAACACACTTATTCAATCCACCTGGAGCAAGCTGACATTAAGTGTTCAAGCCAAGGGCACAATGTAGTGTTGTTTGAACCTACTGTACAGTCATACTGTTTTAACCACTGGACTAACAGCACATTTTGACAATGCTTTTTATCCAGGGCTTTCCTGAAATAAGCCAAATATGAACACACTACAAAATGGTCTGTCTGTACCATGTTCCAGTTTTATGAACCCTGAGTAGCTGTTAGTGTCAGTGTTTTTGCAGGACAACTGCTCTCATGCGTCGCTGACACTGCTATGTGTCTAACAAACAGAAGAGATAAGACAGCCAGAGGTTCTGAAATTGGATGAGAAGAGCAATTCCTCTGGGATGAAGGTCACTCATCCTCGGACTGTTTATGGAACTTGCCCAGTGATTGGTTTAATTTCCTTTCATTCATCTATTGTCTCTATTTCACTAACCACTCTTAAACTAGAATCATTCATTAAAGGTGCAATATGTAGGATTTTTAGGACTTTGGTCAGTTCAAGAATAATTTATGCAATTGATTTTTTATTTAAAAAAGAATCTACAGTGCAGTTTTTTGTCTGTCCTTGAATTGTTCAACTGGTCAAAGTTTATATGGGAATCGATGACCCTTAGGCGCTCAACATCCTGTCGCCGGTTTGTGGTTTGATCCACCAGGATACTGTTGATATCCTGGTGGATCAACCCACAAGCCTTGCCGTGTCGGAGATTCTCTGAACCAGGCGCCATGCTTTAACAGTTTGACCCTTGTCAAAAGTCACTCTCACTCACCCATTTCTCCTACATCCAAAACGTTGATTAGAAGAATTGATTGTTTGCTTAACTTCTAATCTCAGACCTTAATATGTGGCCTTGTTAGGAGATGCACTTCCCCTGTAACTGGTCATGGCCAATGTGTTGGCTTATCAGTGTATATTCTGCATTTTATTTATACATTTAGCAATGTTTTTAATTCCTTTCACCCTATTAGAACCTGAAACCTACAGGTAGCAGTAGAGAGCCACTGGTCTGAGATAAAATGTTGATTCAGTCATGTGATTAATTAAAGCTCACGAAAAGAATAGACACCTTAAATTAGTCAGAGAAGAGTTTTTTTTTCCTTTTAAATAATTTAATACTTTTTAAAATTATTTGGCTTACTACATTGACCTGTGTATCACACTAAACATACAAAATAACAAGAAATAGTTAATCCATAATCCATTAAATAATGCATTGATAGTGTAACTGTGACCCTTCTATGTGAATGGAGAGCAGAACACTGGGGTACAGCTCAAAATACCCAGCGACAGTGTAGCACATACAAAGGTCCATTGTGTACAGCACCTAAAACACCCTTTACTCTATTAACATTTTTTTCAGGTACACTTGAACACAATTTCAATCCATTTACATGGATCTTTTGTACAGCAGGTCAGAAATATTGGATATATTTAGATACAAACATATTTAGAAACAAATCAAACTCCTGTGACTCGGTTATCTCACTTGTGTGTTAAGTGAACAGAGGATCGCTAAAATCAATGAATAGACAGCAGTGCCGAGATTCTCTTAATCACATCAGGATAACAGAGAGCTAGGTCATCAGAGATCTGGATTTCTGTCTGTCAGTTTAACAGGAGACGGATGGGTTTTATCGCGACCGTTTTCAGGAAGATTGCTGTAGCCACTGAGCTCCGGTTTGCTCATACATTATTTCCTACAAACATCCTGGAACACAAAAGCTAGGCTACCGTCAAAGTGAAATTGCACCACCCACGATTCGGTTTTAAACATTACAATTCATTTCAATAAAAATAAAAAAACAACAAGAATAAAACCCTACAGGCATAAAAAAATATTCCTTTTTGTTTTCGTGATATATTTCAAGTACACTAAGGTTAATTCACATCAAGTGTAGAATATCTCAAAGCAGAAGCACTAAATTCACTCACATCATAAGCTTGAGTTGAACTATGTGTTTGACGGGGACACACTGTGCACTGCAGCTCATTAGGGAAATTCATTCTCATGTATTGTGTGCAGAAATTCGTCCTCTGAATGTAAACTGAGCTCCCAGCTCGTCTTGAACTATTTACCGCAGCATGTTACCACAGACACACGTCCGAGTGATTGTTCACATTCACGATAATAATATGAAATCAGTGCTGAGGCAGCACGGAATATTGCATGTTCAAACGCTCGAGACACAATTGTACTCTGTACAGTATGTACACAATATCTGTGCTCTGTGTCTCCAGATGGGAGTGTGCGTTAGGTGAGGGCTTTCTCTCTCCCCTCACCCGAGTGGGGTCATGGTGGATCTGTGTGGTTTTGGATGGGGTTTGTAGAGTTTCTTTGGGATTTTGAGTTTCAAGAATTGCACTTTACTTATTTTGTATCACTTATAAGAGTTTAAGAAAGTTAAACAACCCGTCCAAATGCCCTGAAACATGCAGTATGTTTAATTGGTACAATTATGTTTTTTTTCCTTTTCTGTTATATATAGTTTTTTTTTTCTGTTTTCATGTTAATTGATTCCTTTAAAAATATTCCACTATTAAAATGTTCTTCAAATACATGTTCATCTAAGACTATCATTCGTTACAGGAATATTCAGCAGTCAGCCGTCTCCAGTCCTCTAGGGTACATCCTGTGGAAAAATCAGGAAGGGTCCCATTACTAAATTAAAAGTCCAAACATGGTAAACATCACATTAAAAAGGCTTGAGCATTCTATTGTTTATAAGTAAATAATCAATTTAATTCACATTTAAATGTATATCTGTATTGTATTGCTTAGCCTTTGAGTTTTTAACTTCACTTGATGCATTTTATCAGGAATATTAAACCCAATTATTCCACAGGATCATCACAGAGCCACACTTTCAGAAAAAAAGTGCAAAAAAAATGTACCTTTATGGGCACGGCAGCTTGTCACTGTAGCAGAACCTTTAATGGGTCATCTTTGTACCTTATTTAGGCCTAAAAGTTGCATAGTAGTACCTTAAGGGTGCATAATACTACTCTAAAGTACTAATATTCACCCTTTAGGGGTATATAAAGTACATAGAAATATTGTCCGTTAATATACATCCAAATTTGGAACTGTTACTGCCCAATTGACAAGCTGTTGTACCCCTAAAAATACATTTTTTGAAATGTATTCTGACAGTGTATGACAGGAAGGAAGCTGATAGCCATAACAGCGCTAATATATAGAGAAACCTGAACACCAAATCTGTGAGGTCTCATCTTGGGCTTGCAGCAAATTCAAACACCAAAAGCACTTCCACAGACGCTAATGGTTTCATTTTCACACATTCTTAATGCTCAACGAATAATCCTGTATAACATTACACTCTAAAAAATGCTGGGTTGTTTTAACACAATTTTGGGTCAAATATGGACAAACCCAGCCATTGGGTTGATTTTTTTAATGACATTTTTAACCCAATGTTTGTGTTTGTCCATATTTGACCCAAAGTTGGGTTAAAACAACCCAGCATTTTTTAGAGTGTAGAATCCAACGAAAAACATGGAACAGATCATTTGTTGTAACTGATCCCTTTATGATCTTTAGTTACCATGACTCATTTTCTTTCATAATCTGAATTTTAAGATGGTTTTGTGTTCACAATGCATATATTTGATGTATGTATTTTGTTTTAAATGAGCTGAACTGGACCAGAGCAGGTGTGCCTCAAAGAAGATGTAGATGAACCCGGCGAGGAGCCTCTCGGCCAGAACTGACTCTCTCCCATTCTCCCTCTCTCTTGGTCTCAATCTCCATTCATCTCCATAACCTTTTCTGTGAGGATTTCACGGAAGGTTGAAAGCTGCTTCATCTGCTCTGTCTGCATCGAATGTCTCCTCATCAGTTTCTTCTTCATCTTGAAGTCAGGACCCCGTTTTGGAGATGTTGGTGCAACCGGCAGCAGGATCTTGCTCCCTGAGTGGACGGGAGAAGTGGGTTTTCCGTTAGCTCGGATATCAGGAATGGGTCGCTGGGGGTTGACGTTGAGAGGAGGAAGGAACCCAGGTCGTGTGTGGGAGATGTGGTCCAGTAGGAGAGTCCCTGATCCCCGCCGTTCCAACAGTCCGGTTGGACGCCGTCGCATTGTGATGGGAGACACGGAGTTGGGAATGCTCTCCAGAGACTCTCGAGAAGAGCTAGTGAGGAGCGACAAGGGAGAGGCATTGTACTTGCGGCGCTCCACTGAGACACGTCCAGAATCTGGAGATCCAGGGATGGAGGCAGGACACAGGTGAGTGTCCGACTCGTAGTGCTCCATGCGGGTGAGTTTGGGGTGCGTCAAGCCACGGATTCCCGTCGATGCCTGAGCCACATTGTCCTGAGTCTCAGGGGCCGTGTTTCTACGATACAGTGACTGGTGCTGATGGACTTTATCCGCCCAGGACGAGCCACACAGTGCTGCACAGTCTTCCGAACAGGACCGGTCTATTAGCTTCGGAGAGGACGGGTCATGGGTCTCTATACTGTGCCTTCGGGACAGGAGAGGTCTACCTGGACCGGAAACTGTCATCCCATTGATCTCTGAGACCAACTTGTCCTCCTCTGCTAAATCGCCCTCTATCCGCTCTGCTCTCTCGGCAAGTACGGAAGGAGCCACCAGACCCCAGGGCTCAGAGTTCAGTCTTTTCAGAAGCTTGCGGGGCGGTGGTCTCCTCTCCCCCTGTGGTCTGCTGGAAGGTACTGGGAGTGCTGAAGTCACAGCGAAGCTGAAGATACCTTCCTCTTCCTTACTGGGGGCAGGGCCAGTGGTGTGGATCTCCACTTCGGACGGAGACATACAAGCAGGGGAGAGACTGTCCACTATACCCGGAGATGGTGGAGAGTTCAGGTATTGTTTGGTCTTTTTAGTGCCAGAAGGTGATGTATCGGTTGTAATGATGATTACCTCTTTGCCTTTGGCTTTGCAGGCATCCAGCAGGACCTGGAGAGTGTCCCTGTCACCCTTATTGATGGCGTGTACAAGTGCAGAGGACCCGGAGTAGTCTTTCAAGCTGGGATCAGCGCCGTTTTCCAGAAGCAGCGACACCACCTCTTTGCCTGCCTGTTCTGCACATGCATGCATGAGGGCGGTCCGACCCGATTTGTCGGGGATGTTTGGGTCCGCTCCCTTCTCCAGCAGGTATCGTACCATTCTCTGCCGGGTCTGCGGATCATCGTATCCTGCCAGACAGGCTGCTATGATGGACGTCTCTCCTCGCTCGTTCCCTTCGTTGATATAGGCTCCACCCTCCAGGAGGAGGCGTGCGAGGCGGAGTTTGCCCTGGAAGACAGCTTTCAGAAGGGCATTGCCCTCCGTGCGCAAGGCCCCTCCATCACCCATGATGTCACGCTCTCCACCTCAAGAATCCCAGAATCCTCCACTCTCCCGTCCTCCGGCCTCAGCACTGTCGGCACATCCCGGCTCAGATTCTGGTCAACCTGGAACGAAAACAAATAAAAGTGCTTTGTCATGAGGTACATTTGACAAACTTTATTTTAATTGCACTTTCCTTACATTCAAATATACTTCTGTATCAAACTAAATTCAGGAAGTGAATTGGAATTTAACAGGCATTCTCAATTCAGTTTAGAATGTCAAACAACTCAAATCAATCAAATTCAATTCTAAAAGCACATTATTTTGATCAGAATCAAAAACACATAATCTACAGCACTCAAAACTCCATAATTACTCTACATTGTCTTACTACTAACACTTTTAAATGATTGTTAATTGTTAGTTAACCATTGTACCCATAACTAAAGTTAATGCATTCAAACATATAAAGGTGTTGCATTCTTAGTCACTTGTGTTATGAACACCGTGTCCTGTCCACTGACACTCTGTACAGCCCTGTACTCTTTAACAGTCTTCTCTCCACCTTCTCTATAATGAAGGCAGGAGAGGAGATGATAATGGAGGTCCAGTAAAGAAAAGAAAATTGAATTCCTGAGTGGCGCAAAGAGCATCAAGACCATGATCAAGACATGTGACCTAGCTCAGTCCGCTCTGCACACAGAGACCAGAGATTTACTGACACAAAAGTTACGTTGTTTGAAATAGTTTTGGTTGATATCTGAGTTACCGCAATTGCAAGGTACGGCAAAAAAAATATACTTAATAGTTGTGTGTGGGGGGAGGGGGATTAGTGTGAAAGATGGTAATTATTAGACCCAAAAAAGAGGTGAATGCTCACCCTCAATCAGAAACCTTCCCATCATGCAATGTAAGAGCTAACTATCTTTGTAAGATGATTAGAGTAAGCGACAGGGGTGGGCAGGAGGGCATCCAGTCTAATAATAGTATTATTAACATTCCACAGCCCTCGAAGTCAGTTTAAACTAATATGAAATTCAGTGAGCCCACATGTCAAATAGCATATTGATATAGTCACTGAAGACGAAGCCATCCTCTTTTCCAACTGAAACAATGAGCTACATGAACAGGGAGGAGAGAAAGATTCAATTGTTTTGACTAAGTTGGCAGTCGCTCATGTGATGTCACAGAGATGCTTCAACTATGGAAGATGGTGACATTAAGTGACTTATTTGAGGTCAGTGTGGGAAAGGACAAACAAACTGCGCAAGGTAAAATCTGAGATGTTCCTTTACAGTGAGAGTCTTCATCTATATATAATATGTTGGATTTATTCCTTGTGTTCTTTCTTTCGCTGCTGTTCTGCATAAATATCCTGAACTCTACACCTGAAGATGTACTGAGACAAAAGAAAAAAACAGCCAAGGACCCATGCCAGCCCAGGACACACAGCAGATAACAGCCCAATAAAAAGTACAGTATGCAAGCTACCCTTCAAAAGTTTGGGGTGAGTTCAGCATTAAGTTGAATTAAAGACATTTATAATGTTGCAAAGAACTGTTTTCAACATTGATGATAACAATAAGAAATATTACACTGACACTGAGTAATGATGCTGAAAATTCTGCTTTGTAACAGGAATAAATTACATTTTAAAGTATATTCAAATAGAAAATTATCATTTTAAATTGTAATAATATTTCACAATAATATTCCCATTTGTACTCTATGTTTTTGATTAAATAAGAAAACATTAAAACCACAAATTTTGAATGGTAGTGTATGAACACTATATAATACAAAGGATTGCTTTATATATATATATATATATATATATATATATATAGCTTATGTTTACTTTACTTTAATATATCTTAACTGGCTGCTTTTGTATAAATGTTATTTATTGAGTTCACTTGTATATTATGGTTTCCTAACAAAATATCTATCTGTGCTGCACCATGTCCCTTTAAACCTTTGAATATTTACATTATACAGCCATCCCTCAAGTCGACTGGCCCACCAGAAGAGGCCCCGCTGCTCCTAACGCCCAGTCTATCTCTGGCGATGCGAGAAGAACACCGGGAACGTTCACAGAGTGTAGCTGTGCAGAATTCACATCCCTCCTCCATCACACCAATACACCCACAGACCCCGAGCTGCTGCTGCTCCTCCTGCCTGCCTTCTTAAGGAATTCTCTGTGATTTCCGTGCCAGCTCAGCCAGGGTAAGCAAGAGGAATGCTGTTTTTGCATACTGATTATGCGAGGTGGAGAGGACCAGGGAAGTGTAATTGCAAAAAAATCCATCTTTAAGTGGCCAGGGTTTCATGGATTCGAGACAATGAGGTTAATCTCCTGTCTCACACAGGCAGCATGGATGACTCATCTCCATGATAGACTCACTGGAGAGATGTGGCACAAAGACTTGGGGCAAGCGTCGTCTCTCAGGAGATCAGCCTGCCAAAACCCACAGGCTTTCTTATGTATCCTGATCTGATGTGTATTGTGACCAGCCTAAATTAAATTAAATTAAGCTTCTGCAAGAACCAGTCAGGCAAGTATGGTTGAGCTACTTACCATATTTAAGTGCTCTATGTACATTAGCAGATCAATGTTTATATGTGAATAGAAGTTCAATTAAATCTGTTCATTACATTGAACTTCTCTTCAGAAGACTGGGATTAAACCACTGATTCATATGGATTTATTTTACAATCTTTTTGATTAACATTTTGAAGTGTTTTGGGTGTACACACTTTCAATGGAGCGACAGAAATCTCTGAAATGTGTAACATATTATTGAAAAATGTCTCAATTTTTAATTTTTTTTTCATATATTAAAAGTCAGAGGGATCCAATATTGTTTAGACCCCGATCTTCTTTTGTGTTATACCAGTCATACAGGTTTGGAACGACATGAGGTTAAGTATAGTGAACTATCAATTTAAGGACATCAGACAAGGCTTTTGTTCTGGTTAATGCAAAAACCTACATTTTGAAGTCCTATTGCTATTGTCTGCGATCACAATTCACGTCGTCTTCGTTTAATTGTAAGTCTGTGTAAAAACACTCGTGTTTCCCTTGTCTTTGATCAAGTATTCAGTTTATTTCATGAGTTCAGTTTCGACGCTACAGACAGAAGCAGTAAGAGCTAATATGTAGGGATATATGCAAAGAAGAAGTTATGTAAGTGCATGCAGTGCAATTGTGCACCAACATCTGTGTTTTCTAAATAAATTGCTTTCTAATTTGCATCATTTAGATGTACTCTAGAACCATGAGGGTTATGTATACACAGACTGATTAAAACAAGAAACACCTGGTACATTTCAGGGAGGGATTGTGAACATTACAGTTATGTATTTGCCAGATTTATCAGTTGTTTTATCAGTTTTGTCTTCGGCTCCTCCAAACGAGGAAATGAACTGAACTTGAAGGCTTGCATTAAAAAAAAAAAAACATTACAGATGTCTGATTCTTCACTCACTTTTGTAACTCCAAAATGGACGTTATGTCACACATGATGACATATTATGAAGAGAGAAAAAAAATCATTCTTTTTACAGACTTCCAAACCGCATAAATGACTAAAGGTAGAAGATTGTATTTATGAAAGTACATGTTATCTGATCAGATTAACTAGTTTTTTTTTCTAATAGCTGTGTCACTCTCAATTCACTTTTCTCTTGCATTTGTTGTGTATTAAAAGATATCAGGATTCTCAGTCAATATTTGGTATATGTGTAGATACCAGCTATTGACTTCACTGTCACTTGCAAAATGACAGTTCAGACATTCCCCAAGATTCAATTTGATAGATAAATTGGATTTATGTGCCTTTGCTTTTCCCAGCATTCCCCACGAGTGTGTACACACACCAGTGTGGCGAGCTCTCACCAAAATAAACTTGCCAATTTTGCAGCATGTTGAGAAGCATGTCGAGTCTATGTTTTAGTGCTGCGCCATAGCAGCGAGGCGACATACCACGCTGTCTTGTCACGACAAATCGCATCCAATTCTCTCCGGTCTCCTGACAGATGATGGAGATTAATATCATGTCTTCATTCGAGACCCCACCCCTGGCTTTCTTTTTTACGTAAAAGCAGCGTGTGTGTGACACTAGGCCTTATCTGAGGTTGCGTGAGTGAGCAGAAAGGGCTACACACTCAAACCTTTTCGCCGTGGTGCCTTTGAGCTGCTGTTTGCCTCATTAGATCACACGGATCAAGGCAGGTGCAATCCCTTTTACAGCAGCTGAGAGAACAGCATCCATCAGCGGTGCACCGCTGACCCTGTGACCCAGTCGCATCAGAACCGCTGAGGAAATTCATCACTCAAATTGGCAGCTTCACACAGAACCATCCTGCAGAGGGGCAATGAGATTATCTCCTTCACACTAAACGTCCTAAGCGTTCCTGACACGTCCGCTGAACTGCCGTTTGTGTTTCTTTTCGATCGTTTATTGCGGCGTGTTTAGATCTTGGTGTCATTTTCATCGCCGTGCATGTTGTGGTGAGTTTGTTTTCTCCTACACTTGGTCTTTAATGAAATGAATGCCAGCAAAACCACTTGACTCGACTAGACTGAGTGTTCAGAGATTTACAGAGCCGAGAATGAATTCGAGAGCAATCTGCGCGTCTCCTTTCACATAACTGCACACAACCAACACATTCTTCTCTGCCCTAGAACTGCAGACGTTTTATGCAGACAGGAAAGTGGCTTCATGTGATCAATGTCGAAATCTGATGATTAATATTCTATTCAGCATATATGGATATTTAACATTATTTGAATAACAAAAATAAGTAAATAACCTTGTAACTAGTCAAAACTCTTAATAGTCCTAAAAATAGGCTTCCTATATGCAAAATACAATTCCTTTTGTTTTCTTGATTTTGGAGTGACATTTCACTGGGGTATCTTTTTGATATCCTTAGTGAGATTTGCCTATATGCTTTATATATTGCGCTTTTGTGTCTTATGTTTAAGATCATTACATTTGCTTTTTGCATTCTGACATTGTTTTTGAGACAAATAAGCCTTATTTTACCCCCTGATTCTCATTGCATCTGATCATGTCCCTCTTACTATTCCAATTACTTTTACATGATATTTCTCATTATGTAAAGTAGTATTTTTTTTTTTAAACAAAATAAGTAAATAACCAACTAGGCATGATGAATAAATGCTTCATCATGACAGTAATTGAAATTAGACTGTATTTTGTAGACAGTCGGAGCATTTTCAGAATTCGATGCGTTCTCGACTTGACTTGCACACCAGCCGCAGATATCTTCAGCTCAGAACTATTTTTAGTCTCAAAGCATCAAATCAGCTCTCTGCCTGATGCAAGCTCTTTTTTTAAAGAAGCTTAAATGATTTTAATTTCTTAGTATACAGTATATATATATATATATATATATATATATATATATATATATATATAAAATTATATGATACTAAAAATAATAAGTAATGAGAACTGGGGTGTAAAATTCTTAATTGTCATGCACACTTAGAAAAAAAGTTTTTTGGGGTTCTATATGAAGCATGGGGTTCTTTACTCAACTTCAAAGAACCTTTTATGCTAAAAAAAAGGTTCTATAATCACAAGAAAGAACCCTTTTGGCACAAAGGTTCTTTATAGGCTATTATTCATTCATGTATTACATTATTCTGCAACATTTTGTAGTTGTAATTAAATTATTGTTTATTAAACTGTTGTACTAACTATCACATTTTAATCATGCTGATTTTTTGGAGGAGAGAAACTGAAATGGTACTCTTCGTGTGATATTGATTAACTACATAAAATGATATAAATATATACATTTTCTAAGCCCCATATCTTGAATTTTGTGATCATTCACATGCATTCATAAATACATTTTAGGGTCTTGATGTTTTGTCAATAATATGACATATTTAATCTGGAAAGGACAAAACAAATGATAATAAATGAACCCAAAAGGTTACACATAGAACCTTTTTTCCTGGTAACAAAGAACCCTAAAGGGTTCTTTTTATTGAACCCTTAAAAAGGGTTCTGTATAGAACCTTTTAGGGGTTCCAAATACGTAGAACCTTTTAAGGTTATACATAGAACCTTTTCTTCTAAGAGTGTAATAATCAAAACTTACATAGCCAACAATGCAATCAGCAACATTTGTAATTACTTAATTACGCAATTTGAAATATTACTAAAACCATACAAGAGAGTAACAGCTGATTGTGTGTCGCTGTCCGGGGTGCTGAACGTTATTCTCAAAAACTGAGCACTTTCAGAATTTGATGTGTTACAGACTGGTGGTTTTACACGCCAGCTGCAAATATCTTCAGCTCAGAACTATTTTTAGTCTCGAAGACTCAAATTTGGTGTCTATTCACGTCAGCTCTCTGCCTGACGCAAAGCCCCGGTGTCCACAAATGAACTTCCCAACAGCAGACACACACTTCAAGTCTTTAAGAGCAAACGTGCGCCAATCGCCACATAAAGGCTCATATTTTAAGTTTTCGTGAAGTAAAGTGAGAGAATGAACATTATAGCAGCATAAATATCAGTCTTAAATTATACACCCGGTAAATCTTCAGTGATGTTTTTAAAAAGGATCTTAAGGAAATGCCAGCACACAGTCGGTGCAGCCGAGAATCCGAATTGCGGTGCATGAATTTGTCAGCAATGAATGAACGTTTATAAAGCCTTATGAACAGCAGCAGCCACACGCACATCATCCCTCCAATAAAACATTTGCTTTTACCTTCATTAACTCACACCCAAAATGAGCACCCATACATTCCGACGGAAAATGATTTCACAGTCGTTTGCATGCATGCAAAAAAAAAAATGCTCTATAAAAGTGGTTTGAAATGTATAGCCTAAATATCAAGAAAGACGGTGCAGGGAAATGTTAAGATTTCTGCAATATGAAGGACTGAAGTCTGCTTAATTATGGCCATGCTCAGTTGAGAATAATACACACACATAATAATAACACATTTTAGCATATGCAAAGAGGCATTTGCAGAAGAGTATGTCGAGAGAGTCTCACCGTGGATCTGCTGTCTTCACTCCATCGGAGCGGCTGGTTTTCGCCCGAGAATCCAGCTGCTGTCTGCTGATCCCCGTGTCTTACATCCCCCACATCATCTCTCCTCCTGCGACCGAGAGTTTGGGAGACTCTGCGGGGGCGTGGAGTGGGCAGTGAGCTGATGCGAGTCTCCCACGATCACGCACAGACTCACTGGCTGTCTGACTGCTCGCATGCACAGCACCATCTCTGCTTTCCACTAGGGGGAAACTTTATTTCAATTATTGTCATTCTTATAATTTTAGCATAGAATGTTGTCCTCTTTTCTGGTGCACCTCTGCATGTGTGTGTCATGGTGCGCTGTGTTTACAGGTACAATACAATTTGATACCATAATAGTAATAATAATAGACTTGTCTTGTTTAAGAAATAGATCAAATTTGGCTTGATGCATGAACATTTAAGCATTGAGTGTTTGCTTTACACAGCCAAGTTAATGCTGCTCTAAATTCTGTGTAAAGACGCAATGGCGCATTAAACCCATGCAAAAAATAAAATATGCCAGCCCTGACCCACTTAATACCCCACTAATGAATGTAGATGATGCAGCTTTGATGCAGTGTTTTGGTGCCTTAAACACTGTTATTGTCATGCCAGAGCTTTTATTTCTTTACAATTTTGCATTTTCTATATCCATCATTTTAGATTTAAAACAAAGTACAACTGCAGACAAAAATGTCATTCGATTACTCTTGTGTAAATGCATGCCCTGTGCAGCATGTGCTGGTTTTGCAGTGTAAAGACGGCAATATTTTAGGTCATCAGTCAACTCTGGTGCATATTCTCCCTCAACATAAATCTGGATTTTTCCTTGCCGTTTCACCTTTTTTATTTATTTTAGGGGCTCATATATATATATTTATATATCTCAAGGCCCTCTCTGCAAGAAACAGGGGGGTGTGAAACAATTCTCAGACTGCATAAATACTAATTCAGTGACTATAGCTATTATTGAACACAGTTTCTATGGCAACTGATTCAGTGGATTCCGACAGAAGCGTTCCCACGGTGACATGCACATGCTGCAGGAGAGAGAGAGAGAGAGAGAGAGAGAGAGAGAGAGAGAGAGAGAGAGAGAGAGAGAGAGAGAGAGAGAGAGAGAGAGAGAGAGAGAGAGGGGTTATAGTAGTGAATGTGCTCTCTCTATGTTTAGACTTACATTGTGGCTTGAATATTGTGTACCAATATTTCAATTAATGTTTATAGTTTTTATTTTGTTAAAATTAGGTTACCTTATTGAAACGAGTCCATCTTAATGTATGTCTCTCATTCTAATAAACACATATTTTCTGATTTTGACGGGGGAGGCTGTGAGTCAGCAATATCATGGTTAGTTTTCCTTTCATTATTTATTTATTAATTTTTTTTTACAAATGCAGATTTAGCTGAATTTTAACAGTTGTCAGGCTTTCTAGAAAAGTGCTTTGAGCAGCTTCATCAGAACAGAAGAAAATGGAACTGGTCTGATTTTGAAAATCTCCTTTAAACACGTTTTGCACACAAAATTGAGCAAAATTGTTGGCAGTCATAAAATATGACAGTGGGAGATTTGTAGTTTCGAAAAAAATGTATAATCCAAAATAATAATAAAAAGTTTCATAATAATTAATTCCATAATTCAGCAATAAATCCTACATTTATGGTGTTTTGTTTCACATTTTATGATGGGGAAATGGGCCTGACATTTTATTTAGGCTATTATTTATTTGATTGTTTTACCCATTTGATTGTCAGGCCATATGACAGTTCATATAAAAAAATAAGAAAAGTTTAAAATTTGTTAGTTTTAATACAAATCAGCTTTTGACTGCATGTAGTTGTAAAAAAAACCCACCGTTTTCCATTTGACACTCAGAGTTGTTCAAATAATCGTTTTTTTTTTTGTTTTTTTTTAATTGAGCTGTTTGCTTTTCAAGACTTATATTAGGCTAGACAGACGCGGAACCATAAGTGAACGAGCACACGTTTCTGGCAGGAAGTTTTTCTGCATCGGGCAAAAACAAATATGCAGATGTTTGGCGGGTGATTTTACTTCGCTACGTCAATAAAATCCATGAATTTATATGACAAACAACTGCATTTAATATTTACGGATCATACAATAAATGCTTGGCACAATGAAATGAAGTTATAAATAAAGAGGGATTTCGTCGCACTTTTGTCTGTGAGTTAACGAGGCGTGTTTAAATATTACATTTCGGTCTTAACTAATAAAAATATATTTATACATACTTATATGTATATATTATGTAAAATACTTAGATTGGTTTGGTCTAAATGTCTATTTTGTAGGGGAATCGAAGTGTGATCAAACAAATAAGTAAATCATATCAATCATATACGTTAGAATAATTCAAGCTGATGACGAATAAATGTGATATGTGTTGATTGTGTCTCAGATAATGTCAGGAAGGGGCAGAGGGCAGCTCACTTTCTCTGTGGAGATTGTTGGAATCGGGAAAGGAGAAAATCTCCCTCCGTCCACCGTCCAGCCTACCCCTGTATTCCCTGTGAGTGTTTCAAGATAAGATAAAACCTCGGACTGATATTAATTATATTACATTACACTTATGTATTTGGCAGACGATTTTATCCAAAGCGACTTACATTGGATTCAAGATGCACATCAATTCTTGCAATCTAGTCGAACTAAGGCGTTCCTGAGATCCAGAAATCACACAACTAAGTCATAACATCTCCAGTTTAACTGTCACATGTAGAGCAGCCCAAAAAAACCTGTAAAACAGAAAAATATATGAATGTCATCACAACAAATTATTAAAGTGCCTTTTATTTTAAAGTTCGATATATCCCGCCCTGTCTTCCTGTTTCAGTGGAAACTACATCAACATTGAATGATGCTGAGCTTTTCAAGGCACTTCACTGGCCTTTTAAAGATAGCACAAATACAACTTTTTACAAACACAAGTACAAGTTTTAAATCACTATAAAAAATACTGTTCATAATAAAACAAAAAGTGAGTTTTGAGAAAAACTCTAGCATAATGAATCCGATATCCCTTATTAAAAGCACATTTATGTACAGGAATGTTTAATTAAGTCAACAGTTAACTGTCAAATCAGGTGTTTTTTTGACCCCTTATACAAGACAGATGTGTATCAGCTCAATTCTGTTTGATATTTCAGCCTCTGGATCAGAAGCCGGTGCCCCTGCAGGCGGGTGAGGAGGCCGAGTACATGCTGGCACTCAAACAGGAGTTCAGAGGAGCCATGAAGACACTTCCATTTTACATCCGTCCAGCTGCACCCAAGAAAGGTCAGCGTGGAGGATGAGCTCTTTTCTGGCATCTATAAAGTTACCATGATTTTTTTTTTTTTTTACAGAACTCTGTGGTGCTTTGATTTATGATTTATTTGTGCACATCATTTTTAAATAGGGACTTGTATTTTTTAATCAAAAACATTACCCTCCCCCTCAAAACAATGTCTGTTCTCTTCATGATGAATGTCTCGGTGGAGGGGCGGTGCTATATAAATATCCTCCACAACTGACTGCAAACTGGCTTTCAGATCTGGAGCTTGACCAAGTCCAGCTCCACCTCTCCTGACCTAATGGGCGGAGCCTATAACCATAATAGCGTTATGGTAGGATTAGGGTGTGGTTCGACATTATAGCTCCACCCATTATGTTCAGCGAGGAGGGGCTGGATGTCAACTCCACCCATTGTCTCTGCAGTGAGCAGCCTATCAGCCTCTATTTAGTTAGCAACGCCCAAAATCCACTGATACAATCAATTCCTGAAGGACAAAATCAAATCCTGCTCTAGATTTTACTCATTCCAGAAGCTTGAATATATGTCACAATAGGAAGAAAAGTCTATCGCAACTTCCATTTCATGCCGACTTTTAGATATCCTCCATTTCTTTGGTATACAGATTGTATGAAGACAAAATCCAATGTTGACTGAGACTGCATAATTTATTAAATCAATTTTTATCTTTTAAAATCTTTTTTCACATATAAAAGATTTAAAAATAATCTAGATGTAAACATTTACAGGGATTTTTTTTTGTCAGATGATTTCTTCTCTTTTTTATGAATAGGTCTCTGTAGTGATTAGGAATTTGAAGTTATTTTTTCCTCTTGACAGATGTGGAGCGTTATTCTGACAAATACCAAAAAAACGAAATCACTGACAACAGTTTGGAATGGAAGCCAGGTGAGTGATTTATGTCAGTGATTGGTGGGTGGTGATGACGCAGTGGATAAGACACATGCCTTTAGTGTGAGAGACCTGGGTTCGAATCCACTGTGAGACACCAATGTGTCCCTGAGCAAGACACTTAACCCCTAGTTGCTCCAGAGGCGTGCAACCTCTGACATATATAGCAATTGTAAGTCGCTTTGAATAAAAGCGTCAGCTAAATGAATAAATGTAAAATGTAAATGTAAATGATTCACTTCAGTGCTACTTTAATATTATTTATACATTTTCAAATAATATTTTGAATTAGTATTTATATTTTCTGTTTTTTTTTTGTTTGTTTTTTGCTTTTTTGATTTTAAAATTATTATTTCTAAACAGTTTTAAATTTTTATTTTTATTTAAATTATTTTTATCAGTTTTAGTTTGAATTCAGTTAGTCATTTTAGCACTTTTTAGACCATGCATATTTAATTAAAATTAATTAATTTTTAACTTTGTTGCCATGCCTAAAACCCTAAAACAGTATAAATAAATAAATAATTAAATAAGAAAGAACGAAAAAAAGAACTTTACAGCTCAAATAATACACGGGTACTAACAGAAAATGAATTGAAGTGCTTTTATAAAATGATATGCTTCACATTTCTGCTTTTAAATCCTCTAAAAATCGGCCCCAGGTGCCTCACCGTTTGCCTTTTTTAAAGAACGCGTATTGGTAACACAAGCATTATGCTGAGGTTTACTTGCATTAAACCAATGTTCAAAATAAGTTTTTCATCCAATCATTGTAATTTCAGTTTTATTACAATGAAAAAAAACAATAATAGTTTTTGCTTTGTTCATTGTAATAATAATTACTTCTAATAGTCTTCTAATAGTATTAGTTAACAATAACCGCACTGATTCAGATGCACGCGTGTGATCCTCTACATCCGTTTGTGTTTTCAGACTGGAGGCGTTTTCCGAAGGAGCTGCGGGTGAGGGAGAAGAGACCGCAGAGAGACAGTGAGTTTGTTTGATGCTCTTAACTGGCTCAGTATTATGCTCTAATACTGGACACTGTGTTCTGCTGCAGAAAGCATGGCTTTGTAAATGTGCTCACGTTTAAAGCCGAGATAAGGGAGCAGGTGAGGCTGATGTGCTCATGAATGAGTGTGTAAAGACAAACCGCTCCGGCAGGTCTGCGCTTCGCTCTCTGACTCATCGGCGTCTCTGGGGAAATCAGAGAGACGGCTCTCAGCCGCGCTGCACACACATCTCCAAAATGAAAGGATGGAGAGAAAGAGAACGATGAGAGAGGGATGAGGGTTTGGGCTTGAAGGGCGTCTGTCACTAAACAGGAGAAACAAGTTTATTTTTAGTCTTTTGTCAGAGGAGCTGTGATCAAAGAGTAGATGCTATTATGGGAGGGTGTTGCTGATGTCATTTCCACTGTCACAAACATGCTTTGCTTATGTGGTTGCAGAAAGCCAAGCTGTTCCCAAACAACCCAAACAGCCACGAGTGGACAAACAGGAGATCATACGCAAACTGGAGGTGTACAAATACTTGCCATTAATGCGTAATGCCTTCGAAAATAAGGAGTTTTAATCTACTTTGTCGCACTTTCCCATATGAATTGTGTGGCATATGAACAAACTGTGTTTCTGTACAGACTCTAGAGCAGAAAGAGGAAGAAGGGAGTTCTGATGAAGGGGAGGGAGAGAAAAAGAAGCCAGAGGAGGAAGAAGCTGAGGGAGAGGAGGAGTGTGATGAAGAGGAATTCGAGGGCGTAAGTGATTCCTTTCTCTTGTGATATTAAGCCAACATGTTTGATCATCAGTTGAGATGAAAAAAACGGGCCTGCAATTTATGACTTAAAATGTCGAACTTGAATGCATTGTAAATCGCATTGGATAAAAGCATCTGCCAAATGCATAATTGTATTGTAAATTTAATGTTAAAGGAATATTTTGAGTTCAATACAAGATAAGCTCAATTGACAGCAGTGTTATATTTCAGTTTTTATTTAAAACGATAGTTTTAGTCATTTTGTTATGTGCTTTTGTCATTTTTAGTTGTACTAGTTAACATTAATTATATTTTTTGTTTAGTTTTAGCCATTTTAGGACCTCAAATTTTATTTTATGCAAGTTGCCAATGCCATTTTTCATTTTTTGATTCAAGTTTTTCATCTCATTTTTATATTTCATTCAATTTCAGCTTTATTTCAATGAAAGAGTTTTAGTTTTAGTTAACAATAACCGATTGGCACTACTTGTGGTATAACGTTGATTTCCACAAAAACATATTTAGACTTTTACCAAAAAAGGGGAAAATCTGGTTTACACTGATGTTCCTAGAATGACTCAATAAACATTCAAATACTCACTGTTATTATAGTATAGCCACCAGAAGTAAAAATTATGCATTTATATAAATCCCTTACTAGCCTTTTCTGTAAATGTGACCATTAAAACGTAAAGTCTAAAACCCTGATGGTTAGCGAGTCCGACTGGTAACCCAAAGGTTGCTGGTTTATTCCAGTACCGGCAAGAAATGACTGGAAATTAAACCAATGTTTAATATAAGTTTTAACCAGTTAATCCTGTGTGTGTGACAGGAAACGGATTACGTCATGTCCTACTTTGACAATGAGGAGGAGTTTGGAGGGGAAAGTGATGACAATCTGGATGAAGCGATTTACTGAATCTGGTGGCTCCATAGCACCCTCCTCTGGGCAGTGACTGTCTCTGGACCTGTTGTGGGGTGGATCATTATGTTAGGCAGCTAATGTTGAAATCTGTATGCAGTGGACTTCCTCTCCTACAATCGGTTGGCAAGGCGTTTGATTTGCTGACGAAGAGCTTCTGCATCTGAGGGCCACGGTTGGAGGACACAGAGTGCAGCTATACGTTCTTAGAGCTTTGTAAATGATTATTCTCGTGTCATTTTTTAGAATCTTACCTATAAACATGTAAGTTTTAGACAGTCTGAAGAGCTTTTATACATCTTAGATTTTGGATTAAAAAAAAAACAGTAAATGTAGATTGTTTATTTTCTATGTAATTAAGTAATGTTTTATAAAGTTTTAAGTCAAGTGGTTGTAAATGTTCATGTTATTGTCATTTTATGTGATAAAGTCACACTGTGTTTTAAGATTGTCTCAATGAATATAGATATAGAATAATCATATACCCTTTACTGCATGAATAACAGCATTTGAATATCTAAGCAGGTTAAAGCATCTTTAATATAAGCGCTGTAAAAATATAATTAATATATTTGTATTAATTCATATAATAATTAATTTATTAAGAAATAAATCGTTGTTTCACCATTTAAAAAAAAAAAAAAAAAAAAAAACACAAATCCCTGACCATCCTCATCATGAACGTGTATCAGAATTGCTTCCATAAAATTGACTAACAATGTGCGTTTGGAGGAGGAATTAAGCACCACAGTCTATCCCTGTCTTTAAATATCTGGTTGAAGTGTCTCATCACCTTTAATTTGCTGTGAATGTTTCTTTCAAGTCAGAGATAATAGCAGGAATATCATTTGACCAGAGACACCTGAAAAGAATCAGAAAAGAAAGAAAAAATTCATATTTTGTTGAGCAAATGATCAGCAGATGAGAAAGAATTGTTCTAGACGTGATGGTTCAACTCCGCAGGTTGGGCAAATTTGCTGAAGATGAATTTAGTGGCTGACTCAGACGTCCTTTAATAGAGAACAGACAGGGGAATTTTTCCAGGAATAAGCATGGGCTTTTATTCAAGGAAGTGGAGAGCAGTTCATCTCCAGTGGAAGATTACAGCAGCTGGAGACGACTGATATACGAGCCGTCAAATGAAGCCGCCGCAGTGATATGTTCACTCCATAATCCCTGAACACCGATCACACACTAAGATCCAGAAAGCTCAGTTAACTGGCATTCAATAATAATCACAATCAACAGCTACACTGTTGAGTTCAGGGTTAATGCCAAATGTCAATAATAATGCACAGCATGATTATGCTCAGGAAATAATGCCATGTGGCAGAAAATTTCAGACAATGGCCAAAAACTTTTATGGACCACCATAGGAAGGCACCATAGGCCACCATGAGACCACAGGAGAGGATTTATGAATGGCAGTGAAGCGACGTAACTGCTGGTAGGCCACGTGATAATGACAACACAGCGAATGTAGAACGTTCAGATTACATTCATGATACACACACTCATACTATATAGAACATACTTTTTTAGTGCTTGTGAAGTAATTAATTATTCAAAATAAATACCTACTCAAGAGAGTATGCGAAGAGAGATGCAGCCCACATCTGCAGCCAGACCCTAAACTTTCCATTTTTCCAATTGCTTATGCATGTATTATTAAATACTTTGACTAATATCATGCTTTCAGCTACCAATTAAACAGTAATCCTATACTCTTAAATATGTTTTACCATGTTTAAACCCATTGTGCACAATTTCAATCTAAATTCTATCTAGGCCTGATGAATACCCTGAGGATCCATTTAAGCTGAAGTAAAAAAGCAAACACACACACTTACCGAGACAGTTCTTCGAGGAGATGGCCTGTCCTTCAGCTCGGGTAATTAGGATGCAGTGCTCCGTCTGGATAGCTGTGTACTGAAAACAAAAGCAACGTAAGAACCCTACATAATAATTTCCAACCTGTCCTGCCCTCCATAGAGGGATGAATAATTGAGTTTCATACAAAACACACTCGATCCACACACTCTTATTTCAGGAACATGATTCTTCTTGACACTTGAGGTCTGAGATTGTGGGACACTCTGCATGGTAAAAGCTTTCTCTGCATTCACATCACTCATCCCATTCAAATGAGCAAGAGGATTAGTTCAGAGCTAAAACGTAAAGCTAACATGATAGAAGATCTCTTGTGTTACGTACTTTCCCAAACATATGTTGGCTAAAGAAAACTTTCTGGTGGAGACAACTGATGCAGTGACCAGCCAACAGAAAAGTGAGTCAGCATTCAACAATATCAGCCGAAGATGTCAGGCAGCCCTGGATGAGCCTGTTACTGATGTAAAAGGTCACAGAAACATGATTCTGAGATTAAACTCAGGCCAACTCTGCCTGGACAGTATGATAGCCAGCCACTGCTAGCCTAGTAGCATCAAGATTTCCTCCCAAACAAGGAGATCTTGAATTGAAATGCATTTCTTGCTCACAGATGGTGAATTATTTTGATGTAGCTCAATAAGTTAGTTTAAGAACCAGAAATAATGTATCTGAAGTGAAAGCTTACAGCTATAACATGTGAAGCCGCATAATCTGATCATATATCTTTTTGACATTTAAAAATGCTGCTTGAACAAAGATAGTCCCGTATGTTTGATAGTAGAACAAGGCTAATAGTGTGTGTGTGTGTGTGTGTGTGTGTGTGTGTGTGTGTGTGTGTGTGTGTCCGCACGTGCAAGGCTGTGAGGGATAGACCTACCTTGTTTTCAATAGGGCTTGGGCGTCGTGACGTCATTACTGGCGTGGCGGCCATGTTGGCAGGTTTGCGCATGTAAACATACGGCAAATCGAACGAGGAGAAGCATCAGAGTTGGGATAAAGAAAAGAAAAAAGATGTTATTATCCCTAAAAGTTTGAGGAATTTACCGGGATACGTTTAATAGGAAAGCATGTGAACTAACCCGGCACTTTTAACGGGTTGGATCCATATGAAATTTCCAACAAAGAGTGGGCAAACAGTGGGAACACAGTAATCCGGACAGATAATCAAGACAGACTTGAGCTCTTTTCCCGCTGTCTTCCCGTTTTAGTATTTCCCTGTAAAATATCCCATTAACATTAACATTAGCCCTTTAATCGGACCTGTCAGCCTCTGTTGTCACCCTCTTGCTTTAAGCATCGTTTTGCTTACTAACTTAAGCTTTACCTAAAACAGCTAACGTTACTAACTAGCCTACACGTTTGAAACACATAGTTAAAAGTATGTTACATGTGTGAATGGTTGTTAGCACTATAACTGTTACTAAACTAGCAGCTAGGTGGAGCGCAGTTTACCTTTGGGATTAAGTTAGCGTACGTAACTGTGCTCCCACTGTTTGTTGGAAGTTTCAAATGGATCCAACCCGTTAAAAGTGCCGTTTTATCCACATACCGGTCCCTGGTTTCCCTATTAAACGTAAATTAAAATAAATTCCGTAAACCTGTTAGGGATTTTAACATCTTTTTTAAATTACTTTGTCCCAAATCAGCTGCTTCTCCTCGTTCGACTTGCTGGTATGTTTACATTTGCGAAGCTGTCAACATGGCCGCCACGTCCCACAATGCAACGCGGCGCCCAAGCCCTATTGCCATTTAAAGGAGGAGTAAAAAAAAAAAATCTGTAGCTCCTAGATCACTTATAATTTCCACAGCTCATGTTGTCTGTAGTTTTTTGTCTAATGTCATTTCTTGGAAAGATATTTTAGTGTTTGTTTAGTCAGCAGAACAATCAAAAAACACATTAAATAACAGCACAACCCACTGAAGAGATGACTCGCTAACAGCCTTGCTTTCATTGCTTAAATGAAAATGACGTGCCTTATTTTACTTCACTATATTTCTATTAAATCCTAATCTAGTTATGACAAATTATATATCGTTGGAAAGGTCTAAGACTTCTAAACTTGGGTATATATTCCAAAGCATTCTTGAATTATAACCATTTAAGTTTGAATAGTGCATTTTAAACCCCATTCTCAAAAAGGGGGGTGACAGCAAAGGGGTTAAAAAAAATCAAGTGAAAACATTACATTTTAATATTTTCTGAGAAAAAAATGTTGATTTTAAATATTGTTTTGTGGCTAGTTTGTTCTGGTAAGTTGGTAGCTAAGTTTGGACAAGTCAAAATAAGAGCACTAGTAGTCTGTATGCTATTCTGTTCCCTTGGGCTCTTTCCTCAGTGTCCTTCAATCGGTTTATAGTTTCAGCACAATTATTATAACATGCATGACCTGAGACATCATTGCCAGGCAATTTATGTGCCCAAGTGTAATTTTTTCGGGTTAGAGATTTGTTCAAATTAAACTCTAAGCACGAGCGGTATAGGGTAGCTGTGGTCATAAAACAAGCTATCCGTCCTGTCCTTATTGTGCTAACATTGTCTATAATATCTGCATTACTCTAGATCAGGATTATTGATAACATATCTCACAGACTTCATCTCTATTATGCATTTTATAAAATGCTTCAAATTGCCACACATGTAAAACAAATAACAAGGCTCATCTTGCACCTGTCAATCACAGTGGAGAGTCCCGCTCTCCCTGTACAGCATTAGTCAGCAGGACAACCTGCTTCTCTCACATAGCCTGATCTAAATAAAATTGGATAATGGCAAAGATTAGCTGATGGCTGGAATAATTAGTACCATGGCACCTGCAACTATTTGACATTTTCATTTTAATATGCTCTACAGTAGCAAGAGTGATGAATGGCACAGTGGAATCACAATTGTCACTGCAACCAAATTAAGCTCACAGAAAAATCAAGAAGAGACTGGTAAAAATGGGTGGATTTCTAAACTAGGCTAAAGTTCAGGAGGTGAGGAAAGATACAGATCCTTTTTTAAGAGCGCTCTAAGAAAAGGAACAGCTGCATAGTGAGTAAACAACCGTATCAGGTATCTGATTCTCTCATGATGTATCCAGGATAACTAATGTTGCTCTTGATGTGGTTCCATTCCTGCACGCATACAGTCGTGCACAAATGATCAGAGGGACAATTCCTCTCCCGCCCCTGTGTTGAAATGTTAAAGGTGAAGTGTGTTTGCAATAACAATAATAAACATGTTTCCACAAACCCTCCCCCGAATTGCCATTAGTTAACCAGAACAGATATCCCCGCCCCAAAATCCCACCATTGGCTCATGCAGGCTATGTCGCAATACTCAAACATACAAAGATAAAAATTTCAGGGAAACAAACAAACCATTTCTGCGAAACAACATTTTAAAATGACAGTATGTACAATTTTTGGATTAAAATATCTAAAAAAAACAAACAGTTATAGGCTATATTTTGTTTAATTATGTACATATCTCATCCCAAATGTTTTCAACAATGTTTAAATACAGAGACGCCTGTCAATGACGTCATACACTATAAAAAAAAAGTTGATTAAATTAAGTACATTCAACTTTACATCAAGATATTTCAACTTAAATTACATTGAGTTGAATAAGTTGAATCTTGTATAACTTATAAATAACAGTTGAAAATTGCTTAGCTTGTTTTGATAAGTTAAAGCAAAGCAATGTAAAAACATATCTTGCCATAACTCCACATTTACTGCCATGGAAACCTTGGAAACACCAAAGACGCTAATGCAGCATTTTCTCCATCATACAATATATAAAAATGAAATCGATCTAGCTTACTGTACAAGTCTCATACCAGCCACCCGAGCGGACGTACAGAGTAACGTTATAAAAGCTTTCAACACTCAAATATTTATTTTAGTCTGATTGTTTAACCAATTAAAACAGCATCGTGTTACCCCACAATTTTAATTTGTCAGATAAAGTGAACTGTTTGAGAAGAAATTCATCACTTTCATCGTTTTTACCTCTTGTTACCCCAGCCACAAAGCACCCGTGCCCTCAGATCACTTGGACGTGGCTGTGGAAACGAGGTAAAACGATATAAATACTGTTCGTTTTCTCACACAAACGCTTGTTTCGGGTCTTAGGCCATCAATGTGTACTTACATTTACGAGTTATTTAATCATGTTTAATTTGGATTTCTCTGTGCATGCTCTTTGAGGTGGTGACCATAGACCTCCATTATATGACTGACAGACAAGAACAGTTTGACCTAAAAATATCAAAACTGAAAATACTGTGGAAACAAACACACCTACATCATGGATGTCCTTGAGCTAAGCTAAAACATACCAAAAAGTAATTTCAAAGTGAATTATCCCTTTAAGACAAACTTTGCGCAAATACATAAGTTCAAGTTCAAGTGTTTTTTTTTATTGTCTTTCAAGTTAGTATGGTACTACAAAACGAGACAACGTTCCTCCAGGACCATGGTACTACATAAGAACAACATAGGACAATCACAAAATCACATGAGACTGCACAGTCTCCATAAGTGCATGTGCAAACGTGTGCAAAAGTAGGGGACAGTACAATACAACAAATAAATTACTGGGCACAGTAAGATAGAGTGCAGCGCCGACCAGTACATTTGTGATCTGAGTATTGCAAAGAGATGATACTTTCTAAAAAAAAAAGCCAAATGCAGTTCTATGCACACAGCAGTTATTGAGGTAGCAGTATAAAAAGTGAATTAAAGTGCAAATGTGCAAAAGATGGAGACACAAGTGTTAGACCAGGCTCTGAGTATTTAGGAGTCTGATGGCTTGGGGGGAAGAGCCGTTACACAGTCTGGCCGTGAAGGCCCGAATACTACGGTACCTCTTGCCAGATGACAGGAGGTTGTAGAGTTTATGTGAGGGGTGTGTGGGGTCATCCACAATGCTGGTTGCTTTGCCGAAGCAGCGTTTTATGTGCATTTTTCTTTATGTAAATTTCTTTGACGTTGGGAAGAGAGACTGTATTATAAGTATATATATATATATATATATATATATATATATATATATTATAAGTATTATATATATATACATAATATATAATACTTTTTTTCAAAATTCATAAGCTGTCTGTAATGGTAAGAGTTAGGTGGAATTAATTATTATTAGCTTAACTGAACATAAATTGAAGTCAATGAGATGTCTAAATACTGTACTGTTAGGATTTGAAAATCAATTTCAACTCTGGAATCAGATACTTGTAATAAAAATAAAAATTTGAATCCTCTTATTGATTCCTTTTTGTGCATTTTAATATGACTTTAAACCATTCAAGTGCAAGAAGACCCACTTGTTGCTTTCATCCAAAAGGTGCGCACAGAACGCAACCTCTCAAACTGCACAGGCTACAACTTAGTTCTCTTTCGCATCTTTTTGCACTTGAACGGATGAATACACACAAAAATATATGTCAAAATAACCTTGTAAACACAGTCGGTTAAACACTTGACAAAGAAAACGCATAAATATATATTGGATTCGTGCAGCTCTTAAAGTGACAGCAGCCCAATATTCCTGCTGTTACTATAATAATGTTAATCAAATAACAAAAGACATTCACTCGCTGTTCTTGACTGAATACTTTTGTAACCATATTTGTAATGTATACCTTATTTATAAAGTGCAGTGAATCGATAAGCAGCATTTGAATCGTAATCGCTAAAATTCAAATGATACCCAACCCTAACTGCATGTGAATAAGTCTATGCAGCCTTGCATCTCTATTCAGTGTGAGAGTCTGACATTTTCACTTTAAACTCCTAAGCAAATGCAAAGAGCGATAAATGCCAGCAGAGGTTCAGCGATGCCTCCCTATCTGACCTATGCAGTGGGCTTCAACCACTGATTTGTCTCCCACAATATGCATTGGCATTACACAATTCACTCCAGTCTTACGGAAACATATAGAAAAAAAACATCAAGGGAAGACGAGTAGTCTTGTGAATTTCTGAGCAAGGTTCAAGTTCAAGAGCTGGAAATGGAGCGAGTACGTGAGCGAAAACGTGGGGGGTCAGGACAGATACAAATCCTTTTTGAGAGAGCTCTATAAAGGGGAACAGCTGCACTGTGGGTACACAGCCACATCAGGTTTCTGATGATTTAATGGTTCCAGGATTGCTGATCTCAGCCTTGACGTGGTTCCATCCCTGCACGCATGCAGTCCTGCACGGATGTCCGCGGACAGGGCTGCTCCTTTCTGAATCTCTTCACATATTATTTTAATGCTTGCACTTTAATGTTTTTGTATTGCATTCATTCATTTAGCAATGTTTTTAGTTTACCCAATAAATATCGTAAGACATCTGACAACTATACTAAATATAAGCATTTTCAGACCGCAGTGCACAACCAAAAATATGATAAAACACACAATAGTCGCAGTAAACTGTTGGTAGGTACTGTAAAACACATGGTCTGATCTGCCCGGTGAGTGAGTGTTCAGTTACCAGCACGTTCACTTTACCCATTTGGATTAGAATTACGTAAGTGGAATGCTATTCTGAAAACAGGCCCATGGATGGAAGTGTATTGGCCATGAGTAAATAGCTCTTGAATAGTTTACAGCCAGAAAATATTCCCCTACAGATACACAACAGGTGCTCATAACACTGCTATCTGTTTTGTTTCCTGCTATCAACCTTTGCTCTGCATTCATCCTCATGCCAAGAGTGTTGACAAGACTCTAATATACTCACACCATATGATTCATAAAATCATAGACAGATAGATAGATAGGTAGGTAGGTAGGTAGGTAGGTAGGTAGATAGATAGATAGATAGATAGATAGATAGATAGATAGATAGATAGATAGATAGATAGATAGATAGATAGATAGATAGATAGATAGATAGATAGATAGACAGATGGATAGACAGATAGATGGATAGACAGATAGATAGATAGATAGATAGATAGATAGATAGATAGATAGATAGATAGATAGATAGATAGATAGATAGATAGATAGATAGATAGATAGATAGATAGATAGATAGATAGATAGATAGATAGATAGATAGATGACACTGGATGGCACTTGATTTGAATTTTAACTTTTATTGTATTGTGAAAATGCTATAAACAGATGTTACTAACTCAATCATTTTAAAATAAAAAAAATCCTTTACAAAATGCACATTAAATTTCAAATTGGATTACTTCGACACTAATACTCTATATGAAAACTGACAATATAGGCATATTCTATATAAATGCGTATTCTGATTTCTATCTATTAAATTAGAAATACACATGCTCATTATGATAAACAATTTTCCACTCACAAAACTGCATCGCATTTTTTGTGCGTCACAAAAATATTGTGCCTCTAATCTGATCGTTTTTCACTCTACACATTCCAATATGGAATAAAAACAGACAGAATACTACACCAATATGGCAAAATCATAAATGTACAAACTCTCTCAGATGCTGAGGGTTCTTCAGAATTAAACATGAAGACGTCAATGGTCAGTTTCAAGAGAAAAAACTGTCCTGTGATTCAGTAAAACAGCTTCAGGCGACTTCACCGACTTGCAATCAACCAGTTCTTGATGTGACACTGCGTTTCATAGTCCACAAGTCTGGAGTAAAGCATGCATAGTCCTTTAGCAGTGTCATTCTGCGTTCTGAGATCTGAATCTTCCTGCGTTTGATCTTCTACTGGAGTTTTATATTTTGTTGCAGCAAATGAAGGAGAACTCCAGCCTCAGTTTTGCTGTTTAATCAGAGAAAAGACAGACACAATCCTTAGTGTAATCTCAGCTAGGCTAAAGGCTGTGTTTAAATATATCTGTTAGTGTGTGTGTGTGTGTGTGTGTGTGTGTGTGTGTACCTCAGTGTATGCTGGAGGAGGGGGAAGCTGATACTCTCTAATATGCATGAAAATAGGACTGTCATCCTCGTCGTAATCATCCAGGAGAGGAATGAAGGAACTATCCGTGCGGTTGTCCCGGGAAATCTCGCTGTAGCTGGGCGGAGAAGACGGGAGCGACACGCAGGTGCTGGAGGTGGCACTGCCATCCTGGCTGCTCATGCTGCTGGTCCGACTGTTCATGCCGTTGTAGGGGATCGTCCCGATGACCAGAGGCAGTTCTAGGATCAGCTTCTCGCTTCCTGGGATGTGCACGGAGATCTAAACCCCGGAGAGAGAGAGAGAGCATAGAGGTTAACCTCTGATCCGCATGTACCAGTGGAGTCTGAAGCATCTGCTTTGATTATTAAGAGTATATATTACCCTCAGAGAGTAGTCAACGTGGATAATGTCACAGCCCAGGATGGTGGGCTTAAGCTTGGGCACACGGAGGACTCTCGACTGCCACATGTCACGCATGCCAGATATAATGTGGTTGCCACGAACAGAAGTGAGTTTCTCGTGAAACACTTTGGTGCGGCCGTTCGCCAGGTAAATGTGCTTGGCTATGATGGCGGCTTTAGGAACGATGATCCGAGAGCAGGTGTTCTCGAACTGAGCGTCGATGCAAATGTCTTCTCCTTCGCTGTAACCCTTCCGGGCTATGCGAGCGGCCACGGAAACGCTACCGTCAGGAATAAACATGCAGGTGACTTTCTTCTGATTCGCTCCTGCAACTGGAGCCTGAGAGGAAACACAAAGTACTAAAGTTCTTACACACGTTGTAACCATGTAAATTCAATATTTGTGTGACCTCTGTGGAATTACTCACCATGAGATCTTGGGTGTTGACATCAATGGGTTCTTCCACCTCGAAATATCGCTTGCATTCTGCATAGGACTGGCCTGATTTCTCTATGACGGCCTTCACGTAGTACTGGACTGAGCCAAACTTTCCCACATACGAGGAAACCAGGCACCTGTTTTGAAAGATCTTGCGTTAAAATATTAATATTAATATTTTAATGCAATGTTTGGTATAGGAAATTTAAGAAAGAAACCCACCCTGCCTGAGGAAGTTCGAAACCAAACATGAACTCGTATTTGTTTCCAGGCCTGAGAGTGATGGAGCCATCTGCATCTGTGGAGACGAAATTGAGCTTTAAAAAACACTCCCAAGTCATCATTTACTCTCCCTTATGTCTTTTGCATTAGGGTTTTTCAATAAACTATTCGTATACTTAAATTCCTGCCCCTCATTCATTGAGTTGATGCACAAATAACTAAATTCAACCCACACCAAAATTGGTGTCGAAATAAATGGGAGAAAATATCGTTGTTCAAACTAGTAGGCCTAGGTTAAAGGAGCACGACTAGGCCTAGTTATGGGGCTTGAAACCACCCAAAAGAAGTTAAAAACAGAGGTTAGAGGTCTTAAAATGATGTATGATGTTTTACATTTAGGGTTTAACGTTTTAATGACAACTAAAGTAAGATTTACAGGTTAGTCAGAGTGCGCTAAGCAGTCTCTTAAGGAGGTTACTATAGCAACAGTAGCTGGACAGGCACTAGCACAATATTACTGACAGGAAAAGTAACATAAGACCCTCTTGAATTCACTCAAACGTTTGTGCGAGTCTCACCTGTTGGCTGATGATCGAGGTGAAGAATTTCTTCATATTTCAGGTACTCAATCTCCTCCCTGCAGCGCAGCTTTCCTTTATTATAGTCGACTTTAGCACATCCGATTCCGAAGAGTTTAACGGCGGAAATCCGCATCGCCTCCGCCACCTCCACGATCACCCGCCCGGCCACTTTATCTCCGCCGCTATACGAACTCTTGTTCGGGTCACTCAACTGAACTTCTAAGGTCTTGGGTTTCTTTGTCAGTACGCCCATTTTTCTATTTTATTAATTTTGCGAACACGAATTCCAGTAGTTCCACTAGCAATAGTTCTATCAACGCTCTCTTTTCGGTTATCAAAGTAACTGAATTGATCAGTTCAGCAACAAGCTCACCAGTACGTGCTGGTGTTATTTTCTGTTGTAATATTATTTTCGATTGGATGTTGGTGACTCTGTTCTGTCAGTAAACACTGAGTGGGAGAGGGTGGTTATATAGTTCACAGGGCCGCTGTGCTGATGATGCGAGCTGGACACACATGGGCATCAGTAGTGGGGTCCCACATGCGCCCCGTGGATCGCCACAGGCCCGTCTCTCTCATAGGACACACGGGCTGTTTGCGTCCACTCGGACCAATGGGAACCTGGCCAGAGCGCGTGGACAGCTCGTGTGTAGGGGCGGGAGTCTGTGAGCAGGTGGACCAGGGGTGGAGAATGTGCCCTACTCCAAAACACTGCTGTGACTCATTCATAATAATTAGTGGGGATTTCTTTCGACATAACAAATGCGTTATTCCTGAACTGAATGACACCAAAGAATCGAGTGTTTCTAGATAGCCCAGTTTACCCTAACAAAAATGACTGTGGCTGTACATTGGTATTTAGAAATAATATCGGATGGTTACTATATTAATTAGATTTTTTTTAAGTAACAGATATTGTATGCATTTACTTCTGTCACTGTACTATGTTGGCCTGCTGCCATACTACCGTATGATAACCAAATGCATTTGCCACGGTGTTTAAATGGCACTAGGTTGGCCAACCTCAAATAATGCCATGTCATTAACCTGGTACATGGCTAAAAACCACAATATTACCTTTGCACATGTCCAAAATGTCATGTTATTGCATTGTTGCATATCCAAAAACCATGGTATTGCCCTGTTCAAGACCAAAAACATGATATTACCCTGGTGTATGTCATAATACCATGGTACATGTCCAAAAACATTGTATTACTTTGTATTTGTGTAGAGATATCGGACCGATTAGATATGTGCACTGTGCAGTTAAGTCCAGTGGTCATCAGAGATGCCAAACGAATGCACAAACAGTCCACATGCTCTGAAACGTGAGAGACTTTTCACATGGACTGTTCTGATGAGCACTGCCATCTGCTGACTGATCCAAAACAATTCATGAGCCCCTGCAAAAAGTTTAGGAGTCTGATTATATAACACCGTTCATCTGTCATCACAGTGATCAGAGGAGCCTATATAAACAAACAGCTGCTTACCTCATTCATTATGCTGTCCATCCATCTCCAGAGATTGGGGGATATTGCTCAACTCCCTCTGTTATGGGTGGCTGTCTGTACTTTTTAACACCTGTTGTACCATCCTATATTATATCATATGAACATTAAACTAGCATATACTATAGTGAATGGTACTTTTAAGGTAAGAGTGCAGGGAAAAGACAGTTTTAAATTATGTAACAGACTAATATAATATAAACATTGAAGCTCATTCAAACGAATATCATTTAGTGTCACCTGTGTGAAAGACTCAGAATCAGCCACCAATTTTGGATAATTCACATCACCTGTGATCCTCAAACAGCCTCCATCTCACAGCTGCTGAAAACTATGGTTTACTAGCATAGTTTTAACTTTAAAAAACAGACGCAAACAGAGAATACCACAGATCCATCATCATGGTCTTCCACAGGCTTTAGGTAGGAGTCTCAGAGCAATAAAGATCTATGAGAGAAAACATGACTGAAAACAAACTTTGATTCCCATGGTAAATTTCTCAGACACAAATTATATCCATAAATGTTTTGAAATCATAAGAACAAGTTTGATAGGAAAATGATTCAATACTCTTTATTTTAGTTTTGAGAAAGTGATTATTGCAATTTGCCACGAACTGCTGTTTTAACTTATTATTGTTAACACACTGAAACCTCCACTGAAAAACATGTTCATGACACCAAGACGGAGGCCCAAACCTGCGGATATTCAAAATAAATAAATAAAAGTCATAATAAAACGACTTGAAACAACCCCCCCCCCCCCAACAAATACAATTAGGTTTTAGTTCAATTAGTCCTGAATTTATTATTGTATTTCTGACAAATCGATTAATCACTATTAAAAATATACGTAACACTTTAGTTTACAGTAAGGTTTCATTGGTTAATTACATTAGGTGACACGAACTAGGAATGAACAATACTTCTACAGCATTTATTAGCCTAATCTTAATGTTTATTTCAGAATGGACTAATTATTAAAATAGTTTAGTTAATGCACTGTGTGTGAACTAACATGAACAGACAATGAACAACTGCATTTTGAATGCAGTTGAATAAATACTGTAACAAATATATTGCTCATTGTTAGTTCATGTTAGGTAATACATTAACAAATGTTAATGAATAAGACCTTATTGTAAAGTGTTACCAAAATATATTTAAATCATTTCAGGTAATGCATTAACTTTGGCAGCCCTAACAAAACATGAATAACCCTGATGATGACCATCATTAATTAATACTTTGTAGGCCAGCACATGAAAATAACCTGCTCTGTGGAAATATTTCACATTTTTTCTTATAATAAATACACTCCTGGAAAAAGTTAATCCACCTTTGAGAAAACATACACAAGCTGCGTGAGAAAATATCATTCATATTTACATTGTTGCAAAGGTAATTCTAAAAACGTAACAAAATTCACACACGTGTTTATCACTGAAACAAACACAATAAAATTCTTAACAAGGCCGTTCCAGACAGCCTCTACTCACAAAACCCAAACCACTGAGATGTAAACATTGAACAATAGTATAAAAACCCTTTAACCCTTGTGCTGCATTAGATTTTTAACACCGTTGAGTGCATTAAGGACCAAAAATGGCCACATATTAAACATTGCCTAAAATATTATATATTATTATTATTTTCCACTTTTACCAAGTTAAATCTTTTAACCAGCATCAGTCCTCATCATAACTACCAAAAATGTATTCAATTTCAGGATTTTAACCCTTTAATTACCAGTTTTGTTTGCGAAACCATCGATTTGTATAAGAGGAAAAAACACAAAAATTCAATTATTTTCAATAAACTAAATGCAAAGAGAAAACTTTAGATTTGGATTATCACAGTCCCACTTTGCAAAAAATCCCACTTAGCGCATTAGAGACCAAAAATGGCCACCTATTAAACATTGCCTATTGCCTAAAATAAGGTGCATTTCCACCCATAGGGAATAAATATGTAGTGACGTCATCTGGTGGAATACACTATATAATGCAAATATAATGCTTTTGCTTCAAAATGAAAGGATGTTTGTGCAAAAATCATGTTTCATGTATTACTGACAGCCTCAGATTTAAACAACGTTTTAATGGGTTTCAATGGGCCATTTTTGGTCTTTATGGTGCTGAGTGTTACTATTTGATCTACACAGTGTGTGTTATACATATTTTGCAAAATGGGATCACATTTTTTACATGTATCCAAAAAGTCACAATTTTGCCAAATTTCATACCATTTGCATTAAAACAGCCAAAATGGTCAAAGAAATTAAACTGCAAAAGACCAAAAATGTCCCTAATGCAGCATAAGGGTTAAATATCCCATAAGGCCTGCTTTAGTGCAGTGTTTTTGATGTCACACAGGGCCCAAAACAGTGTGTCTGAGTGTCTCTGTGAGGACGCTTAAGGCCAGCACCACCGGCAGTGACGGAGGGTTAGTACCTGCCCTGTCCGTCAGCAGGTGAACGCTATTAGGGTCAGAGATCATCGCTCGAGCGTCCTCTAAAGCAGCCACGGCTGATTCACTGGAGTTCGCGTCCCCGGTGACCTGTAGGTCAAACAGGCAAGCCTGGAAATACACATCCCGCACCGGAAGCTGCGAGGAGCAGTGCGAGTACGCCGGCGAGGACGGATGAGCGTGTGGTATCTCCAGGCGCTGTGAGACCGGACACCCCCACACGCACAACTGCAGGTCCTGCTCGGGTGTATAGGACTCCACGATCGCACGAGGCGAGCGCACGGACAGACTCAGCGACCGGCCGACCTGACGCACCACTAGCGTCGTCCCGATGTGAGTCGCCCAGATCTCAGCGTGTCTGCCTGGGTCGTGAGAGTGAATGCGCAGGCTCTGGTGCCCTCTACGATCGCCGCTGGTCACAGACCCATCCACGAACGCCGGGGGGACGTTATCCGTCACTGCTTGATATATCTGCTGCTCTGCACATTCACGCCAGTTCTTCAAGATAACCGTGATCTGATGAGGAAACAGACCTGAGAAATGTCAGCTGCAGGACATTAAAACAGGAGTGATTCTAAACCCGAGCACATATCCCATTATGCATGTCCTATTAATTATTCATTGCAATTCATCATTAGATGTCAGGCTGAATAGAATATCATTACCTCAACGCAGTGTGTTTGAAAGCACTGAAACATGACAAATCTGTTATCTCCCTCTAGGGAATAAGAACAGCCTTTATTAAGATTGGCTGTTAATAAAATAGCCTAATCAAGAAAAGGTGTTTGTGTTTAAGGACTGTCAGAAAATGTGGAGTGTTTTAAAAGATAGCCTCGTGTACACTTTAAAAAAAAAAAGGCTTCTGTGATTCAGTGAAGAACCTTTAACATTCATGAAACCTTTTAATAACTGTTCAGTGAAAGGTCGCCATAAAATCCCACTCTTGAAACCTCTAAGTTGTACCATAATATTTTGGTTACGCTTTATTTTAAAGCGTCTTTGATACTGATACGTGTAAGATAAGATAAGATACGTGTAAGATACTGGAGACTGTCCCCAGCACAGCTGCTCGTGGGCAGAAGACCCAGAAGCGAGTGCCTGCCTATCCAAAAGCGCCCTCTAGTGGCAACACAATACATTACACTGAGTAATATTAATTAACTATCGATAATAAAATAAATATATATTAGGCCTATATTCTTTTAACATTATTAAAACTACATACTGAGTGACTGAAGTAATCATTATCATAGAATATACCTGTTTGTTCACATTGAGTTTACAGTTTGAACATTCTTTTCCCCTTTAATTTATTTTCAAGATCTGAGGTGAACTATCCATTGTTTTCAGTATGGCTATAAGAGCGCACAAAATGATATTCAAACTCACATTAAATGCTTTAGTTTTAACATTAAATAAAGACCACAAAAAGCACCTGAGATGATCAATTTCACACTTTGAGAGGTGTTTTTTTCAGCCGCAACATCGCAGAAATAGCCTAATTGAAAAAATCCCTTATGACGTGTCGCGTGTCACGGTGTAAGAGAGTTAGCCTACATACAACCCATTCCTAAAAAATAGTATAGAATTCCAATACAAATAAGTGTTATTAAATGAATAATTCCAGTGTAATTTTATATTATTATATGACTATAAGTTATAGAAGAGGATAGAGGTAAATGTGATTTTTCCACACCTTTGTGAGGATGGTGGTGTAAGAGCTCCCTCTAGTGGGCGTGCTGGTGGCCTGGATGTACAGGTACTGGTTGTCTATGAGAGGCCAGGCGCCCTGTACTGTACACGTCTGGAACTCTTCATTAAAGGTGCGGATATGAGGGTCTCCAAACACCCCGCAGTGCAGGTACTCAGGGGCCCGGCCCTCCCTCTGCATAAACCCCTTCTCATAGAAGCATCCGTCCCCTGAGAGCGGGGGCAGGGGCCGCGGCTGCGGCTGAGCTGTGGGGCCGGTTTTGGGGCAGCGGTGTTGGATAAGCAGGTCCTCGATGCCCTGCACGGCAGAGTGGTACGCTAGGTCTCCACGGCACGCTCGGGCCGTCCGTTGTGTGCAGAGAGCGTAGGATCGCAGGGCGCTGCAGTAGCCAGCATTAGCACCCTCTTTACCCCCACCTCCAATGATGCCCATCTCCAGAGTCGCAGCCACGAAATCTGAGTTGCATCGCAAGATTCGACACTGTGCACACACTGTAGGGAAAAAACAAATGCATTATTTCATCTAGATGTTAAATTAAGGTTTTTGATGAAAACATTCCAGGATTTTTCTCCATTTAATGGACTTCACTGGGAACCAAACGGTTCAAGGTCCAAACAACAGTTTCAGTGCAAACTGCAAACTGTTCAAAGGGCTTTAAACGATTCCAGACGATGAATAAGGGTCTTATCAAGCGAAACGATCGCTCATTTAAAAAAAAAAAAATAACAAAGCTTAAGTTTTATAAGCTCAAATGGTCGCCTTGCTCTGTTCTGTGATGCGCGTTCGTGACTCTCCTGTTCAAACTCGTTCATCAAAATGAACGAATCTTTTTCCGAGTCAATTCGTTCGTTTCGTTTGAATGGAGAAAAATGTTGGAATGTTTTCATCAAAAACCTTAATTTCTTTTCGACTGAAGACAGAAAGACATGGACATCTTGGATGACATGGGGATGAGTAAAGTTTTTTGAAAAGTGAACTACTCCTTTAAGTAAAAGTATTGCTACTTAAGTAATAATTTACTTGAGTACAAGTAGAAGCACTGAAAAATAATATGACTCAAGTAAGAGTAAATAAGTAGTTTGCTTAAAAACTACTCAAGTAACTATGTTACAAAGTATAGTATTATTTTTCAATTTTTACCCAAAATGGGGAGATGATAGCGATATGGAGCGCTAAACACTCTCCTGTGATATCAGTTTCATTCATACTAGAAGCCCGGCACATACTGATTCATACCTTGCACAGAAAGTCCACAAGTGAGATTCATATAAGTATTAAACTTATGACGTTTCAGGAAATGCCTTGTATGGATATAATAACGTTTTGACTGATGAAACATAAAGACAAACACATTATTTTCATAAGAATAATGTATGCCTTTAAAGGGATAGTTCACCAAAAAATGTATTTACCCTATGATTTACCCTGAAGTCATCAGGGTAATGTATAGACATTCTTCTTTCAGACGAATACAATCATAGTTATAGCTTCCAAGCTTTATAACGGCAGTGAATGACTGGAGAAAATTTGAAGCCCAAAAAAAGTGCATCCATCCATGATTAAAGTGCTCCAATACTACTCTGTGGTTAATAAATCCTTTCTGAAGTGTGTTTGTGTAAGAAAAATATCCATATTGAAACTTTATAAACTATAATCGCTTCCGCCAGACGGCCGTAAGCATCAGTTTACGGTGGAAGACCTGGACACACAGCGTAATGACGAACGTGGAAGCTCAGAGGTAAGAGCAAAACAAAACCCTTGTCATGAATTAGCAATTTTTGAATAAATTTGAATGATTTCTATAATAGAAGAGGAGCTTCAGTTTGTTGCACAGCCCTATTTGTTTAAACTGCGAGAGGCTAAGCTTACGATACTCCTTACATCCTATGTCATTTATGCGCCAAGGGTTACTCTTGTGGCGCAAGTCGACTTGCGTAGTATGCATACGGTCGTCTGGCAGAAGCTAGTTATTTTAGATTATAAAGTTATAAATAGCAGTATTTTTCTTACAAAAACCCATGGCTTTACTTCCGAAGGCCTTTTTAACCCACTGGAGCCGTGTGGAGTATTTTTTTTTTACGAATGGATGCACTTTTTTGGGCTTCAAATTTTTTCCAGCCATTCACTCACATTATAAACTCAAACTAAAACGAGTTTTTTTTTTGTGTGTGTGTGTGTGTGAACTTAAATAGAATACTTTTACCTGATGGAGCACTAAAGAGCAGGACCGTTGTGACAACAATCACAATGTGTTTCCATGTTGTGTGTGAATGATTCCCACGGACAGCTGATGCTGCCATTCCCATCCATACAGACACAGGCAGGACGGCCTGCTCACAGGTGTCTGCACAGGTGCTGACTGCTGAAGCGCACGACCACACGGGGGGACAAGTCCGATCACAAATCTGGAAAACATAGCCTACTTTTTTAGACAGCTCAACCTAATGACAATCGGAACCCGACTTTCATTCATCTTCAGAACACAAATGAAGATCTTTTTTGATGAAATCTGAATCTTTCACTGACAGATACACAACTGAAGCTTCAAAAAGTCCATAAAGAGTCTGTAAAACTAATCCATAATGAATAATTAATGACAGAATTTTCATTTTTGGGTGAACTGTTCCTTTAAACAATTCTATTATTGTCTTATTTTCAGAACATAAGAGCATTTTATTCATGATGTTTCAAATGTAAAAAAATTAACTCTTTTCTATTTGAATATATTTTAAAATTTAATTTATTTCAAAAGCTTTTATTTCAGCACCCATTACTCCAGTCTCCAGTGTCACATGATCCTGCAGAAATCATCCTAATATGCGGATTTGCTGCTCAAGGAACATTTATTATTATTATCAATGGTAAAAACAGTTACTGTTACTTTTGGTCAATTGAATGCATCTTGATTGCACGCAGCTGAATAAAAGTTATTTATTATTCTTACTGACCCCAAACTTTTGAACAGTATGTTATATTATATTGTAGTTTTGCATAAAGTATAATTTAGCATGGGTTTAACCATTCATCAGGCATTATGCAATAAAACGACATGTTCTATAGGCATGTGCAAACTCAACTGATTTTGTATCCTCAATATGTCCTGAGTAAGGAAAAAAAAGCCCCGAAGAATCCCATTAGGGGAAAGTTTAGAAAAAGACCCAAATATATCCCATTCATACGCATATTCATTCTTTTTCTCACGTGAATAGGGTACAAATTTTAACCTTTAAATATCATCATGAAAATCACTGAGTTGATTACTTATATCAAGACAAACAAAAAATGTATTACAGGTTTTTTTAAATGGTTTGTTAACATGGACAAACGGTGCATTATATAATTATGTATTAGCTAATTTGCATAATTATCCAAACAGATCTAAACATTGGGTGTAGCATGTGAAAATGTTTTTTTTTTTTTATCTTGTTGACATATAACAGTAAAAGACTTAATGTTAAGGTCTGAATGGCACCCATTTAGGCTACAAGTGAACATTAATACATGCAGGAAGAAGTACTTTAGAAACCAGCCTTTATTATTGTAGAGATGGGGTTTGGCCATTGTGTGCATTGTACGTAATTAGATTATTTGATCCAGACACTTTTTATTTCACCTATCTTTTGTCTTCTGCATTCTCTTTACCCATCTGTCTCCTGTTCTTCCCTCAGACTCATCCCCAGAACCAGTCCCATTGACCCAGCCCCAAACCCCGTCTCTGCCATAATCATTAATAAAGGCTGGTTTCTAAAGTACTTCTTCCTGCATTAATGTTCATGGGTAGCCTAAATGGGATCCATTCAGACCTTAATATTAAATAGTTTACTGTTATATGGCAACAAAATTCTACAAGACATTTTCACCTGCTATATACCCAATGTTTAGATCTGTTTGGGTATTTATGCAAATTAGCACATATGTAATTATATTATGCACCATTTGTCCATGTTAAAAAACAATAGCAAAAAACTTGTAATGCATTTTTTGTTTGTCTTGATATAAGTAATCAACTCAGTGATTTTCATGATGATATCTAAAGGTTAAAATATTTACCCTATTCACGTGAGAAAAAGAATGAATATGCGTATGAATGGGATATATTTGGGTCTTTTTCTAAACTTTCCCCAAATGGGATTCTTCGGGGCTTTTTTTTTGCTTACTCAGGACATATTGAGGATACAAAATCAGTTGAGTTTGCTTCTGTTGCAATTAGTTCAAGGTTGACCCCCATTTTGGCTTAAAATGACTGGACTACCTATGAAAGTTGACATTTTGAACTATAAAAAGTAATAGCCTACAATTTTAATATCCAGCAACTACATAAATAATAGATCAGATCAGCAGAAATGAACTGAGTTTCACACGTGTGTCAGCAGGGATATTTCACAGTTTGGACTCTCAGCACTGATGCGTTATTTACTAAGACTTAAGAACAAACAGTGGGGGAATGCGGGAATACACTAAAGTCCCATCCGCGTGTTTGCACTTGACCAACAACTCTGATATGAACAATCTGAGTTCAGTCAGTTTAAACAGAACAAACCTGGTAAACTCTCATTAAAAAATCTCATTTATAATGCATGTAAATCTGATGCAATTCCGCCTTAATGCCAGCAAAGCTTTTTCCCTGACACTGACAGCTGATATTTATTTTTCCGCTGTTGGGACGGCTGGTGGCGGGAGGGTCTAAATATACCCCACCACACCGGCCTGCCCCTCCAGCACCTGCCCCAGTGGAAATAGCCAGGGCTGAAAGCTCTGCAGCACAGAAGCAGGTGTGAGACACACAGCAGAAACTCAACAGCTCTCCGTTTCCTTCTGCAGTCTAATTTCAGCCGAACACTTCAGAATCATTCCCTCTTTCGCTATAGTGCCTTTGCATGTGGAAACTGGCAGGATCTGGTGTGCCAGCACTTTTAAAGAGAGCTCATTTCCACTCCAAGCGCTCATCGGGTAACAAATATTTCAAATTCCTGGTGCCAAACCTTACTGCTTATTAACTAAATTGGAACAATGCATTGCTGAGGTAAATAAATGAATGAATAAGCCTAAATAAATAAACACAATAGCCTACACTTACTGAATGGTTCTGCTATAAAAAAGGTACTGTAGGAATACCATGGAACAGTGATGTAATACTATGTTGTTTTTTTCTCGATATAGCCTAATTTACAGGGTACTCCAAAATTCACTCTTAAAATAAATATTCTTTATTGGCATTGATGGTTCTATGAAGAACCTTTAATATCCATGGAAATGGTCTATTCCACAAAAGGTTGTAATGTGGAAAATATGGTTCATTTAGGAACTGTTCACTGAAAGGTTCTTTGGGGGAACCAAACAATTCTTCTATGGCATCACTTTGAAAACTCTCCTTTGGGACCTTTATTTTCAACAATTATCCTTTTTTTTTTTTACATGTGCTGATTAATAGAATATTGAGTTAAATTCATAAACAGTCATTCTTTGTATTTTTACATATATTACTTGTATTGTTAATTATTAACTATCCATGCACATAGAATATAAGAGATAAACTCACAGAATCAGAGGACTCTCTCATGTAGACCGACGCTGAGATCTTTCCCCGTCACATCTGACACTGACGCGTTCATGTGGCGGCGCGACCCCCGCGTCACTGTCCCGCACGAGTGAGATGCGTAATCACCAGCTGTCGGAGAGCTGCTCCAATCCCTCTCTGTGAGTGAGCACACAAATATTGATCTTTCATGACGTCACACTTCTTTACACTGCAATTTAGAAAAATAGTAAAATGAGCAAAACTGGTAATGTTTCTTAAATTATTCGAATTAGCAAAGAGAATCCAATAAATTCATTAAAAAATTATTTGCTGTAAGGAATCTAAGCCATAGGTCTTTTATTAAAATGCGTTAAGGTTATTATGATACACAATGTACTTTAGTGATGTCCTGAAATCACAGGTGGGAAGCTGTCAGCAGTCTTAAAAAAATGTTAAATACATACAATTAATGGCTTGGTGAAATCTAAATGGCTAAACGGTTTGTGTAGCGTAGTGTGTGTCTGTGAGATTTCTCCGTTTGCTGTTAAATGTGTGTGTTTGAGGATGTGTTTGGCCATCTTTGGAATCATTTAGCGGCCATTTTATCTCCAACGAGTCTATCTTTTACTGGTTTAGGTCGCTCAATTCGGACTTGTTATATATTTTCTGGTGTACATGCGTTTGAAAGTTCAGGGCTGCAGTTCAGAGCGCGTCCGGCAGGTGGCGGTGTTGATCAGCGAGAAATGAACGTGCGCGAATAGAGCGAGTTTGATACAAATCACACGAAAATGAATACTGTAAACACTGAAATACATGGCGGATACTGGCTTTTCAGTACTTTAAAGTTTAAATTTAAAAATAAAAGTTGTTGTCAGTGTATATCCTACTGCACACACACTGATATAACGTATACTGGGTGTGATGCTTTCATCAGAGTGTGATATGGGTCTGTGTGTGATCTCTGTTGTCTGCATGCATGCATCAGTGAGTCTCAGGCTCTTTGTTGGCTGGCTGGATGGAGGCGGGGCCGCAGGTCCTTTTGTGCCCCTCACATTTTGGGCAAAACCAGAACAACCGAGCTGCAGACGCGCCAAAAGCATGAAACCGGGCCATACACAAATATTTTGTGAAGAAAAACTTCACAAACAGCGACGTCCGGTACAGAGATGTGATTTCAATACAGCGTTATGAAGTTTTAGGTGAGTAACAAACTCCTTGTGGGGTCAGGAGAAAACTTTCCATTTCAGTATTATTTGTTGAGTATATTTAGTGAAGTTCGTTATTCAACTTATTATTATAGACAACTTTATTTTCTTTATAAACATATAGAGTTGAATTTGTGTTGTACATCTTTGTCTACTGGACTATTCGCTGGTCAACAGATTACCCCGTTACTAAGCAACAGTGATTCTCAACCAGCAGCACGCGCGTACGCCAGGAATACGTGGAACGATTTCGCTTTCGCGCTGTTAAACCAAAAAAAGCAAAAGAAAACAAATTAAATTGATATTACACTTATTTATAATACTTAAATATTTGAGCTGTCATTATATATTAAGATAACTAATAAATAACCGAATAAGGCACTCAACACGAAACAATAAACTTATTCAAATCTGCGACAATTTAATTGGTCTACAACTTTTCCGACACACAAGATATCCTGTTATTGTTTTATTATTATCGTAAAGGTTTTACATGTTCATATAAGTTTATAAGAATATTACTGATGGGAATGTGTGGGGATAAGACAAAAAAAGGTTGTAAAAACTTTGGTGGGAATCATACAGTAATGTTACCTTATATTCAGAGTTTCACAAGATTTTGAAGATCATGCAAACAAAGTTTAGCCCTCAGGTGCTCCAAAACCCACATGCCGCAATGGTCCTTCCCTACTAAATGAAAAAACTTTTGCAAACAAGCAGAAAACTTCATATAAAAACACCATTTTGATGGTTTCAAACTATTCTATGTAAGACATTGTAAATAAATGTGTATTTGTGTTAATGTTGTAGTTCTGCAGAGAAGTCGTCTGAACTGAAGCCTTCAAGAGTGTGTTTGAAGTCCTGCGGTCTGGCAGGTGTGGGATGCTGTGCACTGTTGTTCAATCTCCCGCCAATATTGCACTCGTCCCGGCCTCCCTGACCACGAGGAACACGCGACTCCCCGCTGGAATCTCCCGCCACCACAACAACAGAACTGTTATGAACTGTTCGACCACTAGGGCGGCGCCAGACTGCAGGTGTTTCTTCAACACCAGTGTGAGTACATGGCTGCTTCCGAAATCGCATACTTTCCTCTATATAGTGGGCAAAAAACAGTATGTGACAAAAATAGTAAGCCCAAACTCACAGTACTCATAAAAGAGTAGGCAAAAAGTACCCAGATGACCTACTTCATGACCCAGCGAGATTCTGAAGTGTGCATATGATGGACACTTTACTATCCCATGAGGAAGAAAGAGGAATGGCAGTGAAGCGACTGATGCTAGTAGGCCACATCATAATGACAGCATAGTGAGTGAATCTAGTATGTCCAGATTACATTTAAACTACACACATTCATACAATATAGATAGAACATAATTTTTAGCAGTCATGAAGTAATTACTTCTTTAAAATAAGTACCTACTCAAGTATGCAATTTCGGACACAGCATATGACAGTGGCTATGGCTATGTATGAATGGAATACTAACTTACTGCTTGCCGACTGTTTTGGAACATGCACTGTATAGTGTGTACTCATTTTGCATTGCATTGTGGGATAGAGTATTCTACACAGTGTGCTCTGCTGCATACTACACAATAAAACAAGTGCTTTTGGATAATTCTGGTGTTTCTGCATACATAAAATTGATTATATATATATATATATATTTGAAAATATAAAATGATACATGTATTTAATGATTCCATGTATTTAATATCCAATAAATGTAATGTTTTATATATATAATTTTTACTTGAACATTTATAGTAGATATGACATTTTCCCCCATAATGGCTGAGATGGTTTTATTTTAATTAATGTTAAATTAATATATTTCCATACATATGCTTGAGTGTTGAAAGAGAGCTCATCTCTTATTCATTATTAATGAAATACAGAACTGGAGAATTGGGATTGACACATTAAAATGTCACTTTTGCCATTTTTAAAATTGACTGTTGTCATTATATTATAGAACAAAAGTACTGTCGGGTATTTATTGTGTTCTAGAAAATACACCATATCCCTTTATTTTAAGACATAATGTTAGTGCATACACACTCTAATGAACTCTTTCAAACATACACTCTCATACTCACATTATACGGCTCCGCAACGACACAAAAACACGCAAAGGGTAAAATAAAAGTCTTTTTTCTCCTTTCATTCAGTCTCCTTAACCGGAGTAACACCGACGCTGGGTTTATCTCTCATCTGTCCTGGTTGTTTGGTCCCTCGTACACAGGAGTTCAGTGACCCCACACTGGGTTTCAGGGGGTCGAGAGAACGAGACGGAAGGCGTCTCGCTCCTCTCACACCTTTATGTGCATTAGAACCTGTTTACGGTGTATACTGAAGTCCTCTGGAACAGTATCTGGAAAAGATATGTTAAAGTCTGCTTATTGTTTTATTCTTCTGTTGTAATGCTGGGTTTTGTCAATAAACAACTTTTATACCGAATTTGCAGATTTCTTGGATACTTTGAGTGTTGGATTTGGGGCTCTAGGGATCATGATTTAAATATCAAAGAGTGGATTAATCTTTACCATTACAGCGGTAGCGCAGATTGGACCAAATGATGTTCTCTTGAGAGAAGCAGAACACGCCCAAGCGGCCTCCTCTCATGGAGGTGTCAATCACAACATTGGAGTCAGCCACCATCTCTGTGCCTTCATACAGCTTCACCCTGCGACAGAAGCACACACACACACACACGAAAGTTACTGTCAAATACTACTGTGCAGGACTACCACTGGACCCAGATTTAATAAACGACAGCAAAATTGTTTAACGTACAAAAGTGAGCAAACATATCATAATTAGACAAATTAAGTTTTACAAGTGTAGAAATTGCAGTATGTGTGTGTGTGTGTATATATATATATATATAAATGTATATTTGTTAATACATTAGATATTTTCAAAATATATACTATATAAATGTATTTGTTAAAACATAACATAATATTTTATAAATATTATAATACTATTATTAAATCTAATATATAGATTATATACCATATTATATGTTATGTCTGCTTTCAAAATATACATTAAATAAATAATATATAAAAAAATATTTATTAAATAATATAATTGATATCTAATGTATTCAAATATATAATAAATAATATATAAATCTAATCATTAAAATGTATAAAATATTACAAAAATATTTGGATTTTATGAGTATTATTACCAACTAACAAATGAATTTGCACCAAAGAACTTTTGTTGTTAATGTTAAAATTTGTGCGTCCAGTAACTCTAAAGAAGCATTTTGTCCCCCACTTAAAAACCCATTTATTTTGCAATCCCAACTTTATAATTTGCATTTAGCATCGCCGACCCAATTTTGAGAAGCGTTGTTCTGGAATATTTGATCTGAATGAAGCAGAGAACCGTTTTATGCTACAGGCCACTACTAAACTCCACCTGCTCGACCGCTAATTACCTGATAATAAATGAGATCTAATTTGATTTAGCAGCAGGCCGGACTTAAATTGCATTATGTATGAGCAGAGAACGGTTGCAGCACAATTCAGAGTGAGTGTGTGTGCGTACTGAAGTCCAGTGCTTTATTCACTCCTCTCACTGAATACAAAGCAGGTGTGTTTATGTGTGTGTGTTTGAAAAGGCCCTTACAAAGCCTCAGCTACACATTGTCTAACACAAATGTGCATACACGTGTACGTACACACACACACACACACACTGAGCTCCACACAGTTTTCTCTCTTCTTAAACTAGAATCTTGGGAATGTTCTAAAAAGTTCTAAGACTCAAAGCTTAAAAGCTTCAGAACTGTTTAACTATTAAATGAGAATTTATTTTACACAATATCTGTTATGACATTGCTGGAGTTTATGTGTTGTTTCTTTGGCATGAGCATCTGATTTACAATACAATGCCAAGAAATTACGCAGAACAGGAAATCATACACAATACACGTTTAACTGTCCTCTGCGGTCCGTTCTCATTCTTTCTTTAACGGCCTGTCCACTACAGTAGTTTCCGTTGGATCTGCATATGAACAGGCACCAAGAAAATTCTTGCCAAGGATTTCATTGGCATGGCAACCACAACAATGGGCGGCCAGGGGGCCCAACCACTCAGCAGAGTCTCAGGGGTGTGAGGAGGGCAAGAGGAGGGGGCAATTGTGAAGAAATTTTAAGGATAGCGAGTCATAGCACGCCCACCCCCGCTCTCCCTTCCCCTCCCAGTATACCAGCACGAGGTTCTATCAGCAGCCGCTCACACCAGTGAGTGCAGTCATTGACCCAATCTGGTATTGCGCCCTCTTGTGTCAACAAACGTAGCCCATAATCGGACAGAAAAAAAGTTGCTTCAGCAAGGACCAATGTCTTGTATAATTACAGTTAATAAAGGAATACACAAGGTAAATAATATAATTCAAAAGTTAACAAAAACATTTTTGCCATGCAGTCAATAACAATACTTTCAATTAGTGAAACAAAATGGTTTACAGTAATGTACAGTTCCATTCAAAAGTTTATTTTTGTGTTTTTGAAAAGTCTCTTATGCTCATAGTCTTATTTGCTCAAAGGTTGCATTTATTTGATCAAATACAGTAATATTGTGAAATATTACAACTAGTGTTATTTTATTAACATTGAGATACTTATATATTTGATTAATATTTTTGAGTTGGTTTTTATTTTTGTGTATTTATCAAGTTAAACTAAATGAAAATGAAAAAGTTTTCCCTGTAAACAAGCTGAAATAAAATAAGTTTTTAGTCAAGTATAATAACCCTGATTACAACTTAAAACAATATATTTTTTATGTTTTAACATTTAATTTATTCCTGAGGGAAAGCTGTATTTTCAGTGTCATTACTCCAGTCTTCAGTCATGATCCTTCAGAAATCATTCGAAAATGCTGATTTGCTGCTCTAGAAACATTTCGTATTATTATCAATATTGAAAACAGTTGTGCTGCTTCATATTTTTGTGGAAAGAGTGAAAATAAAATGTATGCTGAATTCTTTGATGAATAGAATTTAAGTAAAAAAAACAAATCTAACTCACAGCAAACTTTTGAACAGTAGTGTATATCATGCTGCTGCACACTTGTAGATCATCTCACCTGATATAGCCGACCTGTGGCCGGTGACTGAGCTGCCACCGGTACGAGGTTTTATCTTGCCAGCCGACATTACGTGGGTCTTTCCACAGCAGTTTCACCTCTCCATCCGTTTCCCCCGTGTGCCACAGAGCGTTACGAAGAAATTCACCGGGGCCTGTACGAGACTTCACTGCCTACACAAACACAAGAGGTCATATGAACATTAGCAAGCCAATATATTTCAATGAAACTATACAATTAAGTAACATTCGTACCTTGAGCTGCAGGCCCGGTTCAGCCATGGCCCTGAATGGGACCGACTGCCAGTAGGTCTGTTCGGTCTGCTTCCACATCACCACATAGAAACTAGACGAATCCTGATAGCCGAAGATGAAGCCGGCGTAGTCGTCATCAGTCACCGTGTTAACGTGAAAAGTTCCCTCGAAGTCCACACCATTAAACGCTGTGTAACCTGTGGAGAAGTGATTTAGAGTTTAAGTTTGAGTGTCTGCTGGGCGTTTAGCTGTTGAAATCTGAAACCGGACTCACCCACTGCTAAGCCCGGGTCGCTGTTCATGGTTTGAACAATCTCCATTCCCTGAAACCCAAATTCATCTGTATTAATACAAGCCAGGGGCGTAGAATTTAGTAGTGACGCTAGGGATGTGTCCCTAGCAATAATTTCAATCAAAACTTAATGTCCCTGTCCCCACCACTTTTAAATTCAAACCTACGCCACTGATACAAGCACTCAGCAAAGTACAGAAAATTACAGACTTCATCTTTAAATAATATCAATAACATCATGGATGCAAATTGTTATTTGCAAATTTGTTATTTGGCTACATTTAAAGGTGCAATGTGTAACAAAGTTGAGTATCTATTAACAGAAATGCAATATGACATCCATAACTATGTTTTCAGTGGTGTATAAAGAACTTACTTAATTAGCCGTAATGTTTTTATTACCTTAGAATGAGACATCAATAGCTCCATAACCGCGGGAATCCCCTTCTATGAAGGTCGCCATGTTGTGACGTCATATTCCTACCGTAGCCGAACGCGAACAAACAGCGCTACAGAACGCGTTTCATCACTACCTTGAAAGAGAAGTAGCGGAAAGCTGGAAGCTAGCCTTACACTCCGTGAGTAGTGACTTTTCCCTTGTGAGTGGTGTAAAATATGTATTTGGGATTGTTTCATGTAACTTAGTTCTCCCTCGCTGTGTTATGGGTTTGTTATGTTGGGGATAGATGTGCTGTTACGTTCGTGAGACAGCTGATGATTAGTATTCATGTCATTGACCGTAAAACAGTACGTTACAGGAATCACTAACCCGTCGATAGAGACTTTTACTAAAGTCTTTTATCACTAAAGTCGATCGCGAAGAATTTTAAAAATCAGAGAAAAAAAGCCTATTGTGTGTAGTAAATAGTATCTATGGGATGCGGAGATGACATGATTGTAACAGCGCGCGCAGTTCCGACCTTTGGACTCATGCAGACGCGTCCCAGCTCAGCCACAGTAACAGCTCATATTAGCCAGCTAAACTATTACTACCCTGTTAGAAAAAATATATAGCTGCTCCCTCGCTGTATTATGGGTTTGCTACAGTATGTGGGGAGAAATGTGCTGCTGGTTACGTTTGTGAGACAATCAGCTGATTATTATTTTATTAAATTATAGATTAAAACCCTTGATCCTCACCTGACTATGGCTTTGTAAACAGACAGTATTCATGATGTGGTTTATAATGGACTGTGGTACAGAAACAGTGACAATGTTACACACTCTTGGCTTACTCTGGCTATTCTCTGCTGTCTCAGCCGACGAGATGTTTGTCCCGTTTTAGCAACCGTAGCTTCTTCGAAAGGGAGGGGTGAGCAGTGGGCTGAGCCCTTGGTGCAAACTCGCAACCGAACCACTAGATGTCGCTAAAAGTCACACATTGCTCCTTTAATGCCCTTCCGATATTTATCCTTGTTTTTGCATGGGCCGGTTTCAGTCTTTTTTTTTTCTGTACTGTAGCCACTCCGCATTTTATGCATTTTACAGCAGGTGAATCTCCAGTGATTGTCGTTTGAACCTTTCTGGATCCGCCATTAAATTATTTTAATTATTTAAACTTGAATTATATCAGGTGCTGTGAGAAACTTACATTTTAGGCACATTTTGTCAATTTTGCATGATGGTTTACCTGATTAAGCACCACCCAGTTTGGGTCGATCTGAGCGTCACCCTCAGGGTCTAGAATGACCGTCTGATAGGCTCTGAAATCCGTGAGAGTGACTTCAGCACTTTCTGGACACACGTCAACCACATCCAGTACAGCGTCATTGTCAAAGTCATTCTCACACACGTCACCAACACCGTTACCTAAATGACAAGAAAAGAATTAGGCAAGTCATTCATAAGGAACATTATTTACCATCAGTGGATATGAAAGCTCTTACCGTCCGAGTCTTTCTGGTTGGGGTTGGAAATGAGTCTGCAGTTATCAGGTCCGATGCCATTGATGGCGTGATTGTCCGGGATCCCATCGTTATCGTCGTCTTCGTCACAGTCATCTCCAATGCCGTCGTTATCCGAGTCAAGTTGAGAGCTGTTTGGAATGTCGGGGCAGTTATCTCGAGTGTCCTGGTGTCCGTCTCCATCACTGAAAACACACAACATTCAACATTATGAGCTGAACTGAAATGAGGTGATAATAAACAGTATAAGCAACAATGAGACACAAAGGCTTGGTTCACACTGTCATTCCAAATCAGATTATTTGTATATCCGATTGAAATATGATTTAAAAATGACTGAATGTCCACACTGTGTATCACAACTGATCCAATTTGTGTGTGCTGTGGCGCTTTCATTTTCCAGAATAATTGGGTTGGTTTCTATGCCAATGGAGTTGCATTGGTAGGCATACGCCAAAAAGCATCAACAACAACATGGAGTGGGTTCCAATGACGAGTAGCCACGGCACTGGACTACTATGTCTAATGAAAGCAGTGGCTGCTTTATCCATCTCCGCCTGTCTCAAAATTCAAAGAGGATTGTGGATGCATCCTCCCACTCATGTGGTTACCAAATTTGATGAAGGGATGTGGCTGTTAAACTTCAGAATGCGTGCCGGCACATTCATCACCTGTGGTGCATCAATGTCTGATGTGTTTACCTTTTACATGCTGTGAAAGTGACATGTGACAAGTCAAAAAGCTCAGCAAAATCCAATCAGAACAGTCAGACAAACAAATTTCCAATTTTTTTGTTATTTAAATTGAAACAGACTTCTAAAAATCTGATTTCATGTGATTTTTTGCTGTTCACTCTTACTAAATACGATCAGATATGCACAAAATTTTAATCCGGACTGACAGTCTGAACGAAGCATAGATGGCAGCAATCTTCCCATATACAGGTTAGTGAGTAAAAAGGATAGTCTGCCAATTGTGGGATTTATATATTTAGATTGACCAGAGTTGTGCGCGTACTCACGTGTCTTGGTTGGTGTCACAAACATCCCCGACCAAGTCATTGTCTACATCTGTCTGCAATAGTATTAACTGAGTTTATTATTCATACATTTAATTTGAGAAAAAAAGTAGATAAAACAGACCATTCCCTGCAAAAGCAACATTTTGCTGTTTTTTAGTTACTCAAACAATTTGTCAAAGAGATATTACACCTCATAATTTAAAATTCTGTCATCATTTACTAATGTCATCCAAAATAGGATTAATAGAGTTAAACAAAACTTAACTTATTAAAAATATTTAAGTTATTGAAATCAAGCTGAGACAAAATAAAATATAAATACTAAATGCAACACGAAATTAAAATGAACTGAAATCAAACAACTCAACTGTAATAAGTTGAAGTACTAGTTACAAAAATGAAAACGGATTAATTGATTAAACCTAAATAGTAATATAAAAAATACAATTTAAATAAACCAAAAACATTGAATAGAGGTTAATTCAAAATATTAACAAAAGCTATCGTAGTATATAAATAATACTTAAATAGCAATAGTTTCAAACCTGTATGACTTTCTTTTGTGGATCACAAGTTCAAAAATATACACTGGTCAAAGCCTTCAAGTTTCAAATTGACTAAAAAGCACCATAAGGTATTATAAAAGTGTATATACGATAGCTTAGTATGAGGAACAAAACAAAATTGAATTCCCTCCATTGTAGCTCTCAAATCAAATAGCTTTAAATATGTCCTTTTTTTATTGTCCTTAAAAGAAAGTCACACAACTTCTTTGTGACACTGTGTCAACTTACAATGAAAGCGTAAAGTTTGATATAAAGTAATGATGCAGTACCTGCATGGGGTTGCTGATCTCAGGACAGCTGTCACATGCATCACCCACTCCGTCTCTGTCCCGGTCCGTTTGCATTGGGTTCGGCACTTTGGGACAGTTATCCAGCACATTCTGGATTCCTGCAAAACATCCACACACATCACATACACAAATGATGATGATCTTGTTAAGACTCAAAGTGGAGCAATTCATCAAGATGAACAGTCTTTACCATCTCCATCGATGTCTTCATCGCAAGAGTCTCCCTCTCCATTATTGTCGGTATCTTTCTGGTCAATGTTGGGAACGGTGGGACAGTTATCACACGCGTCACCGAATGAATCGGTGTCAGAGTTCTGCTGATCTTTATTGGACACCAACCGACAGTTGTCCTGAAACATACACATTCATTCATAGAGAGACATACATGCACTTCGAAAGGACTCATAAATGGAATTGCTATGGAAAAACTGACACCACTGTTACCGAGACTTTGTTTAATAGCAAAAGTAACAAAGCTCAAAGCTTATTGCGAATTATTTGATGGGAGGCGCTACAAAGTTTTGTTCATTCATCAACTGAAAACAGCATAGACTAAAACATCGATTCTTGAGATTTAAGAATAGATATTAGTTCATAAAAATGAGAATAGATTAAAATCGAGAAAGTTATATTACATCTATTTTTAGAAATGTTTCATTTTATATTTTAGAAAACTGAATAGGGTCAATAGTCTGGAAACACAAATATTTTTCCTTACCCTGATTTATTTTTTCCATAATTTTCCAGACTTTTCCAGACAGAATTAAATTCCAAAAATCAAATTCCATTTAAAATCAAATTCCATTATTTTCCAAATTGCGTAGGAACCCTGCGTCTCAAGCGCCTTTGACGCTAAAATTCAGATATGGTAATGGGCATTATGTTTCCCACGTGCGCTGTATGCGTTAGACCAATCACAACAGACTGAGCCATCTGACCAATCAGAGCAGAGAAGGCTCTCGGAGAGGGATTTAGAGAGACTGAATCTTCAAACTAACCGTTTTCAGACTTCAGAGAAATTAGGTAAAGTGCAATCTATATTATGAGAAAATTAAAGTGCTCTTTGATCTTGGATGCAGGTAAAACTATTGCAGGAAACCTCAAAAACAAAATGAGCAACTTTTAAAATAGCATTATATGGGCAATTATTTTAGTTAAGATTAACAACACTGGTCGGATGGGACACAAACACACCTCTACGTTCTTTATTCCGTCTCCATCGGCATCCTCATCACACTGGTCTCCGATCCCATCGTTATCTGCATCTTCCTGACCAGAGTTGGGTGTGAACACGCAGTTGTCCTGAAAAACAAAGAAAATCAAAAAACCCTAGCACAACACTTCAAGCTGGAACTGAATTAAATCCTGCTTTCAGACGTACTGAATCTAAGAGAGTTCATGGGACAGCAAACTAGTGAATCTGTCATATAAAAGTCCAAACAAACCCAAAAACAAACTTGGTTTATGCAAACACATTACCTCATCTAGGACGAATAGCTTAATTTACTTGAAAGGTACATGACGTGTGAACAATTGCACTTGAACTGGAAATATTGAAGTCTATAAACTATCAGAATAAATAGAAAAATATGGTTTCCCAACAATACTTATAAAAAATTTCAAATCAGTAGGGGTGTAACGACACACGTTTTGGTCTTGAACCGTTCGGTACGAGTCTTTTGGTTCGGTATGCATTACAAACCGAATGATTCGTAGGACCATTTTTCCTGCTGGTGCGACCAAAAGTTTGTTAGCATTCGTGACTCGTGACCATCACAACGTTGCCCAAAATCAACTGGCAAACGTACTGAAAGCTGAACGAAACTGTGCTACTAATTTGTGCTTAAAGAACCGTTTATCAGTTTGAACCAGTGCAGCGTGAGCCGATCTTGATCAAGCGACACTGTTACTACTACACAGTGCTAAGAGATCCAGTAAAGAAAGCATTTGAATTCTCCACAGAAGTAATAACATCGATGCGAGATCTAGTGAGAAGCATTCAAATTTCTCAGTTTTAACCGTAGATCTCTATTAGATCAAACAGCGCTGATGTGGAAACCAGGAGAAACATTATGCCATGATTGAACTACAGTAGTTCACAAATCAGCATTATTCATCATGGATTTAGTGTAGTAAAACTAACTGTAACCATGGAAGTTTGGCAGGAATAGTATGTAAAAATCCAGCACTTCAAACTCAAATATTATCATATTTAAATGTTATTTTCAATGTGACGACCTATTTGTTCATCTTTCAAAGATTACCCCCATTTATAAAACTAAAAGTTTCAAGATGTAGGAAAACTCACACTTGTTTAAAGATAATAAAGACATTAAATTAGCATTGTAACCAGAAGGTGTCTACCATTTCCACTCTTAAATTCTGTGAACCGTTACACCACCACAATTCAGTGAACATTGGTATGTGCAGGGAGAAGGATTGTGGGTAAAATGACTGAAATTCATACCTGTTTGCAGTGCTTGTTGTTGTCCATGCAGGGCAAGGAGCGATCCGGATAACCATCAATATCTGTGTCCATCCCACAAGTGTGACCATTACCAGCCCATCCAACATTACACTAAGAGAATCATGCAGAAGTTAATCAGAAAACTTTGACAGTCATGATGCAGTAAATGACACATGCAAATCTTAGTTTTTGTCCTAACCAGCCATGATAAGTGACAAGGCATTTAAAATGGCTCCAAAATGTTTTCGCAGTGATGCCATAGATAGAAGAACCATTTTTATTACACTTAAGAACATTTCAGTAAAATTTTGTTCTTAGAGTAAAGAACTATTACTACTTTAGTTTTTATACTGTAAAGAACCTTTTGTGTAAAAAAGGTTCCATGGATGTTGAAGGTTCTTCATGGAACCATAGATACCAATAAAGAACCTTTATTTACTGCATTGTGATAGATAGCACCACAATTAAAAACAAATGTAGGGTGGGGTCTTGGTTTAATCCACTGATTGTTGATTGAATGAAAGCCAGCTTATAAGAAAGGGGCAGAGTTTAAGAGGACTAAATGACTGGAGAAGTTCGGTATAAATCACCAGAGAGGTCATTTTGATTAAAAATGATGAGATGAGATGAACAAAACAAAAACGAACAATGCGTGGATGAATCATACACAATATGAATCATAAAATAATAGTGAATTTCCATTTCATGCTGACTTTAAGTTTTAAACTATTTCTGATTGGATGTGAATTGTTTATCTTTCAAATCTTACAACAAGTAACTGAGTGTACACATACAGCACAGGTGACGTCCCCGTTTCGCTGAATGATGCAGTGAGCGTTAGTGTCACAGGGGTTGAAACTGAGCGAAGCACACGATTTCCGAGGGAAACATCCAGCTGTCTGATTCCCAACATATCCAATTTTACACTGACCACATCGATATGATCCCTGAGAGAAGGGAAAGAAGTTTAACACACACATTAACACACACTGTGTGTGATTTCAGAGAAAATGTCTGGGATTTTTTTTATATGTCTCATACTCACAATGGTGTTGATGCAGATGGAGTTGGGTGTGCAGGCGTTGACCAAATCAAGACATTCATCGATGTCAGAGCATTCCTGAAATAAATTCATTGTAAAAAGATATTTGTTGCCCCTTGTTTTGATATTGTGCAATCTGATGCAATGACATTAGGGCATTTTTATGTGTAAATTATTTTTAAGGTCACTGTACCTACAGGTGAGTGTTAGCATATTCTATATTGAGACTCGAATGAGCCAAAATTACAACCAAATTATTTCACCTTTATTCTGAAAAATGTTTGCCACTTCTGTTTGCCATTTTTTTTTTTTTTGCCATTTGACACTTGCTTTCATCCTCTTAAATCTGCAGTTTGCATGTTATGCATGTTTGAACTTTTACTAAGTACCGTTACATGTTTTAAGATGTTACAAGTTGTCATGCGTTTACTATTTTTATAGTATACAGAGCTGTGTACTATTTTCATATTACAAATACATATAATACAAAGTTGTTTTTTTTATTTCTTCTGGTCTTAAAAATTCTTAAATTTGATTTTAAAAAATATGCAGCACAATATTATTTCACAATATTACTGTTTTTACCGTATCTTTGATCAAATAAATGCACTGTACCTGGCGGTAACTCTTAGCATATTCCACACCGACTCCAGAGAGGGGTGGACCCCATAGCCCAGGTGGGCAGGACTCACATGTAAAACCTTTTGCAGTGTTGACACATGCACTTGGTGTATAACACGGCTGAGCCGCTGCACACTGATGGAGAGAGACATGCTAATCATCCAAATGATCTACACATGAATCAGCTTTATGATTATAAAAACGATGAGACACTTGGAACATGGACATTAAAACTCACAGTGGGTTCTGAACCAAAACTTATCAGTACTCGAAGATAAAACCTACACCCACCTCATCTATATCCTTACAGTGTGTGCCGTTCCCTGTCATTCCCTCCGGACAGGGACCACAACTGTACCCTGGGAAATCAAACGTCTCCATGCAGGCCACGCCCTTAAAGCAAGGATTGGGCTGACAGCGTGAACGTGGTTCATGAAATCCTTCAAACCAAAGAGATGAATTATCAAACCACATAGTCGAAAATGTAACATCATACGAATAATACATACATAAACGAAAGCCCTTGCTGTCTGTGAGCAGAGAGTATTAGGACATATTCATAATAGAATAATACCAGACTGCTTTCTGCACACTATACACTGCATGCTTCCTTCCTCTGAACGCAGACCAAGCTCTGTCAGGTCGGCTTGATGTTTGCTACTCACCGCACATCTGGCACTCCAGAATAGCGTTCCTGACAAGAGACATTTCTTTCACCTAAATAGTACAAAAAAATTAATTAATCATGAACAACTTCCCTTACATATACACAATCACTCACTCACCTGTTCTCTGATGTCCTCTCTCAGCTCTCCCAAAATCTGATTAAAGATGATCAGCTGGCCAATGAGAGCTTTAGTGTGGTCACCTGTACAAAAAATAATGCAATATCTTAAATAACAGCCAACAAATCGCATATTATGACTTCACCAATGTCCTAAGATGTCAACTCACCTAAAATAGAATTAACCTCACCATTCACTGAAAAAGAAATTTTAAGCAAAAAACTTTCAGACAAAGATTTCGCAAGCAATCAAAACACTACATATTCAAGCCCCATGTACAGTCTTGAGATGATGTTGGCTAACCTATGTTGTATGAAGAGGCGTCTCCCTGAAACGGACAGTCGGTGAGAGCTCCAGCCTGGGCAACAGTGCCACCTAGTGCCACTTTAAGGGACTCCACTGATCCCTGGAAAACAAACTTGTTAGCTACAAGAGCTCCTCTGATTTCTGTACGTTCATCCTTTGGTCATAGTGTTTTATATAATACCAGTTTGGATATTAACATATCTGGATTTCAGGGTCTTACCCAATCATGACATCTAATCTTTCCTTCCATTAAAAATTAAAGGAATAGTTTACACAACAATAAAAAACCCAAGTTAAATCAGTCATTATTTACTTCTAAAACTGAATGCTGCTATTTGTCTGTGATACACAAAAGGACAACTTTTGGAGAATAACCGTATAAAAATTGGGAACTACACAAAAAAAATGTGTGATGAAAAAAAAAACTAGTGATGTACTATAGATTAATCACATCTAACATAAAGGTATTGTGTTTATATAAAATGTGTGTATATACTGTATATTATCATATTTATATATGTATCATATGTGTGTGTATAATCAACTTACTGTTCAGAAATGTGGGGATATTACTCTTTTTTTATTAATAGTTTTATTCAGCAAATATGCATTCAATTAAAAAGTAAAGACTTTTACACTGTTTATTTCAAAATAAAAATTTTTTTTCTCAAAATTGATAATAATAATAATAAATGTTCCTTAAGCTCCAAATCAGCATATTAGAATGATTTCTGAAGGATCATGTAACACTGAAAACAGGAGTAATGATGCTGAAAATTAAGCTTTGCAATCGCAGAAATACATTACATTTTAAAATATATTAAAATAGAAAACATTTATTTTAAATTATAATAATTTTTCAACCCGTTTGAATGTTTTTCCCCAAAATAAATGCCTTAGTAAGCATAAGAGACTTCTTAAGAGTGTTTATGCAGCTGTTGCGTGAAGACATAATTTATCAAGACATAATGATGATCAAGGTCATATTGTGTTGGATGTTGGATCTCACCTGCATACGAGCGTATGCCTTGTGGCCATTGCGAATCTCCACCAGCTCGCTGTCTCTGGGTAAAGCGACCAATGGGGGCAGCCGCTGTGCGGAGTCAGCCAGACGGCAGTTCACAAACAGCTCCAGGTTCAGGTAGTCTCTGCGCAGGCCACCGACTCGTAGGATAACAGACTGAGGCCGTCCGTCGGCCACATTAGGTGTCTGCAGGTTTACTGTGTGCAGCTTCCCATCTTCACGAACATAACGGACCAGAACTAAAACAAACAAACCTTTTAGATCCATCTATACCACATTTATAACCATGTAATTCTACATATTGATGAGTGAAACAGGATATTCAATGAAAAAAAAAGAAGGGTGGGACTTGTTTTTATCCATCAAGAATTGATTGGATGGTGAAAAGTGGGCGTTCCATACTAAAATGGAGTTAAATCTCAATGCAGGTTTGTTGAAACAAGCAACCTGCTATTTGGCAGTTAGTCAACATAATACAACAGCCTATGCAGTGATGTCAGTGGAAAAGTAAAGTTGTTTCAGAGAAAAAGCAAGTTGATTATGATTATGATATAATGATAAAAATGGGTCATCGCTGCAATACCTTTGTTAATTTTGCTCATGATGGCAACCTCCAGGTATTTCTTGCTATCCTGCTTGTTGTAGAGACCCAGCAGAACTCCACCCAGTTTAGGAGGAAGACGAAACGTAGACATCACATACACATCACTGAGAGTCTTTAGTGCTAAAGAGACCTTCTCCACTGCGGCCACAGTCTGCTTCACATCCTCCAAACTCAACACGTCTATCACTGAGAGAGAGAAACAGAGACGGGGAGACATAAAGGAACAGGGATGAATAACCTCATATTGGAGCTGTTTCAAACCTGTATGTTTATTTCCCATGAAACAGAAGATTTTTTGCAGAATCTTCAGCGTCAATGTCGTACAATGACAAATCATAGTGACCACAGCTGTCAAAGTCTAATAACAACAAAAAATAACAATTTAATAAAAAACTATAAAAGCTGTGCATATGATTCATACGCTACACTATATTTAATTTTTTTAATGGCATTTAAATTTCCATTATTTTATTTTCGCAAGCTTTTCATATTCTATTTAAAATCTTTTATTTAAAATCAAAATGGATTCAAATTACTTCATAAAAAAGTATTCAGTGATGTAATCCAAGCACCACAATATGAAAGTAATGTAATCTGATTACTTTTGGGTTTCTTAAAAGTCACATATGAAAAATTATATTATATATAGGCTAATAATTATATATATATAATTATATTAAATTATATATAGGCTAATTAATAATATTATATAACGCATTAGTCTATATAATTTCTCTTTACCATCTGCTGTGATTATTCTTAATTGATCCCATTCATCACCTCCTAATCTTTCGTCGTAATTGTTCTTAAGTTCTTTGGCTGGTTAAAGGTCAAAGGTCATAAGTCAGTGAGTTGAACTCGAGAACTGAGCAGACCCATTTGTGAATGAATCATTCAGAATGGTTTTGTGAAATGGGTCAACTGAATAAACGAAAGAAAATCTGACGCAAAAAGAAGTTTTGAATCGAATCCCATATGAACGAGTCATGTGAATCATCATTATAATGCTTTTGCACCTTTTTTGAAAGCGTTTGCTGCTATTCCTTATATTGACATTGTATGGCCTATTATAGATTTATATTATAGATCATTTGTCCACAGAGGAAAGCAAGTCATGCAGGTTTGGTAGAACATGAGAGTGAGTAAATGATGAATTGTCTACTATATTTCAGAGAGAAATTGCACTCTGTATCCTCTAAATCTGCTCATGCCCAGTGACTCTTTTTCTATCACAGTTCTCTCTCTTTTTCACAGTTCTTTTAACTGGACCATGTACGTTTAACTTTTTAAGTGAATATGGATTAAAGACGTTAAAAGAAAGACAAAACATTAACTGGTAATTAACTACCTGAGACAAGTTAGTATAAAGAAAAAAAAGTCAGAATAATTACCCGGCACGTCTTGTTTCTGTGCGCTCTCTGCGTACAGGACGGACATCAACACGAAGAGACTGACCCAAAATGTCATGTTTACAAAATAATAAACGCAAAAAAATGATGCAGGGCCAGGGAATCAGAAACAGATCCGTCAACGATGCATTGAAACACGAAATATTTCCACGCCACGGGAACAAACCTGCGCTATGCGGAGTGGGAGTGGGAGTGGGAGAGAGAGAGAGAGAGAGAGAGAGAGAGAGAGAGAGAGAGAGAGAGAGAGAGAGAGAGAGAGAGAGAGGGAGAGAGAGAGAGGGAGAGAGAGAGAGGGAGAGAGAGAGAGAGAGAGAGAGAGAGAGAGAGAGAGAGAGAGAGTTGCGTTCACAGACGCTGTCCTGAGAGAACTGAATCCGCCCTCTTCATCAGCATACAATAGATTATTCCAACTCAGGAGTAATTTAGTTGTTCACACAGGTTGCGTTCATAGAGGACCGTAGAAGTCTCGAGACAGCTTTTTGAAAGTTTAACTATTTTTAACTGTTTTAAGTCTGTTTTCACGCTGCGTAACGTTAACTGCCATGGACGTGTGGTTGATTCTGGAAAAGAGGAAAACCAAGATATGTGGTCCCTCAGGTAGACTTTTATGGTAACTGAAAACGTGTTATTTAATTATTTTTAATATTTAAATATTATTTTAATTATTTTTTTCCACTTCAGAAGCCCAGCTAGCTTTAATTTGTATCGTGACTTCACACTGACCCTCAAGAAAATTCTGCGATAAAAACTAAAGACAGTTCAGTTGGCAAAAAAAACACAATTTCCCTTAAAGGGATAGTTCTCCCAAAAATGAAATGTTGTTCCAACCCTGTATGAATTTCTTTTTTATGCTAAACACAAAAAAATATATATTTTGAAGAATGTTGGTAATCAGACCAATCATTCCATAGAAGGAAGAAAACTATGTCAATGGGTTACTGACATTCTTCAAAATATCTTTTTTGTGTGTGTTCAGCAGACTAAAATATTTTAAATGACTAGAACAAATGCAAACATTGGCTTTGATCATCTATTCCTGCTCAAACTCAAAATTCCAGTGTCAGCTTTTGAATTCGCAGCAATCTGCAAGCAAACAAAAATGTATTGTCATAAAGAAAGCAAACGCTGCTGATTTTAAAGCAGAGCAGTATGAGGACTGTTCAGTCTCGACAGTCTGTCCTGGGGTGATGTTTATTTTTCATTACCTCTGAGTTTCCTTAGAAACAGCTTTTAACAGCAGGTGCCAGGGGAACAGTTCTGTCATACTTGAGCTTTACTGGACCCTGCAAGCAGAAAAAATTGTTCAGCTATATTTTGTACTACGCACCATTCGAAAGTGCTTTAAATGAGGGGACTTGTTAAACAGCCCTCTTCCCAGAAAGGAAAATATGAGTTGAGTAAAATTTTCACAATGGAGTCATGAATCTAACTTTTACACCCTGAACAAAACCAGAACCAGTTTGGTCCATGACACATAGTTTCAGAGCATAACCCCACCCATCGCTTCCCCATCTCAATCCCTGTGTGGAAAATCAGCACAATCCAAATGCATTTTTCCTTTTCAAACAGAAATTCGTTCCCAGATGAGTTTTGTTGAGGTCATTAAACGCTGTCGTGCGGCTTCGGAGGGGCTCCTGATTGCTCTGGATCTAGTGGTGGGGAGGGGGTTTACTATGTTTCCACACAAATACAAGGAAACAAACCCAGGAATGAACAGGAGCCAGAGAGAGATTCCAGTCTGGTGCTGTAACACACAGCTGTGTCTCCCCAGGGCACAAATTCACAGAGCTCTCGCTCAGCCGACTCTGATGATCGGAAACACTGCCGGCAGGTAAATTGTAGCTTGAAGAGAATATCTTTCTCTCTTACAACCTCCACATCACACACACAGTCCTCAGGGACCTTCTGTTACAACAATGCAACAGATAAAATCAGATTTTTGTAGGAGAAACCCCCTCAGTGTCAATGCAGCATTGCATCTGCAGAAAATAAAGAAACCCCATCCAGAATATGATTATTCAGGACTGTTTATTTGCCCCTCAAATTATGAAAATAAAAATCCATAAGCAATATTATTACAGCACATAGCACCTAATGAAAAGATATAAACTGGCTGTTCAAATTTCCTTTACATTTCTGTAGAAGCCCATGCAACAGATGCCTTCGTCTATTAATGATTTTGAACAAAAGCATTTGTTTTTATTTCAAACAGTTTAACTAAATAGAAAAATTCACTCGCATGTAGTTTAACTACCTTACAGAAAACCTCATGGACCTCGTGGAAAGTTACAGGAACTGAAACATCTTAGCCAGTTTTGCGGTTTAACATAAGCCACAGTTTCTCTCTTTATCCTTGAATATATCATGTTTAAAAAAGGTTTTTGTGCTCAAAATTAAAATTGTTAATTTTTTAATGTTGTAAACCTGTATTTTTTTTTTTTTTTTTTTACAAAATAACATATTTTGAATCATGTTTGAGTCACAGTTTTTTATTCAATACGTAATGCTATTTTGAATCATTCTGTCAAAATTCAAATGTGCACTACACAAAATTAGTGATGCCGAATGCCTTCGGTCCTCACATGACCAAGCATGACGCACCAAATTTGAATATGCATATGCACTGATTATTTGATTTAAAGCAAATAAGATACAAGAGGAATATTTTTTAGCAAATAATGATATAAATTAGGGACAGTTCCTCACATAAACTATCGTATGGCTGCAGAACACTTTGAAAATGCCACACAAGTTGTTTGGACTACTCGAATGCATTAGCGTTACTATGTTGTTTTGGAGCTTGAGCTTGGCAGTAAAAAAACCCAACAAAAAACAGCGGAAATCAGCATCACTGACATTCTGGAAAAATCATTTTGTGTTTCACGGAAGAAACAGTCAGACAGATTTGGAACAACATGACGGAGAATAAATGTTTGGATTAAATGTTGGTTATTTTCTATCATCAATAGCATCACATTAACATGAGCATTAATCTGTCTGAAGTATGACAAGTATTGACAGTAGAGCGGAATGATTTAATGATTTAAAGCAGTTAGCAAATAAAATGTGCATTAAAACCAGAAAAACAGCACAAAATAGCACATAAGAGATGTGAAAATCTAATTGTCATTGTCGTAAAGCAATGAAAGGGTTTAAAAGCTCTGTTTTGGTCCACAGTCACACAATAAAAGTTGAGGGAATCCCTTAGTTTGAAGTGCTCTCTTACCTGAACTTAGCTTAATAATAGTAGCTATGAATAGTTATGCTTTTTATTTTTGGTAAAAAAACAAACAAACAAACAAAAAAAACACGTGAACATACCAAGCATCAATGTCGAAAAACAGAAAATTATTTTACAAAAATAGAAACTGAAAGCTTATATGCAATTAAAGCTCAAGTCAAGGAATAAATAATACTTAAATCCCTAACAATATATGGTTTCTTGTATGTTCCTCCACTATGTAAAGTGACCATACCAGTGCAACTAACAGAAAGCCCTACTTTCATTCATTCTCATTCACTCCTCCTCTTCATCCTCATGGGAGGGGCCTCTGAGTGAGGCGGGGCCTACATGCTCCTCCTCCTGCATATGCTCAATAGCTACTATGCCGGTGAGGAGAGCGTAGCTCAACATCGCTGCCACAGCAACCAGCACTGACAGCAGCTGCTTGCGTCTCTTGTATGGCTCGTTGTCAAAATCGCCCCCCTGCTGTGTGCTGGACACCGGACGACTGACGCCCTCTGCACACAGAACAGACACGCAACCATATGAAGAAAAATCTTCTCTTATTCTACAGACAGAAGTACAACACTTTATCGTAGTTGTTAGCTGCCCACCTTTACTCTCATTGGGGAAGTACAGGTTTAGGATGTTAGAGCAATATGTGTTCAAGTTGTCCAGATTCTTCAAGTTCTGCTGCAGTCGGCAGTTAGGCAGTTGAATCTTAATAAGTGGCGCTAGATGACCAAACACATACGCATCCAGAGAAGAGGGCCTTTAACACACAAATACATATCAAAATGTGTATTACACCGAACCAATAATCAACCAAGCATCTCTTAAGTGAAGCTCAAAGATCAACCTTGATGCGTAACTATAGGACTTACGAATCTCCAAAGAAGAATTTGTTCGATCCTAGGCGCTGAGAGAGAAGATTCAGGCACTCCAGAGCATCATGGTAAAGCTGGAGAGTTATAGACAATAGAGACAAACAAATGTTTTTATATATATATATAATATGTATATTATATGTATATTCCCATATATATAAATATATATGCCCTATTTTCATACAGTATATATATATATATATATATAATATATATATATATTAGGGCTGTGCAAAAGTTAATTGCGATTAATCGCATCCAAAATAAAAGTCTGTGTTTATATATTTGTGTGTGCTGTATATAATTATTTTGTATATATAAATACCTATGCATGCATGTATATATTTAAGAATTATTTGCGCTTAAATTCTGTATATATTTATAAATACATAATCTATATTATATAAACATTTTATATATGAATAACACATTTTCTTAAATATATACATGCATGTGTGTGTATTTATATAAAAAAAATAATTATACACAGCACACACAAATATATTATGTAAACACAGACTTTAATTTTGGATCCGATTAATCGCAATTAATTTTTGCACAGCCCTAATATATATATATATATATATATATATACAGTATATGAGAATAGGACAGTCTTTAATGATAACAACACAAATGAATCACATTGACGGACAATCAGAATCAACACGATTTTAAACAGCCTGAGCATTTAAAGCGGCAAACGACATAACTGAAGGGTGTGCTTATTATAAACAGAACGATATTGTGCATTGGTGTGGATCTTAATATAGTTATAGGTGTGACTGGGCCTAAATATTGCAAAAACATAACATTTTGCTTAGTCGCAGTGAGCAGATCACATCACACAAGCATGCACATTGTGACTCCAAGTCTCATAAGCAGAGTTGTTTCCTAACACTAGCAACTAGTTCTCTGCCAGAACGGAACTTCTGCTCTATCGGAGCCCAGATTCCTCACATCTGCTGATTTATCAGTGTCCTCTTCAGGGACCAGAACATCATTGCCTCTGGAACATTGAGTCTAACAGCCGCCCTGCTCTATGAAGGAGGGTTGTTAGTGTCACAATAACCCAAACACCATCTGATGACCATTTCACAGCACATAAAAACAAATGCTATCAAGCACAATATCAAGAAGAACATGTAGCCAACTCCTCCTATCTCACCTCCTTCTCTGCCTCTTCTCCTGCCTCCAGCGCGCCATTTCCTCGGATCAGACGGAGTCGCTCCAGCTGCCTGTTCTGCATGCGGCCCGGCAGGAAGAAATTGAGCGGGAAGCACATATTCTCTCCGTACCAGCGGCGCGTCACCTCTGCATAGTTCTTAGGATCGACCCATAAAGCGTAGATCTGGTGGGAAATGAGGAGAGTGTTTGAGCACGTACCCACCGAAACTACCATCTTCAAGTTTCAGGATTCGAATCTCACAAGCGCAGGCAACAGTCGCTCCTCCAGCAGCGAGGTGAAGGCCAGTGTGTCTGCACCCTCTTTGGCCGAGAGATCATAGTCTGCATTGTATTTCTGAAAGACAAAGTTACAGCATTACTACTACATCTGCTATTGTTCAGAAAAACCTTTTCCAAATCATGCATTTGACCGTTCAAGCAGGGCCCGTGATTACAACCAAAGAATGGCTTATTTATTGAGCACTGAAGTGATGATGTGCAGGGGTTGGACAATGAAACTGAAACACCTGGTTTTGGACCACAATAATTTATTAGTACGGTGTAGAGCCTTCTTTTGCAAAAACAGCATGTAATCGTCTTGGAAATGACAGGTACTGAAAGGCCTGTACAGTGGCCAGAGGGATTTTGAGCCACTCCTCTTCCAGAACAGCGGCCAGGCTACTGTGATGCTGTTAAAGGAAAAATGTTTTCTGACTTGCTTCTCCAAAATATCCCAATGTGGCTTAAAAATATTTAGATCTGGTGACTGTTCAGGCCATGGGAGATGTTCAACTTCACTTTCATGTTCATCAAACCATTCTTTCACAAGTCTTGCTGTGTGTATTGGTGCATTATCATGAGGGTTTTAATTATGCACATAATTAAAACCTTTCCTGAAAACACATACTTCTTGTGTCTCATTCAAAACAAATTTAATGGATACCTTCATTGTGTAATCAAACATGATTAATGAGAAAATTATGGCCTTTATGATGGCAACATGAATCACTGGACACTGTGCAGCCCTCAAATGAATGAACCCGAAACTACTTTGTTTAACTTTGTTCGGGGAAAAAAAAGGCATCCATGAAGAGTGAAATATACAGGGACTCCGTATAGAGCAATATGTGATCATAGAGGTTTTTGTGGGCGAGAGATAATCACCTGTTTCCTCAATTGAATGATGATCTGACTGGGTTGAGAGCAGCTGCCTTCCTCTTTGGTCCTGAGAGCAGGTAGTGAACCTTCAGTGAATACATTAGAGTCAGTAAAGCACTTTTTTTTTGCCTGGATGAGTTTACTGCCAAAGTTTTGTGATTTTCTAAACGTCTAAAGATGACTAACAACACAATGCATTTAAGCTAGCTATCACTCTGGATATCAATAATAGAAATGCATGACCTCTAGATAACATATTAAAAATATCACATGGTCCTTCAGAAATTATTCTAATATTGTCATTTGGTGCTCAAGAAACATTTATTATTATCAAAGTTGAAAACAGTTTAAAAGAAATAGTTTAAAAGAACTGCATGTATTTGAAATGGAGATCTTCTGTAACAATACAAACGCCTTTACTGTCACTTTTGATATATTTTATGCATACTTGCTGAATAAAAGTAATAATTTCTGTCCAAAAAAAATCAAATAAATAAATAAATGATCAAGTAATTATGTTTAAGTAGCTGTATATATTACATTTTATAAAATTAAATTATCACGCACTCAAAGAGGGGATCCACTAAAATGTGGGAAAAAAGCCTAATTAAAGGAGAACTCCGGTCAATTTTAACATTGCGCTCATTTTTTGCACATTTGGAGTGCTGTCAGTCAGTACAGACAAAAACGACAAAAATCGGTGTTGAATTAACATTTTTACTCATATCTTTCACATCTACTGCGGTCAGATTGACCGTGGTCACTCTTAATAACACCACTCACATGGCTGTACACTCGTAATGACAAATCAAGGATGTTAAGAGGCTAAAAGCAAGTTTAAAACATGCGCCATTGAAGTCAACAGGGTGCGAATTTTAAAAAGACGATAACACGGTGTAGGCAAAACCGATTTTTGTGGTTTTTGTCTGTACTGACAGTAGTCCAAAAGTACAAAAAAATTAGCTAAATGTTAAAATTAACTGGAGTTCTCCTTTAATTTTTATTTAGTCCTATGTGTTCGATAAAGAAATAATATGAAGCTTCTGAAGAATTCAGGAGCCAAAGAAAAAAAAAAACAATGGAGATAGACAAGAATGTGGAAAGAGAAACATACAGATGCAAGTTATCAGCAGCTCGGCAGGAAAGAGGAAGAGGCCTCTGTGTTTCAGTTAAAACATGCTAAATGTTCCTCTTTAATGAATGTGGAGTGTCTGCCAAGAAACAGATTGTTAAAACTGGGCCTGCTTACCTGTGGGGCTTCTCCAGGGGTTAGAAATCTTGTGAATTTTCAGCGGAGCTCCAGAGAAGCGAGCATATGCCTGGAAAATGATATAAAAGATATTATTATTATTATTTTTGCAAAGTTAGAATTATAAATCTTATGTGCTAGAAGCAATTTGAGTATCATTTATGTTCTAGCACAAACACAAACCAAGAGTACTACACAACCTCACAAAAACCTAACAAAATATGGATGACGACATCATATCATCAAGTCGTCGCAACAAACACGAACAGCAACATAAGCAAGAACGCAACCTGAAACTAGTTAGCTGTAAGCTAGTTAGCTACACCAAAGAGCTTTAGATTTTGGACAGGGTCTTGGATGGGATGCCTCGTTTTACGACGACATCCGATAAAGTAGGAGGTAATTTCACATTCCAGCACATGAAGCTGAGAGCTGACAGATCCAGCGCTTCATATTGGCTCAGAACGTCAGCACGTCGTTTAGCAGATTCTTTCCGTTGACAGCATTGTGTACTAATGATCGCTGGGGTTAAATGCCCTGGAGCGATTCCTTTACACTTCAGGCTGAAGCCAAGAAATACTCAAGAATTATCGGCCTCGATTTCTAAAGGAAATTTTTTACTCGTCCTCGTGTGATTTCCATGGAGCTCTTGAACAACTGACCATGTGTCTCCAAAAGTCATAAAATACCATAAATCATGTAGTCATTACAAATAAAATGAACATAAAATGATACGGTGGATAACTCAAGTAAATAATTTACATTCTAGCACTCTACTTAGTGGGAAGAAAATGGATGGACATAAATGTCTTATAATAATTATGGTGGTCTGTCCCTCAAATATATTTTATGATGTAAGAGACATGGAATATATATATAGAGCATGAATATGGGATTTTGTATGTTAGTTTCGGAGCTTTAGTCACCATGAACTGTCCTTTAATGGAAAAGAACTGCATAAAGATGCATCAAATCTTCTCCTGTGCGTGTTTCAGTGAGAAACAGCTGCAGAATTTTCATTTCGGGGTGATTACTTTAACATTAGGCTTCCATCACTTCCAGGACTCTTAACTGTGAGGAAACCAGATTTGTGGAAAGAGCTGAGTATCGAGTTTTTCCTTTTCCCAGTTGCAGTCGTGCGGTGAGCTGAAAAAGCGCAGTTATCTCCATCAAAGGCTGACATCATAACCTCAGATTTATTACTAGACTGATTCCTACAGAATCCTAAATTGTGGCTCGTAAAGTGGAGAGGATCGAGTTTGAATATAAATCATTCCTACGAGAACAACTTGTAGAGCCCAAAACAAACATGAGGAGGAAAACTACAGCTGGCTGAAGTCCACTTTGCCCACAGTAAAAGCAGTTCATCAGACTCCTGCTGTACACATAAACACACTGAAATTAGGCCACGGATGACAGAACAGATTCTCTTGAAAGTGCAGATGGTAATAATTAGTTTGAACCTTTCATAAGATCCTTAAGATCCTTAGCGAGTGGCACAGATTATGATTGGGCTATCTTGATTTTAAACCCCACCCATGTCTTGCTGTTTATCCAATCACTGCTCTCTCTTTAAGGGAGTGTTCTAATACACCATCACAAGCAGCCAAAGCATGTGGTAATTTATCAAGAAGCAAAAACTTAGTAAAATGGTAACATTTCATTGTTTTTTTCCCACATTAGAGCACGTTTTCATTCATTTTAACGTCTAAAAGGTCACCTTTATTTATATAGCTCTTTATACAAAACAGATAGTTTCAAAGCAGCTTTACAGTGATAACAGGTGAGGGAATTTACGCATTTTAGTGTTAATTCAGTTCTGTTGTAAAGATTGGGTAAATTGGCAGTGGGTGGGATCACACAGACCAAAACAAAAACAGAAATTCCAACAGGGAACACACATTTCCAAGTAGAATAACTGGCTGTAGCATTTTTATTTTGGAGAAACAAGTTTGTTTCCTTCCTTGCTTGCTTTAGAACAGTCAAAATATTACATACAGCACCTTTAACTATTAAAGTAGGCCTGTCATAATTATTACACAACTGTCTGGTCATTATTTGATTAATTTTCATATATAATTGTTTTTAATATTATATTTTTTGATCAAATAATGTTAAATTCCATTCATATGTTGCACTTTTTTTTAAATGGATACTGAACTGAATAATTAAATTAAGTTTTTATTAAATTTTATTTCTCCCTTCCAGGTGCAGTAATAGGATATGGGAGCACTAAAAAAGTATTTTAAATTTAATAAATGTTTACATTTGTATGTCATTTATTCATGGCATAAAAATGTAAGTTAACATTACTAATGGTCATCTACTTAAAAGATGTATAATAAGCATACAAGGCGAGACTACTGAAAAAAAAATATAATTAAAATTATAAATCACAATTAGGTGCTCAAAAATGTATCCCTTTCAAAATATGGTATGATGTTATAATGTTGAAAGGCCTAACTTCAAGTTGGCAGCAGACAGGCAAATCTCCAAACAACCTCAGAGCTTCACATGCAGTCACAATTTAATGCAACTATATCCTCTCTGGTGCAGTGAGATAATCTGGAAAATTCTGAATGAACTTCACATTACCAAACCATCAGACAGAGGGAGCAAAACATGCCTGCGGTTTTTAAAGCGCCCTCGGTAGGTGCAGACAGACTGTAATGCACAGACATCAACCCGACCGCTGGCTAGCTGGAAAAATCCCACAACACTCGAAGAGTCCAAAACACACAGCACTGATGTAACCTAATCACTTTAACATGCGATTTCAGCAATAGTAACCTGGTTCTTTACCCACATACAACCTTTGTTGATTAGGAATAAAATGGATCTGAATTCAGTCTCCAAAGCTGCCGATAGGAGATGAGATTGATGCTAACTCCAGATGACAGTGGTGGGTTTGTGGTTTACAGTAGCACAGACAGGTGGCGCCCTGGTGTGACCAAACTGAAGTGGAAAAATAAGAAAAGTGGAGCAAATGTCTCACATGGTGATTCATGCAATAAAAATATATGCTGATAAGCACCTTGGCTTTGGAATAAAACTGAGATAGGAATTTGAGCTTAAATCATGAAGAGTAAACATTGGAGATTTGCAGTCTCAAAGATTGGCATTTAGACCAGGTCAGATCGCGGTCATGTGAGGCCATTTGCAACCATTACTCTTTTTTTATTTTTTTATTAGTATAATAATAAAATAATTTGGTATGCTTTAAATAAAATGGATAAAAATTAGTAAGTTAGCTGGGGCCTTTGTGCTCATCTTGATAATATCCACACTTTCATTCTAAAATGGTATGTTTCACAGAAGAGAGAAATTAAAGAAATATATTATTAATAATAATAATTATATATTAAATATATTATATTAAAGAAAAACATTATTTTCTAGTACCCTACTACACAGGACATAAGATAAGCAGTTTGAAGAATGGATGGATGCATGCATTATTACTTTTACAACACCTGCGACTACTCACAAACTATATTTTAAGTCCCTTGTGTTTAGATAACAAGCATACAGTAACGTTATATAGACACGTTGGGTGCCAAGGCATGACTATATAGCATCACTGTAACGTTACCGTCTACACTGTAACGTTAACGTTAGAGCAGTAACGTTACCGCGCCGAATCGCTTTGCTACAAATATATGCACGTGAGCAGAACCAACCCATATATATAACTTATATCCAGTCTACTCTACATCAGCCTGTGATGAAAACTCACCAGCACGATGAGACAGTCCGTATTTACTGACGGTAAACCCAAACCAGCCTTCCAGCAAAACAGCTCACAGGGAGCCGCCATCTTCACAGACCATACACCTATAACCCGGAACTGGTGCTTTGACAAATAAAAGTCCCTTTTGTGGATGTGTTGAACCAAAGCCCGTCTACTTTCTCTGGTTGAACTTCCACTCACATTATTCTTTCTAAAGGCTTCCTCGTCCACAGTGAGTGCCTTGGATGGCCAATTCACACCGCACAGACTAACACTAACTAACAAGTTGGCCGTTTGATTTGAAATTTTATGCAAAATAACTGTCGTGTTTACTGTCCCAACAAACGCTGCTTGAACATGTTCAGTTAAAACGTTTGACGAGTAAGATTTTATATAAATATAAAAATTGGGTGGAAATAACACCGCAACTGTTTAACTTTTTCTTGAGCCCTCAATTAGGATGATTTCTGAAGGATAAGTCCGAAAATCCAGATTTGCCCACAGTAATACATTGCATTTTATAATAGAATAGAAAACAGTTTATTTAAATAGTAGGCCTAATAATATTTAAGAATATTACTGTTAACGTATTTTTTTATAAAATAAATGTAGCCTTGGTGTGCATGAGATACTCAAAAAAAAGATAGCAAGTGTGTTTAAATATAAATTTAGTAATTTAGTTTATATTTGTAGTTGGAGTGTATCATATCTTGGCAGAAACTTAGACACAATACACGACACAATTTGGTTACCATGGTTTGTGGGGTAATTGTGTTTTATCATTGTTTGTAGTGGGCCTGTAGGAAACAGCAGAGACTTGGCCAAATGGACAATCAGCCGCTTGTGTTGCAACTCTCCATCCCAGGAATCTGCCAAGAATTCATGAGCAAAAACCACATCCACACATGAAGACATCAGAGTCCCAACGGACTGATAGAGTCCAGTACATTCCTGAGCACCCATCCCGTCCGTTTGTGTGAACAGTTTCAGTAATCCTCTTCTCTTTCTTTAGACCACATTTACTTAATGTAGGCTATGGCCTGAAAAAAAAAAATCACATATGTAACCACTTAATGTAGGCTAACTGTGTGTTCCCATTTATAGATAATTAAGTTTCATCAAGGGTAAAGACAAGAAAAGTTCAACATATTGTGAAAATCTCTGGAAAAGGGCTTTGGGCATCATTGGGACATTCTGTAATTCTTTGAAATTGTTCCAAGAACAACTAAAGGACAAAAGGAACCGTGCACATTTTCACTGAGTTGCCTATTGCTTTTTTAAAGACATGCAATCATTTTTCCAACATTAAAATAAGTTTAAAAAAATTTATATTACTTTTAATAGTATTTAAAAAAAATATGCACACCTGCACCAGGCAGTTTCCATGAAAGGAAATGTTGATGGATAATGTTCTCCAGATTTTACAGACCACATTGTGTGGATTTTTAAATATTCAAAAACACAAGACTGGAAAATAAACTAAAATAGCAAATTAGACACTGAGGAGTGTAAATTCAGTCACTAAGCAAGAGTGTCCCTAAACATTTTAGACTGTGTGTGGTAAGATGACGTCCTTCTTCCGGGTGGCATAAAGCACTTCACTGAAACCCTGTGGAAAAACCAAATGATCCGTTTAACAACTCAAATTTCAGACAAACACTCAAACCTCAAGTGAATAAAACATCCCTGACCCAAGGGGAAGAGTTTCTACCACAGTGTGGTATTTTCTCTGACCTGGAGAAAAAGAAACATCAAGGGGTTTAAAATATTTATGTGAATGCAGATGATTTTGTTGAATCATCTGATACAAACATGCCACAATGATTAACCAATGCAATCTGCTGAATGCTTTAAGAACTTTAGCTAACGTTCTGGCTAAGGTTCTCTCAGTGATGAATAAACTTGTTAATAGAATGTTTGTTATCTGGTCTTTAGTAACGTTCTCAAAATATTAGCACAAAAACATAATATTAGCACAAAAACAAATCTTTTCCCGAGTCAACTCATTCATTACGTTTGTTGAATGGACCAAATGACATGAAAAAAGATTCGTTCATTTTGATGAACGAGTTCGAATATAGGAGAGTCATGAATGCTCATCACAGAACAGACCAAGGCGACCATTTGAGATTATAAAACTTAAACTTTGTTGTTGTTTTTTAAACGAGCGATCGTTTCGATTGATGAGACCATTATTCATTGTCTGGAATCGTTTAAAGCCCTTTGAACAGTTTGCGGTTTGCACTGAAACTCTTTTAGACCTTGAACTGTTTGGTTCCCATTGAAGTGCATTAAATGAAGAAAAATCCTGAATGTTTTCATCAAAAACCTTAATTTCTTTTCGACTGAAGAAAGAAAGACATGGACATCTTGGATGATGGGGGTGAGTAAATTATCAGCAAAAGTTTTTTTTAAAAGTGAACTACTCCTTTAAGGTGCATGAAATCCATTTAGACCAAATCTCATGTGAATATGTATATGTCCATTCTGTGAATGCTATTCTTATTCTCTCACAATTTCATATCTCTGTTCAAAGTAAATCAGATTTATATTCCACAGCCACTTGTGCATATCTACATTCAGAGCACATTTATAAACAATAAGGACAATCTTTTTAGGACAACCATCTGAAAAGCATAAGACATGAGAAAAAGTTGACATTTAATCTCATTGCAGTCAAGGAGAAATGATTGAGATCTCATTTGTGAGGTTTTATAAAATGCATCAGAGAAAATGCAGTGCAGGAGCTCCACCCACCTGTGTGTGGTACCTGCTCAGGTGCTCAAACAATAAAAGGACTGTTCACTCTGATAAAGAGGCACTTTCTCCAGAGTCCAGAACATTAGTTGATGTTGACTCAACCCGCTGGCACAGATCACACGCTGAAGGATTACTCGTCTTCAAAGATGATGAAGATTATACTAAGAGCCTTCACCACCTTAGCTGTTGGTTGGATTGCACTTTTCATGGGTAAGTAGCTGTTTTAAAAATGTGAATCATAAAATATAACAATTACCTTTTATGTATCATTGTAAACAGGGATGGTTTCCACAAAAATGAAAAATCAGTCATTATTTACTCACACTCATGTTGTTCCAAGCCTGTATGATGATCTTTCTATTGTGGAGCACAAAAGAAGATCATTTGAAAAATGATCCGTTTTTTGTTGTTGTTGTCGATTGTTTTTATTTGTCCATGTTTTCGACACCATTGACTTTCACTGTACAAAATCTTCTTTTGTCTCATGACACAAGGATGAATGACCGATGACATTTTTTTCATTTTTGGTGAAATAATTAAATTATACATTTTAAATATTATGCAAAAAGGATAAAGTCACACAAAAAGAATGTTGTGATGAATATATTAAAATCTGATTCAGGTGTAAAGTCTGTCAATATCTCTGCGTGGGATTCCCCAACTGAAAGCACAGACGCCTTGACTCCACATGCTTTAACTTCAGTTATCATGGATCTCAGGATCACTAACCGTGTTTATAATGACTCACTGGCTGACCAGCAATCAGCAGAGTATACAACACTCAAGCAAGAGGTGGAACGACTGGTGAGGGTCTCTTTTTAATCATGCTTGTATATGTAAAGCATTCATGGGGTATTTACAGTATTCTGGGACATCTTACATACAATGGATACAGTATGCCATGAAAGTGAAGTGATGGTCTCAGATGGAAATACTATGATTACACTTACAGAAAAGTACAATTTTCCTTAGAATACCATGTTAATAACAGTTTATAATAAAGTACCATGGTAATACCATCATACCACGGCACTGCCATGTTACAGTCATTTTTTATAAACTTACCAGATTAATATACCATAGTATTTACAAGACATACCATGGTACGTTTTTTTACCATGGTACCAATAAAATAAGATATGATAATAATTAAAGTACTTTATAGAACATCACTGTGATAAATTGAACTAAATGTACTGTATACCTTGAATGCAAAGTAAGTCGCTTTGGATAAAATCATCCATTAGGGCCTGGGGGAGCTCTTTTGCACCATCCCCATTTACACACTGTAAACAATGCTGGGTTGTTTTAACTATAAATTTGGGTCAAAAATGGACAAACCCAAATGGTGGGTTAAAAATGTCATTTAAGATTTTAACCCACACATTTTAAACTTTACATCTTTTAATTACATTTTTAACCCAGCATTTGGGTTTGTCCATATTTGCCCCAAATTTGGGTTGAAACAACCCAGCATTTGGGTTTGTCCATATTTGACCCAAACTTGGGTTGAAACAACCCAGCATTTTTTAGAGTGCATGCACGGATCTGAGAAAATTATTAAAACTCTATATTATGAATGCCAGGCCAGTAGTTGGCGATGTCACTTTGTAAAGGAACACATCATGTGCATGTCACCATTTTCACAAATTCGTGGTTTTGTATTTTACACAGAGAAGGTAATGCTATTGTTTTCAATAACTTGCACTTTGAAACCTCTTTATAAAAGTTTTCGTTTTCGCCCCCCCCCCCCCCCCAAAAAAAAAGCTGTTGTCGTTTAAATGAACAGCCAAAACGGGGGAAAAAAAGGTTTTAGTTGAAACTGGTGTCGTGTAAACGGCCCCTAAATTGGTTTTACTCTGAAGAATTTTGACTTTTCCCACTGTTGTTCTTTCCTTTTTCCAGTTTGAAGATATTTATGCTCCACCATTTAACACCACCCACCTGATATATTTGGGGACAGACGAGATGATCTTCAGGTTTGATCAACTTACCTTAGATTTACATCTAATACATCCAAGCGACAGAGAATATCTGACCTTGAGTGCTTCTCTTGCAGTAACGGGTCTGTGATCGCCACTTCTCGACTGTTGTTTGGTCCGACCCAAGTCAATCCAGAAATTGTGAGAGACATCTTTTTGCCTGCGTACAAGCAAATTCCATCGCCGGCACTAGAGATCGACGTCAGCTACATTGAAAGTAAAATAACAGTCAACAATGGTTGCTTTCAGATTGTTTTCACATTGATACTTATAGGATTAAAAGTTAAAGAAACCATCTAAAACAGACAAACACCACCCCATCTCACAGGATGGCGATTTTGAATGATTCCGTGCAATGTGAAAACCCCTAAACATAACCATTACTAGTAGGGAGTAAGCTGTACAAATGAGATTATTCATATTCATACACCAATTTGCCAAAATGTAAAAAGGAAATGAATTGCCATGAGATTGTGTTGACAAATACATCAACAACTAATGAAAAGTACATTCAATTCTTCCTGCAGATAAACTATCTACTGAAGAACCTTTTGAAGAAGAGAACAACTTCATCAGTCCACCAACGACAACACACAAAGGAACACCCTTTACGACCACGCCCTCCATGGCCACGCCTCTCATTTCCACTCCTGAGATCATAACGGAAGACGAATCCCTCACCAGCCGCCTTCCGTCCACACACACACCCAACATGTCCACCTCTGTTGTTGTGGGAAACATCACACACTTAATCCACTCCACACCCTTTAACACCACCACAATGCACCCAAACACCACAACCAACTTATTAATGAATAATGCAAGTATTTCTGCAGCACCCAACAGCACCACCAATGGAGTAACTAATGGGACCACCACAGCAGCACCCATTGGTACCACCACTTTACCTTCTAATAGCACCACCACCACTGAAACCATCACTACAGTCCCAAATACCACCATCACTGCAACCCTAAATGGCACCACCACTACTTCCCCAAATAACACCACTACACCCCTCATGTCCACCTCCATCCACATCACTGCTGTGAACCCGACATTCAGCTCCACTCCATTTCCAACAGCACAGCCCTCGAAGACCACCACGCCTGTGAATTACTCATCTACCACTGCCTCCGCTCTGGTGCCGGGATGGGGCGTCGCCCTCTTAGCGCTGGTGGCTGTCAGTCTCTTCCTCCTCATCATCCTCATCATTCTGGTGAGTGATCGAGGGTGTAGGATCAATATTGTATGAACTTTTGGTTTGAACATGGTAGCAACTTTTAAAATTGTATTGATTGTACATTCATCTGAATAAATAATAAAACTGACCAACATCTTTATTACTATCCATAATTATAGTGGCGGTACATACCAGATCACCTTTGATATATACCATACTACTAAATGATTACCATTCATCTGCACTGCACGGACAAAAAAATAAGTCACTGTTTGGATTTAAATAGGCAAATACTGCATTAATTGGATCAGTATTGCTGTGATTATTATGTTTTATTATAACTGATGGAGTGCATAGCTTTTCATTTTGTAGAAAAACACATCATGGCCATATTCCAGGATGACAATGTGAAGATTAGTCAGACTCAAATTGTGAAAGAATGGTTGTGAGGGAGCATGAAGAATCATTTTCAAACATGAATTGGCACCTCTGAGTGTCTTTGGGATGTGCTGGAGGAGACTTTATAGAGTGCTGGACTCTTGCATTGGCAATACAAGGTTTTGCCCAAAAATGTATGTAAATAAATGTTGTGATGTTATTAGCATGACATACATTTTGGGTCGAGATCTTGTATTGACTCCTCTAACACATCCCAAAATCCAAACTGAGACTTTATTTTTTTTTTGGTCAGGCAATGTATTATTGGTAAAGTACTCAAAATAACACCATGGTTCATGTATACACGTGCATAAAACCATGATACTATGTCCAAAAAGTAATGTGGTAGTTTTGTTTCAGTGACTGTACTGTTAAAGGACAAAAGTGTTCCTCCTCTCAGGTGGTGCTCTGGTGCTGTTGTCCAAAACGACGAGTTTTCGTGAATGAACCTGAAGAGATGAGTCCTCCCATGTACTTCAACCCAGACATCCCCATGTACTCAACGCAAAGCACGTTTGATACAGCCAACGGCAAACAAGCGGTGCGATACAATCCATAATTCATTCTGACGCAACTTAGCTTGCTTTTTGTTCCTATAGGGCTAGTTCGTTTATGAAACTAGATTCTATAACAAAAGTGACTCCCTAAAATTTGTAGGACTTTATACCAGCGAGTTCAGACGTTATGTGCATTATGAACAGAATCAACTGACAAATGCTTATTCTCTGGTGTCAATAACTCACGTGGGGTTGTCGAAATTGTTTGTTCAAGACAGTGTTATTGTTATCTAAAACAAAAAATGATTACAAATTGTTCATTGAAATAAAGCTGAATAAAATATAACTATGAAATGAAAAAAATATTTAAAAACGTGCAAAAAAAGTTTTAAAATGTTGTCTTGGCAACTAGCTGATGATTCAACTGATATAAGTTTTTAAAAAATGACAAAAGAAATTACAATATAAAAATAAATGCCATTTCAAAATATGAAAAATATTATAATAGTAAACATTAAATAACAGCAATAGAGTATAAAAAAAGCAAATTAGTCATTTTTGAGAGGGTGAAAGTAGATATTAAGTGGCACACCATTTTGATTTTTACAATAGTTATCTACCTCTACATGACTCATTTTCAAGTTAAAAAAGGGGGGTTCACTTTGGTTACCTGCTCGTACAGACATAATGGATCTGTTCCTGCCTGCTGCTCGGTGAATGGGAGAATTTGAGAGTCACACCTATTAGTGAAAACACTGTGAATACAGCCTCATGCAGCTCTTTAAGGTCAGAAAGCATCAAGAGACCTGTAATTTAATGCAAACACTTTTTGAAAAGCATGCAGCGTTCATTTAATCCAGTTCACATGAACAACAACACAACATAAAGCCAATGTAATGACTGAATGCGAACGCAAATCTTGTTTTGCAACTTTTAACTATAGTACTGCATCTTTATTGTGGAGGGAAACAAAGGGGTTTTCAAGAGGGTTCTCCATCCCCATCTCTGCCCATGTAAAACACTGACCCCACAATCACGGATCAGAACTAGGGAAAATTGGCTACTGTTACCTGACGTTCCAGCGTCCCCGTCGCCTGCACAGGGCCCTCTTTGTGTGGCTCTGACTAAGAAACCTGAAGCGTGGGAAACTCGACTCTCGTTCAGAGACTTTGAGGCCTCCATCTGCGTCTCCTCCATCGTCCAGTAGCCACAGCGTCACCGCTCACAATGCCCTGCCTACATTCGAACAATACCGGGAGCCAGGAGAGAAAGACTTAAACTCTGAATCTAACCCATTGAGGCCTCCAGGGCTGAATGCATCTGAGCAGCGCAGTTTTCGGTCGACAGCTGAGCTGATCAGAGCTGAACCGAGCTGAACGGAGGCGTTTGTTGGGGCACTAGCATTTATTAATAACATGCTGGGTCTGGGATGATTCATAGGGATAATGTAATGAAAATGATCAAAATCCCCCAACATTTTTCCTTATGGACCTCAAACACAAAATGGAAGTGTTTAGAATTACTGGCACCCAGGTAAATATGATCAAAGATGGCTGGGGTCATGAAATGGCTTTTTTTTAAAAAAAATGTATATTGTTGTCTGAGATCAACTTATGACGTTCGCTTGGTTTTTGCTTTCAAAAACATCAAAATGAATAAGTAATAAGCTATTTTCTACCCTCGTTTTGAGCCTTGCTCAAAAACCCTCGGTTTTTATGGGAGCCTCGCACAAAAGACTTGGAAGTAAACGCCCACTGCTGTGAGTGGATAACAGTTTTGCATATTATAATGAGTTCAACTCACTCGTCGGTGCACGTGGGGGAAATTGTTTTGAAAACTTCCAATGTTGTAAAATGGCAACCAGAATGATTCGCCCATACATGTTTGAGACAGAATAAGTCACGTGTGTTGCAGAATTCCTGTCGGATCCAATATAGATGGCTCAGCACCGTTCTTTAATCTTAATCGGTCTGCAAATTCAGTCTTGTTTACAAAACAATCCTCAGTGAAATGAAGCGAATGGACGGACGGACGATGTTTTACCCTCATCAGCTGGAACATTTAACCATGCAGTCCTATTGGAATCCAGAGGAAGCATATGCAGCGACTGTCTTCTTCCACAACCAGGCACTGCACAAAATCTTGTAAACTGCATGTTTATTGCTCGGATCCGGTTTGTCATCACGAGGTAGGCCTATGTTATTTAGCTATGCGTATAATGCGTGAATCGGTGGGTGGGGCTAAACTGGCCATGTTGAAGTAGTAGGCGTTGATCTTCTTCTGCAGGGGTGGCGTTTTATCCTCTTTGACGTAATAGTTCCCCACTTTGAAAAACGAGTCGTTTGCTGAGCCTGGTGTCAATAAAAGCTTTTATTGGACTAACAAGGACGTTTTCAGTTCTGAAACAGGATATTCTTATAATATGATAACCTCTTGTCAAAAGCTCAAGGAAAATTTGATTTCTCAGTTCATCACCCCTTTAATATTTCATTCAAAAAAATTCACAAAACTCTAACCTAAGTAAAGAATTAAAAGTGGGGGGTAAATCACATTATGAAATAAATGATTTTCTACAAAACACATTGGCACCCTTTTATTAAATACTTTCCAAATTTCCAATTAAACTCCTGTTGCCAAGATAACAGCTCTGAGTTTTCCTCTATAATGCCTGATTAGTTTGGAGAACACCTGACAAGAGATCAGATACAAACACTTTTATGTTAGATGCGATTAATCAATATGACAGCACAAATAAAAATAAAAATGATAAACAATAGTAAAAAATAATTTAATAAATCACATACAAATAGAAATTTATAAAAATAGAGTTCAAACATCATTAAAATATATAAAGGGCGTTACTTTTGACACTGTATGATGAAGGAAGCATTGTTTTATTTTCAGAATAGGAATTATGGTGTGCATACATGTAATGATAACTGACTCTGTTAATAACAGGACGCCAGAGAAAAACCCCCGAAAAACCGGACAGGAATGTACGTGGTGAACAAATGATGGACACAGGTACAGTAAAACACACATGCAGCAGTACCTATGACACACAAACCAAACAGAGCTCAATCTCATTCTCACATTTAGAATCTATCATTCAGGTTCTCTGACTCCCCAACACTGTCACTCCTTCTATGTGTGAAGAACAAGACCTGAGGAAAACTGTTGGAAGAATAACTGTCATACAGCCGGCACTGCGCTGCAGGAAGCTGAACAGACAGGGAAATTATTTTACATGCCATTACCATCTATTTCGAATCTATTTTCCTACAATATACCTTTGCACAATGTACTTTGTAACTTTTGAACATGGATTGAATGATGTGATGTATTAACAGTGATTTAGTGAAATTAAAGAGTTTCTGAAAATGGCTGTGGGATGAATAGTTTGATTAGTAACTCGGTATGGAATAAACTGAACAGAAACAGTCGGTCAAGGGTTACGACCAGAAGTTACAACCGCAGTTGTAACTTCAGGTCAATTTCTGCTTAAAAGCAAAGAGGAGAAAAATGTCCCAGGCATTATCCTGATGGAGAAGATATGGAGTATTTGAACAGCAAGAACACAACGAGATCTTGGGCAGCAAGTGAAATTCTGCAGCTTATCTTTGTGTTTAAGTGTAATCTGTGATGAAATGTCATTTTTCTCATATTTTAGTCTCAAATCTTCTGGTTACACTGACCCTGAATCAATACATCCATCCGTCCATACCTACATGCACACACACACTTGATTATTTGGCATGATTCATTTATTCTGCATATGAAATTGTTTGATTATTGTGGAGTTAAAAAGAGACAAAGTGAATATTCAGATTTTAATTATTTAAATTACCTTTAAACCAACTTTAATGTGTCAGCTTTAACAGAGAGGACACAGTTGTTTCTTTTGTGATTCAAAATAAATGTTGACAAATGTTGCGCACTGACAGGGATTAAATAAAAATACCACATATTCTAGTGATATTCAGTTTGAAACTTCTTGTTCCTGAATAACATGAACTGCTGAAATAGCTCCGGTCCAGCAGGTGGTGCTGTCTTCCTCAAGGCACTGGTTAAATGGTAACGAACATAAACAGAAGCTGGCAGAGAGTCATTGTCAGGCCTTCTCAGCTTGAGGCCCCAGTGTTTTCAACCACAACTCTAATGCAAATTTGGTTCCGGTGCTGACTCGTTCAATGTCCTCGCCGTCATCCGGGGCCCGGTTACAGAACAGAGAAACGGGCAGTGAGGTCTCGCTCAGCTCAGCGTGTGGGGACACCTCCGTCACACTGACAACAAACAACATACAGGAAGCGAACATTCAAAACAACGGAATAAATACTTAAGCCTGTAAAGCCATACTGTATCATTTCACTGTAAAAAATATTTTCAAGATTTGTTATCACAACATTTTTTCTCTTGTCAAATCAACTTAAAGAATTCATTTAGTTCAGATAACTTATTCTTTTGAGTTTCTGATGATTAAATCAACCTCCTTCATTGTATTAACTCACTTTTCCAGTTCAATCAACTTAAAATTTTAAGGCAACCAGGTTACTTACTTTTTCAAGTTAAACCAACAATATTTTTTTACAGTGCACGATCAAAACTTTGCTGAAAAACCTGATGTACACAATCTTCTCATTGAGAGTTAAACTTTTTAGCAAGTTAAAGGCCTTTTTGTATCAGTAACACATACTGGACTAAAACAAATAAGGATTGCTTGATTATCCATGATTTTTGGGAAAATCATCTCACAATTCAGACTTTTTTCTAACAATTGCAAGTTATAAAGTCAGAATTGCGAGAAAAATAAGAATTGCGAGATACACTTGGATTTGTCAGAAAAAGTCAGAATTGTCAGAAAAAAAGTCAAAATTGTGAGCTCATATCTTTGCAAATTTAGCTTATAATTTGCAAATCTGGATTTATAACTTTCAATTCCGAGATTATGTCACGCAATTCTGTAAATTCACAATTTCGAGAAAAAAGTCAGAATTTTGAGATTAAAAAATAATAAAATAAATATTCGCAATTACCTTGCGGAAACAATCTTCCATAATATTCTCCTATATCATACCATATGTGGCATAAAGGCCTGATGTATCAAATATGATCAAAGAAAAACTAAACTTTTTTTTAAGTACTTCCATTTAAAAAGATTCGATTTTTCTGACTATGATTTAATATTAATAATAGAGTTGAATAAAGTTCTCCATACCTGATGGTCTGTGGCAGGTCAGCTGGTATTCGAACAGAATCCTTCTCACCATCTACAGCAGACACCACAACTTTCACCAGGCCTGCATCGACCCACACACACGCACTGACTTCAGCAGGATCTGGGTGCAAACAAGCCTGAGAAAGAAGGAGAGAGACCTTATGGAGCACATGGACCTCAAAACAGCAGCTGTAATCTGTTGATGTCCCAAAGTTGTACCTGAAGCTGCAGGTGTGATTGAGAGCTCTTCAGAAGTATATACGTCACGACGTGATGTCTCTGAGGCGGTCCTCTGGACAACATGGGCGGATACACTGACTGGACAGAGAATATTCAAATAAAGTACAGTACGTATGGGGTCAGTAAGATTATTTTTTGAAGGAAATTAATACTTTTATTCAATTAATACTTCTATTCGATGAATCCTGAAAAAAATGTCAATCATGGTTTAAAAAAAATAAAGCACCAAATCATCATTAGAATGATTTCTGAAGGATCATGAGACACTGAAGACTGTAGTAATGCCGCTGAAAATATAGCTTTGTCATCACATGAATAAAAATAAATAAATAAATACCCAAATAGAAAACAGATATTTTAAATTACAAGTATATTTCACAATAATACTGTTTTTAAATCATTTATGTTTTTTTGGCATCATTCTAGTCATCATCATGTCTATCTATTTTCTATCTTCCATAAAACACAAAATGAGATATTAGGAAGAATGTTCGAGCCTCTCTTTTCAATGCAATGAAAGTGGATGGTGATTTATACTGCCAAAAAGTTCGATTATATCATATGCAACCCCGCAACATTTGAGAGTTACGTGGGAGAGGAAGATGAAGAAGAACCGAGTCTTTTCCTCACAAAAATTTAGCATTTGGCTTCAAAAGTATTGGAATAAAACCCTTTTTCATTCACTTTCCCGGCATGGAAAAGAGTAGCTCGGATATTCAGACTACATGTTCATGGAAAAAAAAAAAAGAAAAACTTGCAACATGAGGACATGACGAAAACATCATTGGATGAACTATTACTTTACCATCTCATATGTTTGTTTTGCGAAAATTAAAGTAAACCCTCTGGATCAGCTTGATTAGATTTACATCTTGAGCTAACAGCTTCATTTCAATGATTAAAACTTTCAGATAGACAACAGATGTGTGCAAGGCCTGACTGTTCCATGTTACGCAATTGCGGTTTGCAAACAATCGGCTTCGGTCTGTCAAATTCAGCGTCTCTGCGCAATGGCCCCTTTGCACTTTGGCTGGAGGTCTCACACAAACATTGTGCTATAAACACACACCTCCCATAGGCCGAGCAGCTGAGAGGAGAACTCATCCGGGCTCAGTTTCAGACCAGTCTCTTCCTGCAGCTCCCTGAGTCCTGCATCCAACAGCTAGATCACACACACACACACAAAGAAATCGCTAAGCCATTCATTCATTCAGAATAGAATAATATCTTAGTTGTTCATTAATTCACTCTAATTCAGTGACATTAATATATTATTATACAAAGATATTACATTACAAAGAATTACTCAAAATGAAATATAATTATAATTAACTCGTTTATCAAAATGAATGAATCTTTTTTCGTGTCAGGTTCATTCAAAGAACGAAATGAACGAGCTGACTCGGGAAAAGACTCGTTCATTTTGATAAACGAGTTTGAACAGGAGAGTCACGAACGCGCATCACAGAACAGAGCAAGGCGACCATTTGAGCTTATAAAACTTAAACTTTGTTATTTAAATGAGCGATCGTTTTGCTTGATAAGACCCTTATTCATCATCTGGAATCGTTTAAAGCCAGTTGAACAGTTTGCAGTTTGCACTGAAACTGTCTTTTGGACCTTGAACCGTTTGGTTCCCATTGAAGTCCATTATATGGAGAAAAATCCTGGAATGTTTTCATCAAAAACCTTAATTTCTTTTCAACTGAAGAAAGAATGACATGGACATCTTGGATGACATGGGGGCGAGTAAATTATCAGCAAAAGTTTTTTTTTAAAGTGAACTACTCCTTTAATTTAAAAAATATTTCAACAGTGTTTCTCTAGAATACCTTACAGCACATGTAATGCCTGACTGTTTGATTGATTGACTGACAGCTCATTGTTTATGCAATACATAATGTACCTTTTCATCCAGCTCCACATGGCCTCCTGAACAAACAAATTACATCCATGATTAGTCTTGAACACCACAGTATTCTCACACACATATGCTGGCCATATTTCTGTCGCTAATTTCTGCTGACATGATGGAATGTAAAAACATAATAATACAAATTAAAATAACCGTTTAAAATTGTGTCTTTAGAACCAGATAAAGCTGACCAAAACGACCTCACTCATCTGTAAATCATTAATATGAGTGAGCACACAGTCATTTGAGTAAGTGGTCATTTGAGTGAATCATTTGGGTCAGTAAATGACACTCACCAGGCGGAACCCAAACATTGGGGAAGATCCGGAGGCTGGAGGCACGACGCGTCAGCAACAGCTTCTGATCAGCGGACTGCAGGAGCACAGCCACGCCCACGTCTACCCCACGGCTGAGGGTCTCGGGAGGCAAGGAGACTGCCTCTGAGTGAGACAGGTATTTGATGGGGCAAAACGACGCCCTCTAGGGTCAGACAATGAGTTTGATCAACAAATAAATTCAATTAACAAAACTGAAAAGGCCATCAAACTCAGTGTGATCTCACCTTCAGAGGAACTGTTCCATCACATGACCGGTCACATAAAATAAATCTGTTATTCTGCAAAGAACAGCTCACATTTACCTGATCCTCACTCCCGCCAAAGTGTCCAGTTATGCTCTGGAAAAAATACACACTTTATGTTTATCCAGCTAAATAAGCACATACTATAGACTTCTATTGCTTTGATAAGGCAATTATTTATTTTTAAATATAATAATTATTAATTATTTATATTAATAATGTATTAGTAAATTTTGAGATTTACATGATCTAAGATTAATAAATGCAGTACAGTTATTGTTCATTCTTAGTTACCAACTGAAACCTTATTGTAAAGTTTTACCAAATATTTAAATGGTTTTTCCAACTCTAGATGCCCACAAATGGCCTGGTACTATCATATAGGATTGTTTTAAAGATAATAATAATAATAATAATAATAATAATTATGTATAATTTGAGATTTTGAAATTAATTAACAATTATTTATGTGCATATTTGGTAACACTTTAGAATTATATTTCATTTGTAAACTACAGAAGTTAACATGAACTAACAATGAAAAATACTTCTTAAGCATGAATTAATCTTGGTCCATGTATATTTCTACATTTACTAATACAATATTAAAATTAAAAGTTGTATTTGTTAGTATTATTTGATTGACCTGAGCGCGAACTAACAATGAACAATTATATTTTTAAAACCTAACGTTAATATTGTAACAAATGTATTGCTCATTATTAAGTTAATGCATTAACGTTAAATAACTTGAGACCTTATTGTAAAGTGATGTGGAATGATATGAGTTCAGCTGACCTGCACGAATCGCGCGCACTGCGGAGCCGCGTTTTTGGTTTCCTTCGACAGATGAACTACAATCTTTCGCACTTTATCCATACTGTGTGTAGACATCACCACATAATATGATGAATAATTAACTTTTTTTCTTTTATGTTTTGACAAAACGCTACGAAACATTCATTGTATAGCATACAGTACTAGTAGGTTGAGCAACTTAACTAACGCTATCCAGGAGATAGTCAGTCAGAGCGCATGAATGAGTGTTTAGAGCAGAGACACAAACATGCTGTCAAGCCTCTGAACCCCAACACCAGACCATAACAAACACCGATATGAGCCTCCGGAAATGGCTTCTGATGTTTTAAAATAAAAGTCTATTTAATGTAAAAAGGCTGTGTTATTAATTTGTCTAGAAGAAATACTAAGCCAACGTAATACTACGTAATAAATATTCATGAGCTTAGAGGTCAACTCGAAAGACGTCTTCTAATGTTTTAGAATAAAAATCTTTTTTAGCACTTTTTAAGTTCTATTTAATGTAAAAAAGGCTGTGTTATTAATTTGTCTAGAAACCTTGCGACGAATCAGTAAGAAATACTGAGCCAACGTAATACTACGTAATAAATATTCATGAGCTTAGAGAACGGGTCAACTCGAGATACGTCTTCTAATGTTTTAGAATAAAAGTCTTTTTTAGACCTTTTTTTTTATTATTATTATTAAAGTATTAAATTGATATTTTTTACAGGTCAAGAGGGAGAATTACCAATGCTTGATTCTGAATTAACTCGCAACTGTAAGTTTATCCCCCGGTTTCCCAGACTTGATAGTTCACCCAAAAATTTAAATGTTGTCATTACTTACTCTCCCTCAAGTTGTTCCAAATCTGCATGTGTTTATTTCTTGTGTTGAACACAAAAGAAGATATTTTTAAGAATGTTGCTGTTTCATTCCTACTGACAGCCAGAGGCAGTATGCTATTGGATTAAAGCTTAATTTGCAAGATTAATTGATAATTCTGCAAAAATCTGAATTGAGAGATAAACCGGCAATTGAAAATAGTCAGAATTGTGAGGTAAAAAGAAAAAAAATCTATAAAAATGCATCTAGATTTTGAAACCCATTTTCTGAATTAAATTGCACTCTCAATTATTTGCTGAGAGTTTATATTCATGTCTACTGATTTGATAGTGTTTGTGCACTGTGACAAATAAAGCAATAAAATGAGAGCATCCAATTGTGTATTAAATCATGTTTATTTGAAATATCATTCAGTCAAATACAAACACAAACACAGCCATATAACTACATACTACATGGTTTCATTTTACTACACGTCAAGAGGTCACAGAGAACAGGCACAATGTAAATCTCACATGCTGTCATAAAGACAAAGATCTACATACACAGAACGAACGACACATGCTTCCACAAGAGGATTTACATCACCAAAGTCGAGCCCTTGACTGAGGGTTCAACCTCTGACCATTAGTCATTAGGGTGTCCATGATTTTGGTCACAAGTGGTGGCACTTACAGAGTTGGCAGTCATCATAGCTTTCCTGAAGAATCAGTACGGATAAAACGAGATGACAAAAAAGCCAAGCGATGCTGTTTAGTAATTCACTGGTGTTTAAATTCACTACTCTGCTTTAGAGGAGTTTCACTTTACATGGGCCACATTTATCAAGCCATGATTTTTTTGGTCTTTATAACTATTTGGCTTGCTTACAATGTTGGTAGTTTTCTTTTGGTTTCAAATTGCATTTCAAACGAACAAATATCAACTTGATAAATGTTGCCCCATATGTCCTCATGTGGCAAAAACAAACATGTTGACCGATTCAAAGATTCATGCAAAAGGTGCTACAAAACAAGTCAGAATCACAGAACCATCTTACCGTTCCCATCCACCATAATTCCTTTTCCGTTTTTCTTTTTTATGTACCTAAAGCTGAATTTCCACATATCCTAAGAACGATAAACACTTACCCCCCTAACAACATACATCTATAACATTGGATTCTGGTCAAGATTTCTGGGTAGACATTTGCTTAGTTACATGCTAAGAAGCTTCAGAAGTTTGTAAGAGCAAAAATGAATTAGGTACGAATAACTTTTAATTTGCGCATTCGAAATTACAGCAGTCCTACAGCCTGTAAGAGCAACAGCTAAGCAAAAAACGAGATTTTATCCATTTTATTTCCAAAAAATTATTTACATCACAAAAGTTTTTTTTTCTTTTTTTTTTTCTTGTTGTTGTGGTTGTTTACCTGTGAGTGGTTTGTAGGTGAAACAGTCCTCTTTTGTAGGTGGTGTAAAACTGTGCTAAAACTGTACCCTTCTGCTCTGAATGTTTCTTATTTTGTCAGTTCCCAGCATGGATCGCATTCTGGACCTGAACGCCAGCACCATAATGTTGGTTTGCAGTAGAGTGAGGGATGGGTGTCATTTCCTAAGAGAAAACAGTCAATTTGACAGAAAACTTCATAAACAATAGATATCTGGAACGGAACATAATTATCTTTAATACACTGCTGAACTACGTACCTTAATGGCACTAACAGAAAGTGCGTAGACCCCAAAAAGAGACACAACCAAACCGATAATACATGCTAGCACCAGGAAACCGATTAGTGTTCCCAAGATCCCATTCACTAAGAACTGTAATACAAACCACAGATACCATAATATATTCCAACAGTTCAACACCACTGTATTTATGTCTTTTAACATGGTAAATAATCACATGCAAATGAATGGCACAAAAGAGAAGGAAAGGAAAATGTTATACTTCAATGAATCAATTAAATAATATTTCAGTGATAGACTTTGATATTTGTCTATTTTCACATTGGCCTAATCTATTTACTGTACATCATAGTGTTATTTTAGTATTATTTATATACTGCTATAATATATTGGCTTAAAAAAAACAACAACTTTTAGCTTAGGTTATTTTTATTCTTTTTAGTTCAATTTAGTTTTAATTTCTTATTTTAAGTTTTAGTTTTTGTAGCTTGCATTTCGGCTTAAAGTTTTATAATATAACTTTTAAAATAACATTTGGTTACACTAATACTAATAATTACTCAGTTAAGTGCTATTAAAACTAATAAAAAAAACTTCTGCTGAAAATTTACTCACCCCCATGTCATCCAAGATGTCCATGTCTTTCTTTCTTCATTCGAAAAGAAATTAAGGTTTTTTGATAAAAACATTCCAGGATTTTTCTCCAGATAATACACTTTACTGGTAACCAAACAGTTCAATGTCCAAAAGACAGTTTCAGTGCAAACTGTTCAAAGGGCTTTAAACGATTCGATCAGGACAGTCACGAACGCACATCACAGAACAGAGCAAGGCGAACATTTGAGCTTATAAAACTTAAACTTTGCTATTTTTTTTTTAAATGAGCGATCGTTTCGCTTGATAAGACCCTAATTCATCGTCTGGAATCGTTTAAAGCCCTTTGAACAGTTTGCAGTTTGCACTTGAACCGTTTGGTTCCCAGTAAAGTGCATTATATAGAGAAAAACCCTGGAATGTTTTCATCAAAAACCTTAATTTCTTTTCGACTGAAGAAAGAATGACATGGATATCTTGGATGATATGGGAGTGAGTAAATTATCAGCAAAAGTTTTTTTTTAAGTGAACTACTCCTTTAACACTATTATGTTAATTATAAGTAATATTAGTCAGTTACGGTTAGGTTTTGGGTTAGTTACTTCTTGTAATTATGCATAATTTACTGGTATGAATGACTATAGTAAGTGCATGTAGTAAAGTGTAACTACGTCACTTCATTATTTTTAATCGTTTTAGTTAGTAACAACATCTGCCATTGAAAAAAACTCACATTAGTCGACCACTAGTCTAAATTGTGCAGCAAAAAGCAAATGAATGTGAGTTCTCTCCTAAAATATGAAATCATGTGCATTAAAGTTTTAATCTTGCTTGGAGTCTCAGGATGTGTTTGTGGTATTCCCAACTGCATCACAAGGCTTGTAATGTGACTCACCTCTTTATGTCCCCCTTTCTCTCCTTCTCCACAGCAAGCCCAAACAGAGTGAAGTGGGTCACAACACCACTGAAACAAGCAGGACAGAGCCTGGAGTCACATCTCTCTTTCTGCTCACACACACACTCAACCACAGTCTGCCGTCTGACAGAGACCGATGTTCAGATCGACGTACAGCTTCCTGATTCCTACTCTCAAAATCATCGGCTTTTCAGATTCATGTACAGGACTGACAGAACTAAAACTGCCAGCTCTCGAAATTTGAAATCATTTTTTAAACAATGCGAGTTGTCTGGTTGAAGTATAACATTTTCCCTTTTTGTAACAGCTGAAGACATCCTTGAGTCCCGTCCGACTAAATATTGTTTATAGTAAAGTAATCTTCAGTCACTTGTGGGAATGAAGGTGTCTTGGCATGAGGAAGAGCAGGATGGGGCGTCTCTGTTTGTTTACCTCTGTGTCCCTGTAGTAGTACGACTCTCCTCTGAATGGGATGTGTCTGGCCATCAGCCCAAATCCAACAATATCAAATGCTGCTGTTAGTAACTGCAGAACAATGGTTGTCAGCACCTGCGACAAATGAACGGACATGTACTTCAACAATAAATAATAATCTTATCTCATTCTAATAATCTCACTTTGGTAAAAAAAAATATAATGGAAAATCTACTGACTCTAAAGGATATGTAAAAATATCAAATGTGATTGGTCAAATAATGTCTTGCAACCTAAATGGGCGGTTCTTGGTCAAAAGAATATGTAAAGACCTTTCTCATCAGAAGTTTGACTATACAAGAGACTACTGTTGCTGAGCCTGCACTTAATTTGGTCAATACAGGACGGAGCGCAGAGTCTTTTCAGACGGAGGGAGCTTAAAGCATTTTAAATGAGAAGAGAAAGACTGGCATGATTTGTGTCAACTGACTGCAGTCGTTTAAAAGTTCCTGTATGCATTCAAGAATAGGTTTTAATATAAATCTTTATATTTGGAGTCTCAGGGGGCGTTTACACGACACCGTTTTCAGTTTTAAAACTTTTTACTCGTTCATGTAGACGACAAATTTGTTTTGGGGGTCTGAAAACGCAAGCTTGTACCGTTACCCTCTCCATGTAAACTGCAAGAGCTTGAATTCGTGAAAAATACAAAATACATGCGTATTATGTGTTCAGACAACGTATGTGCGAGTACTTGTCAACCAAAACAACAATGGTGGACTATAGGACTGTGTTTGTGTCACTGGTCGTACTCGATACGAGGAGGATTCCATCTGGAGTCTCTGGCGTGTGAGGTGGGTGTGCTAACAAGAACGCTAAAGACTGAAGCCGCTAGCGTCAGTCGCCAGCACACCTCTTGGCCAGGGGAGTGAGGT